CCTTTACGGGAGTGATCGTGTCCGCAGTTACCGACACAGAGCTAATGCATCAATATAATCGCAGTCAACATCAGTAATGGTGTGAACGCAACAGGAGCGTGTTCAGCAGTACTGGGTCGTTATGTTCACTTCTCGTTATTTCCCCGAGCCACGACTGGACGTCTGTGAATATTGAACACCTTTGATGGAGATCTCTAGAGCTCCTCAGATCGTTCCATTCGAACTCAAGACTCTGATTCTGGCTGGGACGCTCACCTTGTTACAGGCGTCTATTCATTATTAGTTGGGTACGTTTCTGTTATATATACACGTGTGTGTATGTTGTTTTATGATATTGTTCACGGGTGCGGTGCATTTGCGAGTATGTGAGTTAGCGATTGTGTGGAATACTTATAGTATCCTCAGCAGCGGACCATGCTTTCCCACCTGATGACGAATGCTTGTGTTGCGCCCGAAACGTCGTGATTTATTTTATTTTATACCTACGTGACTTTTTCGAAAGAACCAAAGAGTATAATACTTATAGTACATTGCACTTTTAAATCGGTAAAGTTATGAGTTCGATGTCGGGTCACGGCTTCAATTAGTGGCAAGCTTGAACCGGTTCTCGGCTCCTCTATTCACCAATCTCCGCCTACCGGGTTCGGGTCAACCCGTTCTCATGAACGAGACGACGCGATTTTTGGTGTTCGGGGCGGGGGTAGAACTTGTAGCTGATTAATAATGTGCGAAAAAATTAAAATATGACTTTGCGAAGCGGAGTTTAATGGTTAACGTTCCGTATCGCGGGATTTATTAATAGTTAACTTTCCTCCCGGCACATCGGGTTCCTTCAATTAAAGGAAACTGCTAAATATCCCAAGCGAGCTTCCAAGTGAGATGGATTTACATTGTCGGTCACTGCATTGCGCGCTTTCAGAAAATAATAATTATTATTAAAATGTATAATGCGCATTCCATCCTAGGACCCCAAGGCATAAATGCATGAAAAACAGCGAAACAAAAACAGAATCAGGGCAACCGACCAAACTAGAGAGGGAAGGCCACTTTAAATAACTTGATTTTCAAAGCAGACTTAAATATATTTACCGACTCTGATTTCCTGATTTCAAGTGGCAAGGCGTTCCATAGCTTGGGTGCGATGCTCACAAACGCCCAATCACCAAAAGAGCGCAACCTCGACCTGGGAGTGCTGAGCAGTTGGAGATCATAAAATCTTAAGCACCTTGATGGAATATATAAATGTATTGGTTCCTGCAAGCAATGTGGAGTGAACCCTTTTAAAGCCTTATAGGTTATTAGCAGTATGTAAAAATCCACTCAGAATTTGACTGTCAGCCGGTGAAGAGAAAAGAGGACTGGCTAAATGTGTTCACGAAATGTTGTACGAGGTGTAATCACTCGAGCAGCTGCATTCTGAACAAGCTGGCGTCTGCACAGTACTTTGCTCGTTATCCCAGCCAGTGAGGCGTTGCAGTAGCCGAGTCGGGGTAACACAAAAGCATGGACCCGTCTCTACGCGTCAGCAGGTGACAGGAAGCGATGCATTCTGGCAACATTTCTCAGGTGGAAAAGGGACTTGTTAACCACAAAGGACAATGATTGGTCAAACTGAACACCAAAGTTTTTGACCTGCCATGTGGGACTGACATCAATCAACAAACGAGGTGAACCATTTTATAAAGATGCAGAGGGGAGCCGATGAATATGGCTTCCGTTGTGTCGGCATTAAGTAGCAAAAAGTTTTAGCACAACCATGAATTCACTACTGTTAGTGATGCAGATAGCGCAGAAGAAGCTATTGCATAGTCTGGTCTTAACTGAATATAAATTTGCGTATCATCTGCATAGCAATGGTAGGAAAAGCCAAAATGTCGGAGCAAAATATCCAATGGTGCCATGTAGATGCTAAAAAGTGATGAGCCAAGAAAATATCCCGATGGGACACCACAGAGAACTGGTCTAATTGGTGACTTGAAGCCTTCGTTTGAGACGAAGTACCTACGTTACTTTAAGAGTGATCCCACAACAAAGCTCGGCCAGAGATCGCCATTGAAACTTCCAGTTGCTCAAGGAGAACTCCGCGATCAATGGAGTCAAATTCTGCGCTTATATCGAGTAGAATGAGGAGGCTGACAAAGCCTTTATCTGCAAACCAAAGTTAATAATTGACCACCCTTAACAGATAAATCTCGGTGCAATGAGCAGGTCTGAACCCCGAAAGTGATCAAATATATCGATTGAAGCCAGGTGCTTATGTAAATGAGTGACCACAGCTCTTTCCAGAATTTTTGACAAATACGGAAGGTTAGATATTGGGCAAAACATTTCTGGGAGCTCAAGATAAAGACCCGGATTTTTAAAAGTGATGGTGACTGCAGCCATCTTACAAATGTCAGGAGCTGTGCTGGTTTTGAGGGAGCTGTTGAGAAGACTGAGGATTCACGGCCTCAGCAGAACGGAATGGTCCCGTAGCAGCCTTGAAGGGAAGGGATCCAGTGGACAGCTGGTATGTCGAGAGACAGCAAATAAAGAGATGAGTTCTGCAGTTGAGATTGCGGAAAACTCGGTCAAAAATGTGTCCTCGAACTGAGCTGGAGGCAAGTGCGAAAGAGAGGGAACGGAGGGAAGTGAAAGTAATTCGGACCGGACATTGGAGATGTAATCATGAACAAACTGTTGCATTTTAGTACAGAAATCAGCAGAGGAGTGGCAGATTACATTTGGTTCCTCATTAAAAAGTTCACTGATACACTATTTGCAATGTGACCAGCAATGTAGGAGCATTCATGGTAAGAAGCTATTATTTAAATATTTGATGAAGAATAGTGATGACCACTTTCTCCAAGCACGTTCTGCTTAATGGACAGTAGATTTTTGTGCCCTCAATCTTGCAGTGGACCATGGCGAAGGGCAATGGGAAGATATCCAACGAGTTCGGACGGGAGACAAATAATCACGACCTCTTACAGAACAGAGTTATATAATTGAGCAGCTTCTTCAACGGGAAGCTCGCACGCATTAGCTACAAAAGCCTCAAATGAGTACCTGGTGCGGTGTGTAAATATCGCCACTAGGGAGACAAAGCCCGCCTGGCGTGGTACTGGCCACCCACCCCCTAACAGGACTTGCCCCAAAAGTCTGTGAAGGCTACATGGGAGATCTTTGTATTTGTCCACGCGCTGTGAGTGGGCTTCTTCAGGAACTGAATTAAGCAAAAATTGAATGCCCGAATTGAGGGATTCCTTGACGCTTCGCTTCAAATCGTATTGCGTGTGCCCTGTATGCACTGACCGGGGGTGACGTCTGTCACTCACAGGCTTTAACCCTGCACAATGCCATACGATATATTGTGCAACATGCCGGCAGGTTCATTACGATTATGACCTGAGCAAAAACATAGAATTCACCGAACTTTGCCTAACCTACAAGCAAGCATCGCTATTTGCACACTCGGGTATAAGTGTATCCGAAAGACGCCTGTATACGGACGCGTACACACAGACACGAAAGAGATCGAATGCTCCATCCTGGAAGAAATACGAATACACAAACCCAACACCGCAAGGGGACAGACAGGCGCGCGATCAGACACCGATCTCCCCGTTTGCCTTTGACATCGGAGCGAGCGCTTTCAGCGAGCACCTACGAGGGGATGGATGGCACCACGCCCAGCCGCCTTTGTCTTCCTCGTGGCGATGTTTATTTGAAGATGAGTCAACCTAAGGGAGGCTCAGAACCCGTTCAATTAGTCGCCAATGTATATTGGTCGTGAGCGGATGAACCCGGGGCGCCGGGATCGTAGCGCAGTGCGCGAACCACTGCGCCACGGCTGCACACAGACACACACAAGACAAAGACCCCCCGTATAGCCTCCAACAGACTGTCGGGGCAGGTTCTGTTAGCGAGCAGAACCTTTGAAGGCCGGCGCGGCTCACCAGGGAGGTGGTTGCCAACGTCCACGCCCGGCCGGCCGCCTTTATCTCCCGAGTGGCGATGTTTACACACCGCACCAGGTTCTCATTCGCGGCTGAGTCTATCAAAATACTGACACGGTCACGGACACACGAATACACAAACGCACAGACACACGCTCACGATGCGGACTTTGCTATGCACAGATTGGCAGCAGTGCCGGATTATCCCAGTAGCACAAGTAGCTACACAAGTAGCTACACAAGTTGTAGCTACACAAGTAGCTACTACACATGTAGCTACACAAGTAGTTACACAAGTAGCTACATGTAGCTACTACACAAGCAGCTACTACACATGCAGCTACTACACATGCAGCCACTACACAACTAGCTCCTACATATGTAGCTACTACACATGCAGCTACAACACATGCAGCTACTACACAAGTAGCTACTACATATGTAGCTACTACACATGCAGCTACAACACATGCAGCTACTACACAAGTAGCTACTACATATGTAGCTACTACACATGCAGCTACAACACATGCAGCTACTACACAAGTAGTTACTACACATGTAGCTATACATGGAGCGACGGGGCCAGCACGTTCAAGGTCCCCGCTCTAAATGCTTTCAAGCTATCAATTCCGGTTTAGTGATTCTGCACTATAGCACTATACTTGCCTTCAACTTTTATGAACGACTGGGTGTTTAAGATTAGCGATTTGTCGTATTATTTAGTTGTATAGCAAATGAAAAAATACAGTAACTTTACTATGCAAGTAAAAATGTATGTGTTTTAATATTAACGTGTTTTTTTACTTAGGGCCCCCTTATAACATCATGCTACAGGCCTCGCACTCGCTCCATCCGGCACTGATGAGCAGTCCGCTCGGTGTTACCGCTGGGCTGATGAGGCGAGGTCGGCAGGTGTGGCACGAGGTGGGGTGACTTCAAGTCGAGAAGGTGATGGGCATGGACATGTTGGCCGAGGAGCGGGCGTGGTGGGGAGGGGGGAGGGGGAGGGGGGCAAGTGGGCGCTGGCTGAAGTGGCCCCGAGTCATTGGCGACCTTGCTCGCGGGTATTTAACGCGCGGACCACGACCGCAGTCGTCAGTCGTCGTAGGTTCGCTGCGCAAGATCCTCCGCGTCCATCCAGGGAGTCGTCAGTCGCCTTCCCTCCATCTCTCTCTCTCTTGATCAGCCGCGGGAGCGCGAGTCGCCTCCTCGCTGTGCGGCTGCTGTCGCTGCGCTCCTCGGGGTCACGCGCGGCGGAATCTCGGCGCGGTCACGAGCCCCGTGCGTAAAGTGACAACCACATCGGCCACAGTCATCACCGTCACCATCATCATCATCATCGACATCATCGATACCGAGGCGCTCCAACGACATCGACGAACATCGGCGACGTCAACTCCATCATCATCATCATCGACACGCTTACAGATGCGTGTCTTACGATAAGAATGATGTAAATGTTATATTCGTATGAGACATCGATATAACCGCTATATAATTATAATAACGACGAGAGCCGCATCATTTTAAAAGTGGATAACCGCGGACGCCGGAATATAAAAGAAAGAGCACATATAGATAATCATCGATCTAACGGGCAGACACGCGCGCTGACGCTCACGCTCTCGACTCCGCATGTGCGCGCTGCCTGTCGCAGGCTTCGTGGCTCGCACGCATTCGTGGGGAACTCTCTCTGCCCTCACCCGAACCTCACCACACCGCTACCCTAGCCATCACCAAGAACGAGACATCACCACAATCAGCACCGCGTTATCAATATAACCACGGCCAGCTACACCTCATGACCAACGAAATCACAATCGATACCTCATCGGCCAGATCACCATAACCAACTCACCGTCACCGACAAAACCTCCACGGCCACTAAAGACCCGACGAGCCTCCCCACTGACCCTCGTAAACCTTGGGAGGGGGGTGGGGGTCCTAACCATCAGCGGCGCTCGTGTCATCTCGTCGTGCGGACCGCCCGCTACCGAGAGCCGATCCTCACACTCGCTATCTAGAGGGACACTCAAGGGAGCTTCCAGAAGCCGAGAGACACACAGAGAGAGAGACGCAAACAGCAGCAGCAGGAGCCAGCAGCAGAGCCAGCAGCAGGAGTCAACGGCAAGGATGGACGACGGAGACTTCCACTCCCGCGGCGCGTTCGGCGTGTGGGACTACGTGGTGTTCGCTGCCATGCTGCTCGTGTCCACCGCCATCGGCGTCTACTACGCCGTCTTCGACCGCTCGCAGCAGACCGCGGGCGGCTTCCTGGTGGGAGGCCGCCAGATGTCGGCAGCCCCCGTGGCGCTGTCCCTCACGGCGAGCTTCATGTCCGGTGAGTGACCCCTCCGCTACCGTGCAGGACATCCCCGCACGAGGCCCGCTGTCGTTGTCGGCATTCTCATCGTCGTCACTGTCCTCGTCCGTCATCGTTACTGTCACCTTCGCTATTGTCGTCGATTGTTACTGCCGTATTCGTCATCATGAGCATCATCATCATCATTAATCGTTACACTCATCTTCATCATCAATTAGTACTGCGATCATCATCGTAATCAATCGTTACTGTCATCATCATCAATCGTTCCTTTCATCTTCATCATCCACATCGCTGCTTATTGAGATGATCGATATTGTCACTTAATTACGTGAGTTATTAATCGTGTCGATAGTGCAGTCATTATTAATTCATCATCATCATCGTCATCAGTCGTTACTATCGTCATCATTGCTGTTACTGTAATCAACATTTTTTTTAACATAATGAAAACTGTTATCATCATCACGGCAGATATTGATCATCATGACCATTGCTATTATTGAGATTATGTTAGTGTTGATGATGATTATTTCGCCATAATGATATACGCGATCATTCTCCTCATTTTGGTTCTTGAATAAGCATAATAACAACATATTTCAACAAATCGAAAGTAATGAGGAGTAGCCCTTAAATGATCAATACAACTTAATGCATTTTTCAGTAAGACTGTGGCCTGAACATATATATAATCAGCGACGTTTCGGGTAATGGTCCTACAGAGCATATTCATATCACATAGTCCTATATTGTAACCTATAGGAGAGGCGTTGCTAGTCGTGATAGCATGGCATAAAGAATCATCATGGTTGATGCCGCCGTGATTACGGTCACCTTTATGAGTGACACGGCGTGGTAAAGATCAGCAGTTGGGCCATGAACACGCGAGTTTGTGATCCCTGCACCCACCCCCTCCACCCACCCCCCTCCGCCCACCCCACCCACCCACTCCACCCACCCCCCTCCACCCACCCCCCTCCACCCACCCCCCTCCACCCCACTCCTCACCGCCCCGCCTGTCATCCCGGCCCCGATCCGTGTTCTCCGACTCGATGAACCTGCTCCTAAATCTTTCCAAAGCACTTCGACCAGGGGTCGGCAACCGACATCACAACACGAGCCGTTTATTTAGAATTCGGCAACCCAAACGAACTGAATATGTCCAGAGCCGCAATGCACGGTGGTGGTGGTGGTGAATACGAGAGACGGTGGTGGTCCTTCACAAAGAACGCGTCACCACGACGCAGTCCTTCAAGAGCCACCGCGTGCGGCTCTGGAGTCAGAGGCTGCCGGCCCCTGGCCGAGATTTACACAAAGGGCGCAGTGGGTCAGCGGTACTGCGATGGTAATAATGAGTTCGATTCCCGTCCACGGCGAACATCAGAGACGAGAGGTATCTCCCGCGTCTTCACCCGAACCTAGACTCATCAGCGCGACGAGTTCGAGCCAGAGAACCCGTGCTGTGGGAGCCAGCCGTCATTCAGCAGTGGATTAACAAAGGGCTGTACATTAATGATTGCATTAGGGGGAGTTCGTGTACAAGAGGCGTTTACACATTGCAGAGCATCGTGCGCTTTGCGTCTTTTTTCCACCACCTTTTAGCAAAGTCGTAATTTAAACACAAATTATCTGCTGCTGCGTTGGGCAGTGATGCACCAGCACGAACAACACAACAAACAAAGCTCAACACATTGGTCAATTACGCCGTGGTCTTAAAATTAAGTATATATAGCACATGCAGGGTGGCCTAAACGTAAATTAAAATTTGATTTTTTTTCTTTTACGAAAGATGAACGAGATCAATTAGTGTGTTTATGTGTGCGAAAGAAGGCAGCATGCATGCATCGATGTTCATTGAAGTCAATTTAAACATTTGTCAAAATAAATTATTTAACCCAATGTGAGACAAAGACGTCCGGCGTGGTACTTGCCACCCACCGCTTCATGTGCCGTTCATGCCATTATCGGTGCTCGTGAACAGCACGGCTGGCTACCTATTGTACACTCTCATCGTTGTCACATGCCCCTACTGGAGATCTATGAAAGAGCCCTTCATAGCTCATCGGACTTCTCCTCCTGTGCTTTCCCCCTCTTTCTTCCTGATGACGATCGCTTGTGTTGTGATCGAAACGTCGTCGTTTTTAAAAATTATTTTACGTTTATTATTTTTATTAATTTGTACCTACCTACGTGACTTTACCGAAAGACCCAAAGAACATGAATTTCTGCAGTCACGAAAACTTTAAGTCAAGATTCATGTTTTATTTTGCCAGGTAAAGCCCACTGAGCCTTTTCTCAGAAGCGACCTCGTCGCAATTTATTACTCAACGAAGTGGGGTAGTTACGTGGGGATGTCTAGCAGCCTCAACGACGTGGGCTCTTCACGTGGGATGTAGAGCAGCCTCAACGAAGTGGGCTCTTCACGTGGAGATGTAGAGCAGCAGCCTCAACGAAGTGGGCTCTTCACGTGGGATGTAGAGCAGCCTCAACGAAGTGGGCTCTTCACGTGGGGATGTAGAGCAGCCAAATACTCTAAACGCACGTTTTTAAATGTGGTGGGAAAAACCGGAGGACCTAGAGAAAAATCCACGTGACCACGTGGAGAACATGCAAGCTCCATATGCACAAGCGTGAGGGTCGGGATCGAACCCACGACCTTCTGTATACCAGGCGAGGGAGTTAACATCTCATCGCCGCCGTTGCGCCCACGGTGCTAGACTCGCGTTGGGTGTCCGCGTGTGCTCGCGCGGCGCGCAGGGGTCACGGTGCTGGGCACGCCGGCCGAGATCTACCGCTTCGGGGCGATCTTCTCATGCTTCTCGTTCACCTACCTGCTGGTGGTGCTCGCCACCGCCGAGGGATTCCTGCCGGTCTTCTACCGCCTCGGGGTCACCAGCACATACGAGGTGCGCCAGCATCAACATCATCATCATCACCAACATCAACATCATCATCACCAACATCAACATCATCATCACCAACAACAACAACATCAACATCATCACTGTCGTGATCGCCAGCATCACCATTACTATCTTCACCGTCACCGTCATCATTGCCTGCGGACAACTGATCCTGAAAGCTGCCGATCTAAGAAGGCGAAGCAGGTCTTAAGCCTGGTTAGTGCTTTGCCATGCAGGTGTCTATGATGGTGGGGCTGGCTGCAAGGTATTTTGACTGTGGTCTTGATGACGGCCTCCACCACGCCGTGTCGACCACGTGTGTGGGGGGGGAGGGAGTGAATGACCATACTTCACCACGCTGCTGGTCGGTGCGGCAAAGGGTGCGCACAGGACCGGTCCTGGCATTCACTCGCGGTGCGTCAACCACAATGCCACCGCTCTCCGCCCCATATCATCTAGCCAATACTACTAACTTCATTAAATAGTTAAAATAATAAACCGTTTACAGGTATGTATGGCGCACGTATGGACATCTCTCGTCATAGACGCAGCGTAACGCGTCTCCCAATGGCTGGTAGTTCAATCAATGGGCAAGTTTCTCACATCCACCCGTGCCCCCGCGCCTCTCCCCACCGCCCACCCGACGTCATCGCGGCGCGGTAACAGAACCACCAGCCTGTGCCCGGCGCGTCCTTCACGCCGGGCCTTCCACACGCGAGCAGCACGTGGCCGTGTCTCTGCGTCTCTCTGTCGCCTCCGTCTGAATGAGCGCCGCTGCTGGGGGCGTGCGCGCCATCGCCTGCGGTCACAGATTGTTACCCGGGAGGGGGGAGCGGTGGTGCAAGTGGCTATAGCCCTGCTGCTGCTGATGCTGCTGTGACCCCGAGCAGCCATGGATAACACCAGCGGGAGTGATCTGAACCGGCCCTGGGTCCTCATTCCCGGTCCTTTACGTAACCCAGCGTGGTGAAGTATGGTCGAACAATCCCAATGACCGACAATGGCGCCAAGAGGCCCCTCCGAGTGAAGCAGTGAGTTGACAATTTGCTCTGCACGAGGAGTTTGGCGGGGAGCAGAGTCAAGGGGTAATGAAGGGGAGAAGGTAAAGGGGGAAGATAGAAGAAGATAAAGAATGGGGAGGGTGATGGAATATGAGCTGAGGCATTGGAGCAAAGCGTCGAGTGAGAGAGATGAGGAGGGAGGGAGGAGGAGGAGAGGCAGGAGTAGGCTGCGTCAGGGCATCAACGCTGCTGCTTTAGGGCGGAACGGCGTCTGTTCTCAGAGTGGGCGGCGGTGAGAGGGGAGGGGTTTAGGGTCGGGGGTGGAGGGTGGCCACGTATAAGTCACGTATCGATTATTGTTATTGCCAAGCGTATCAGTCATATGGCATCCTGAGCCGTCAGTGACAATCTTTCGTACACAACGGATATCCTGGTCCTCGACATGACAATGTGGACATTCTACCGTTGACTCAGGAGCGCCAGTGGAGACGAGCGATGGCTCGCGCTCATTTGAGCGATGTCGCTTGGGCACACTTCGAGATTCTCTTTAGTCTCACGGACGACGTTGCCGGGAACGACGATGACGACGCGGCGCGCGTGTGTCTGTGTCTGTGCTGCCTCTCGTCCCCGATCGCAGTACCTGGAGATGCGGTTCGGTCAGTCGGTTCGTCTCTGCGCCACCGCGATGTACATCGTGCAGACGGTGAGACAACCCTGCTGTCAATCACACCCCCCCCCCCCACGCCCTCCCCACCACCCTCCTCGCCTCGCAGCCTGCATCCCCACTCACCCCAACACAGCGTCGTGGGATGCAGCTCGCATGAACGACGTTATGAAAATTACAGTATTAATATTAACCCACGATTGTCTAATTATATGTAACTATTGATATACACATTTTTAAAAGCCTTAACACACTTTTGGGGCAAGTGCTGTGCTGTACCCAACACAATGTATCCAATGTACCCAATACAATGCACCCAATACAATGTACCCAATACAATGTACCCAATACAATGTACCCAATACAATGTACCCAACACAATGTACCCAATACAACGTGTCCCGTAACCGCCACCACGTGTGCAGTAATGTGTCGCTGAGTTCGCACGCCCCATTGGGACCAGCCCCCAGCCCACGGCTCCTGGAAGGGATTCTTCAAAGCTCGCGCCGCTGGCTCTCAGAGAACCTCGACGTCGTCAGGGTCACGAGCGAAGGCATTTATGGGCATTGTTACGCGTTACTTCCGCATGTTATGTAACCGGGGCTATTGTGATTTACGGGACCTTTGCCAGTCAATCCACTGCTGGATTAAAACCATCCTTATGGTGTGTTGGGCATTTGGGGGGGAGGGAGTTAATTGACCATACTTCACCACGCTGGTCATTGCTGTTTGGTGAAGGGATGGGGGAGGAGGTTGGAGCAATGGCCCATTGAGAGGACACTCGCCAATGAATGTTACATCCGTAGCCGGGAATCGAACTCAGGTGGCCGGGTTTTATAGCGTACAGCATAGTGCTGTAGCAACTGCGCTACCACTCCCACTCAACGCGGCTGCTGCTGCTGTTGCCTTCAAGACACTGGCCGATGGGAGTGCAGTGCGAACTCGTGCACGCGGACACAGAGGTCAGGGAACACACAGCGTGGCCCACATTTGGTCGTTATATTTATTTTAACAAATCACATAGGAATTTTTTTTAATGGACAATTGTTCACACTGACTTCCATGAACACCAATGCATGACGCACGAATACATTCTCTTTTGAAAGGAATGTAGGATTACGGATGCAATATTTGAACCGTTCATCAATTTAGTTTTTCATGTTTTTTTCCCTCAATTTATCAGGTTTTTGGTCGAGGTTAGTATAATAATTGGGGGGTAAACGTCGACGCGTCCATTACATTGCGTGGCGTGAATACATTTAGAACGTGGGCAATGCGGTTTAAATTTAAAGAAGCTGATAGATTCGTAGCAAATTCCACAGTTGAGTCAAGCAGTTCTGTTGCAAGAACGATGAGCACAACTCATTGGACAGGATATCAGAGTCATATAGAGATGCATAGAGTTACATAGAGACTCAGAGAGTTGCATCGTGATCAGGTAGCGTTACACAGAGATCCATCATGTTTCACAGCGATTCGCAGAGTGACACAGAGATTCACAGAGTTACACAGAGATTCACAGTGATACAGATATCCAAAAGGTGACATGGACATCCACAGAGTTACGTAGAGATCGATGGACTCAAGAGTCGGACTCAGCTGGTAAGAAGGCCCCGTTCAGCTAAGTAGCTCTTCTGTTACCAGGACTACAGCCCAAGACTGTCTGCAGTGGCTATCATTGCAGAGTGGAGGGGAATGTCCTAACTTAACAAGAAGTAACAACAGCAATAATATATGGTTTACCGCCAGCAGTTGTCAAACTACTCGTGTAACACACGCACAGGGCACCAGATAGCGAGAGAAGCAATTCCGCATTGGACTGTGGGCAGTTACTCTATTGGTGTGGAAACATTTGCATTGAAGACGTTGAGTTATTTCTGACAATACGGAATGATAACCTTCCCCCTGCTGTCATGATAACCCCTGGTTATCACTGAGTGAAGTTCAACTTCGTTGATGTAGGGGTCAAGGTTAAAGCTGGATGCGTTAATTCAAAGTGTGCGCGACAGGTCTGGATTTAAGAGCTAACTGATTAAGAGAACTGTAAACATGGGGGGGGGGGGGGGGGTCGTGGGAGAGGTGGCGCAATGGTAAGCGCACGACGCTATGAGCCCCACGTGGTAAAACAAGCAGTGGCGAGTTTTATCCGAACCGGTTTTGCACCCTAGGCCCTTCACAAAACCCCGCACTGACCAGTGTGGTGAAGTATGGTCAACAAACACCCCCACGACCGCCGCCAGGGTATGTGTAGGCCTTCGTCCAGCAGTGGATTTACAGAGGGCTCTACAATTAAAACGGCATGACTGTGCGCTTTTTCTCCTTCTACAAACAAAAACGCCGCACACGAGTCGAGAGTGACCCTCGTACCCTGCAGAAGGCCCTTCCAGAATAACAGATAACCATCGCACTCCCCTGCAAATAAGATAACGACACAATGGGTATGGACACATCCAACTCGGCAATGTGCTCGGAGTGCATTGGTCAGTGCTGGTAAACATTGCCGATGCATTTGCGTGAGTTCACCCCGAGTGTAAAGGTTGTGGTGGCAAGCGCCATCAACATGATTAACGTCGTGTTGATGTTTGGACAGCGGTGTGGCTATCGAGTCAGTGTGCAGGCGGTGATGTTGCACCGCACTTGACTCCCCCCCCCCTCCGGGGCTGGAGGGGCACCAAGGGCCGAAGAGGAGGGGATCCGTATAGGGGACCTCACTTCATCCCGAGGTGCACCCCACGGCCCGTGCCTAGCACGCGCGGTCACCATATGCTGAAGTCAAGCGGCGCCACTGGCCTGCAGTGTCGTCACAGGACTGCCAATGCCAACTAATTGCATTGGCACGTTTTTTCGTAGCAATTTTAGTCAAGAATCAACTTTGTTGTTGTTATTTTGTTCTGAAATTTTCTGGCAACGCTGACAAAAATCTTGGTGTGGGCACCTCGGGTCCTTCCAGCTAAAATCAAATGTCCGTCGTTGAATTCCACCTGCTTGAATGTGCTCTCACGTGGCACGTGACTCAGCACGTGTTGTGTGTCTGTGTGTGACCGCAGATCCTCTACACGGGCATTGTGATTTACGCACCGGCTCTCGCGTTAAACCAAGGTAACGCAACACATTCCAGTCTGAAGTGTTGTTTGGGGTACACCAGGTGGCAACCAAAGCAACCGGGATAAGTCTCACCTGGGGCATTACCATATTACTATTCGATGGCAATAACTCGATAATACATTTTATATTAGCATTGTGATTAATATAACGCCCTCTAGTGGCTGGAGGGGGTGGAGTGACCCTACGTTGTCACCAGAGGGCAAGTATGTATGTTGAACTTGAACTTCGTACGATGAACTTCTTTCGAAGCCAGCCGTGCTAATCGGAGGTGCGGGAGAAGGGCAATACACTTGGCGCAGCAACATCCATTGTTTTGTATTGTACTATGGTACGTCTATGTGCCCCGCCCGTGTTAACCCGCACTGACCAGCATGGTGAAGTATGGTAAAAAAAAACCCTAATCCCGCAATGGACTGACAATGTGACGTACGTGTGCATTAGTCCATGGGCCAGAGCAGAAATCGGTGCCACTTAACGCAACCAAGATTGAGTCGTATCAGTGTAACTTGTACGGCCAAAACGAGTTGATTACTTCATAACTCCACTCATTTAAATTCGTTTCGTTTACGTAATTCACGATTATTGTCCACATCGGGCAATTGGAGCCTCCCACGTTACACCACCTCGCGTGGTACTGACACGTGCCATATCTGGTCTGGACTCCTGGACCCACATGTACACCTGGGCGTGTGCACACACACAGGCGCGGGCATCTTCTTACGGGCCTGTTACTCACTATACGCCACTATTGGTGTCATTGTTTATTGGCCTATTTGAAAAAAAAAAAACTGGTCACCAGATTTAATTGTACAATTTTAATTGTCACTCCATGCTGTAAACTGACCCTTACTCGCCACTCTGCCTCTCTCCTCGCTTTGTACGTGCTATGAAGAAGGGCAATTGCCAGAAGCGTGGGCTAATATATAGTGGGGGGTGCTTTGTTCTATGAAGGCCACATGCATCGTGTCGCTATTTGCGGACGCGTTGAGTCGTGCGGACGAGCGCGCTGACGCGCGCCTCTTGTCGCCGCGCGCAGTGACCGGCTTCAACCTCTGGGGGGCGGTGGTGGCGACGGGAGCCGTGTGCACTCTCTACTGCACCCTGGTGAGACGACGACAAATACAAAGACCCCCCCGATAGCCTCCAACAGACTGCGGGGGCAAGTGCGGTTAGCGAGTAGCGGCTATGAAGGCCGGCGCGGCACACAAGGGAAGTGGGTGGCCAATACCACGCCCGGCCGGCCGCCTTTGTCTCCACAGTGATGATGTTTACACACCTGCATCAGGTACTGTACCCTCACTTTGAGGCTGAGCCGACATAGGGGAGGCCCATGACTGATTCAGATATTCCGCCACTGATATTAAGCGTAAGCGCGAATTGTAGCTCAGTGCGCTCCCCACACCCTTGGCGAGACCACGCACGCACGCACACACGCACACACACACGCACGCACACACACACGCACGCACGCACGCTTGTACTGGTCATCCGTGACAAAGAGTGCTATGGCTCACTTAGTTAAGTGAACATGACTCGCAAACACTGAAGCCTGGACGTATATAATTAACACAAATGTGCCATGCGCTAGAGCAGTGTTCGTCACTTATGTTAAGAGGGAGGCCACGTTCGCCAATAAGGCGTCAGAGTGAGAGCCGCCACACCGCCTGGAAGACAAAATCTTGCAATCCTGTGTCGGGGGCCGCACTGAAGTAGGCCCGCAATGAAGAGCACCGCGCGAGAGGAAGCAATGAGGAGGAGGAGGAGGACGAGCCCCGGGCCCCGTCTGCTGTGCTGTGTGCGCGTCGCTCTGCAGGGCGGCCTCAAGGCGGTGGTGTGGACGGACGTGTTCCAGTGCGGCGTGATGGTCGCCGGCTTCATAGCCGTCATCGTGCAGGGCACAAACCTGGCCGGAGGGATCAACGTCGTGTGGGAGCAGGCGGCCAACGGGAGCCGACTCAACTTCTGGGAGTGAGCGCCGGCGCGCGTGCACACACACACAGACAAAGATCCCCCGTATAGCCTTTTACACACTGTTTGGACAAGAGCACCCATTATTATTATTATTGTTAAGGCCAGCATGGCACGCGAGGGAGTTGGTGGCCAGCACCGTGCCCGGCCGCGTTTGTATCCCGAGTGGCGATGTTTGCCCACCACTGCTCCAGGTATTTAATTCAGGGTGAGTGGACCTAGGGGTGGCCCAGGACAGGTTTAGATACTCGTTGCTGGTTCTCTGCTTCGTGGAACACCTCACGGGTTGAATCCCTACCTCGGATACAGGTTATTTGTGTATCCATCCTCTTTGGCGAGAGCGTACCTCTGCTGAGTGGTGTTATCCAAAAAAATCAATTAAGCTATTTTATTTTACCAGAGGCGACTCGGCCACAGATAACGAATTGTTCATTGAAGTGGCTTTTATGATCAACATCACACGTGGGGATTTATAGTCGCAGTCAAATAATCGAAGCGTGCGATGTTTCTAAACGTGGAAGGCAAAACCGGAGTAACTCAGAGAACAATCCACGCTACCAACACGAGAAGAAAGAGAACACGCGAACTCCAAATATCCACGAGACATCGTCAGGGTCTGGCATCGAACACACGAGCTCCTGTATACCAGGCGAGGGAGATAACATCTCTCCACCTCGAGATGTGGGGATGGGGAGAGGGATTCCGAGTGGGGGTGGCCACACAGATGGCACGTGATTTACGGGAGGCACATGCACACACACACAAATACATGGCCCGTAGATTGCAACTTCAAATCTTCACTGATCTCACTTCACTCGCTCTGGTTCCCATCCCTTGTCTATTGACCCCCCCCCCCCTCTGTCCCCCACCACCCCCCCCCCCCCCCCCGGGCCACCCCTCCAGTTTCGACCCGGACCCGCTGCGCCGCCACACATTCTGGACGATCCTGGCGGGCGGGTGGTTCACGTGGCTCGCCGTGTACGGCGTCAACCAGTCGCAGGTGCAGCGCTACATCGCCTGCCGCTCCATGGTGCAGGCCAAGCTGTGAGTGAGGCTGCCGCCAGGGCTCGCAGCGTGAGACAGCGCCCCCATCCGTAGGGAGGGGGGGGGTGTTCACGGGGTGGGTGCCACATTGTGTTCATGGCGGGCAGTGTGTGAATGGGGGGGGGGTGTTCATGGGGTGGGTGCCACATTGTGTTCATGGCGGGCAGTGTGTGAATGGGGGGGGGTGTTCACGAGGTGGGTGCCACATTGTGTTCGTGGCGGGCAGTGTGTGAATGGGGGGCAGGGGGGTGTTCATGGGGTGGGTGCCACATTGTGTTGTTGGCGGGCAGTGTGTGAATGGGGGGCAGGGGGGGTGTTCGTGAAATAACAGCAAAGGCATGGGAAAGGAATGGATAAACGGGACCAAAAGGGTCAGATAAGACGAGGATTGGGACGAATCAAAATCAGACTGTTTATTTATGGAGCTCTTTTTCACAGATGTCCCGTAGGGGCGGGTCGGAAAGTTACAACAACAATCAACAGCGACCAGTCACTGCTGATGTAGAAGGATCCCGACGCTGCTGCTGCTTCACGGAGCGGCGTCTGTTCCCCCAGGGGGCGGGGAGAAGCGGATTCAGAGTGGGGGGTGGCCACACAGAAGTCACGTGGTTGACGGGAAACTTGAGTTGTGTAGATATGGATTGCAGATGCGTGCATGCTTGTCCTTGATATACCTTCACTAATACACGTGTGTGTGTGGCGCTGTATGGAGCGGCGCTGCAGTGGTTTGCGTGCTGGACTACAAACCAGACAACCTGGGTTTGATTATTGCTCACAGATACCATCAGTCGCGAGTGATGTCTGAACTGGTCATGGTCCTCAAATGGGGTCCCTTGTGCGGTGGGCAAACATCGCCACGCGGAGACAAAGGCGACCGTGCGTGGTGCTGGCCACCGACCCAACCACCCACTCGGTTACCGTGCCGGCCTTCATAGGTGCTCGCGAACAGCACTTGCCTGGAAAGTCTGTTGAGGCTACACGGGGGGATCTTTGTTTGCTTGCAGGGCTCTCTATTTAAACCTGGTGGGGCTGGTGTTGATCCTGTGGTGCGTGGTTCTGTGCGGCCTCCTCATCCACTCCTTCTACAAGGACTGCGACCCCTTCACCAATGGAGAGATCAGCGCCCCCGATCAGGTACGACACTGGGCAGATGATTCAGCAACGACGATGCTGTGGTCAGCTCGTAACTTTTTTTCACAACCGCTTTTCCTGAGTTGCTCACCACCAGGGGTAGCAAGAACTCTACCACCAGCATGACAATAAATCCTGACCAAAATCTTAGCTCGAAAATGTGTAGATGTTTTTTTCTCCCACATGTAAACCCTCGTGCATTGGTTGAGAGTACCTTAATATGTAGAGGACCGCAGAGCTTGATACACTGTTTGTGCCGGGTCACCATTTGGCTACTGCGACTGCTGCCTTCTTGCTGGTCTGTGCTTCCTCCTCCTGGTGCCTCCTAGTCATTCTTTATCTCACTGAGTCGTCCTCACTGAGACGTTCTTTATCTCACTGAGTCGTCCTCACTGAGTCGTTCACTCTCTCTCTCTCTCTTCGAGAGCGAGCGAACACTGCTCTGCAGCGGCGCGTTACGAGTTGAGACCGCCAACTTATTATATTCATGAGTGTGTGCGTTTGGGGAGCGGTGGTGCAATGGTTCACGCACGGCATTACAAACCCGGCGATTCGGGTTTGATTACCACGAACGACCAATAGCAGTGGCGAATTCAGCTTCAAATGAGTACCTGGTGCGATGTGTAAACATCGCCACAGGGGAGACAAAGGTGGCCGGACGTGGTGCTGGCCACCAACCCCCTCGTGTGCCGTGACGGCCTTCATAGGTGCTCGCTAACAACACTTGCCCGAACCGTCTGTTAAGGCTACACGGGGGATCTTTGTCTTTGCACGCGCGTGTGTGTTTGTAACCCCCCTCCCCCCCTCCCCTAGGTGCTGCCCTACCTGGTGGTCAACTTGTTCCGGGGATACCCCGGGCTGCCCGGTCTCTTCGTGGCTGCTGCTTACAGCGGGACGCTCAGGTGGGAGACACGCGCACGGCACGCGACACTCCATCTGTACACGTGCACGTATCACGCACGCGTATCACACGCGTATCGCACACGCGTATCACACGCGTATCGCACACGCGTATCACACGCGTATCGCACACGCGTATCACACACGCGTATCACACACGTACCGCACACACGTATCACGCACGCGTATCGCACACGCGTATCACACACGCGTATCACACACGTACCGCACACACGTATCACACACGCGTATCACACACACGTATCAAACACGTACCGCACACACGTATCACACACACGTATCACACACACGTATCACACACGTATCGCACACACGTATCACACACGCGTATCGCACACACGTATCACACACGTACCGCACACGCGTACCGCACACACGTATCACACACACGTATCGCACACACGTATCACACACGTACCGCACACACGTATCACACACGCGTATCGCACACACGTATCACACACGTACCGCACACGCGTACCACACACACGTATCACACACACGTATCACACACGTGTATCGCACACACGTATCACACACACGTATCACACACGTACCGCACACACGTATCACACACGCGTATCGCACACACGTATCACACACGTACCGCACACGCGTACCACACACACGTATCACACACACGTATCACACACGTGTATCGCACACACGTATCACACACACGTATCACACACACGTATCACACACACGTATCACACACGCGTATCGCACACACGTGTGTGTGCAGGGGATTGTTTCAATCCGCTGCTGTGCGCAAACTCCCCCCTCCCTCCCGCCCCCCTCCCCTGCCCCCACCCCAGCACGGTGTCGTCCAGCATCAACGCCCTGGCCACCGTGACGCTGGAGGACATTCTGAGGCCTCGGCTGCCCTTCCTGCGCGGAGCCTCCGAGAGGAAGCTCTCGTGGACCTCCAAGGGCCTGAGTACGCACAACAACAACACGTACACACACAACAACTACACGTGCACACACAACAACAACACGTGCACACACAACAACACAACAACAACACGTGCACACACAACATAAAAATACTGCCATCATTTGTCACTAAGTGGCGGGGATGTCAACACTGCGCCCGTGCCAGGCCAGGTGCACTTTGAAACTATCACGTGAAGTGTCCACAGCTCACTGCTGGCAGGGGTTACGGGACAGACCCAGGTTCCATGAGTTGACAGGCTGAGATGACTGGCCAATGCACCACTTGCGCGCCCTACTGTGCAAAAATACAAAGATCCCCCGTATAGCCTGAACAGACTTTTGGCGAAAGTGCTGTTAGCGAGTAGCACCGATGAAGGCAGTGGTTCGCCAGCTCTGTGCCTGGCTGCCTTCGTCTCTCGAGTGATTCTGTTTTACACATCGCACCGGGTATCCATTTTTGAGGCTGAGTCGACCTAGATAGCCCAGGACAGATTCAGGTAATCGTCACTGGTGCTAGCCGTGAGCGGGAATCGAACTCTGCTCGCCAGGTTCATAATTCTGGACGCTAACCGCTGCACCACAGCTCCCCTGTTGTGCACATACGTTCTTGTTCGCGAGTAGATGGACATTCTGCGTTATTTGTTTATAAATTAACAGTTAACCCTCGATTCATCTCCGCACAGATATTTATATATTTTTAATTTTCAGGTTCAGGAAACCCATCAATTGGTTACAGATTCGTAAAAAATGTTACGACTTTTCTACGATGGATTTCAATGTTGCGATTTGCTGACAAGTGCGGCCATCACCCATGCAGTGTTGGGGGCGAACGAGCACAAAGCAGTATCAGGGCTCGGTTCTTTCCGTGACGTTCATGCAACGTTATGACTTTTTATAAGTAGGCGATCTCCAGTAGTTGTATTCTTTGGGATGTGTACACAGTGATAGAGCTTGATGCACTGCCATCTGCTGCCCACAATGTACCCCCACAGCCGCCTCGAACTCAGTGTTCTTCATTGCAAGGCCACTGGCGTCCCCTGATGGGCCTGAGTGCGACCCCTGGCGCACCACATCGTGGTGCTGTCAAACCCCCAATGGTGTCAAACATGCGGCGGCCCTCACACTGACGATGTCTTATCGGCCAAAGTGCCCCCCCCCTTTCTGAAAATGTGTGAAGAAGACTGCTCCAACACCTGCCTTCTGCACGGTAGGCAGCAATCTAAAGGCAACGTGTCCTACCTATAGCTTCTGAGATCTGGTTAAGACCGGGCGCGTTTGTCAGACGATCTGTTAGTAGGAAACATCTTCACAGCCGTAGTTCATCGTAGATGGCCTTAATTTGACCGAGACGGGAAAGGCCAGGCGATGACGCGGAGAGTAACACTTTCATTTAGTTTACGATGACAAGATGCAATGAAGGGAACGACAACGATGAGAAGTTATCGACCTAGCAGCGTGACTCTGCGTGCTCCGTGCGTGTGCCAGGTGTGTTCTTCGGAGGCGTCTGCATCGTGATGTCCTTGGTGGCGTCGCTGTTGGGGAACGTGCTGCAGGTGAATGCGTCTCACCCGCGGCACGTCGCTGCCACGCGCATTCTCTCCCTCGTGCTGCGCGACTATTCCTCGGGGTCGTCGGTGACTGGACTGTGACCAATCACCTTTCTCGACAGCAGCGTTCGCCTCTGCGAGTATATTTGACTGTGTTTGTGTGTACAGGCCGCGCTAAGCATCCTGGGCATGATGGGAGGGCCCTTGCTCGGACTCTTCATTCTCGGAATTTATTTCCCGTGGGCCAACGAGTTGGTGAGTGCACACACTGCACCACACTGCATCGCACGCACCACAATGCACCACACTACACAGGACCACACCACAGCATACTGCACGGCACCACACCGCACTGCACTGCACCACACCAAACTGCGCCGTAACATCGCATACCACGTGCACCAATGACAAAACATTGATTCCCACATCCGATGCAATGAATCAGTAGGATCACCAGGCAGGGTTTCTCCAACTTCGGTGCTCGCGACCCCCCCCCCCACCACGCTCCCCATTCATAAGCAAATTAACTCGTTCCACTGTGGTTACGCCCGATAATGGTTTAGCACGAGGGGTCTCCAGAAACTCATGGGAAATTTAGACAGGGCACTACACCCACCCCCACCTCCCCACCCACCCCCCATCCCCCCGATGCTATTCCCTGGGCCAGGACCCAGGAACTCCACGCTACACTACTGGGTAGTGGGAACACACATTGTGCTTGTGCCAGCAACTATGAATTGGGGAAGGAGGAGAACAAGTAGTGTGGGGAGTCAGTGTGCACGTGCGCCCAGCTCCGTGCTCTGACAGCGAGCTCCCTGGGCAGGACACTCACGACACCCGCCCAGCTCCACGGCCCCATCACCAGCTGCAGACCGCCGCACCCGTGACGTGCCTCTTCGCTCCTGGCAGGGTGCGCTGGCTGGGCTCTTCGTGGGGCTGTTTCTGTCCCTCTGGGTGGGCATCGGTGCCCAGCTCTACCCGGCCCTGCCCATCAAGACTCGACCTCTACCCCTGACCACGGCGGGATGCAACGTGATGAGCAACTACACCACAACCATATTCACCCCTACGGGAGTCACCCCGACGGGATTCACCCCGACGGGATTCACCCCGACGGGATTCACCCCGACGGTGGCCGACGTTGCAGAAATGCGGTGAGTGATGGATCACCCGCACGCTCGCCCTTGCTCGCCCTTGCTCGCCCACGGTCGCCCTCGCTTGACCAGTCTCACCTCGCGTGTGACTGAGCCTCTCTGAGGGCGCTCTATCCCATCGCAGTGGATTGACCAAGTGTCCTCAGTGGCTCATTTAGCCCGCATTCTTAACCTTTCAGTCACTTCAAGAATCAATGGCAATCTGCTGACTTTGATATGCAATTTAATAATGATTGTAAAGTGCATTGGACTAAGGTGCGATACAAATATAACACCCGATTTATAAACACTCGCACTTACGAACCAGATTCTCTGTTTTTTACATTGACTTAAAACGCGAACTCACGCTTGCAAATGGAACCGCGGAACTAAATTGTTCAGTTAAACGATCCTCCACTAGATGTCATGAGTCAGCCTCGCGCTGGGCTTCCCCGAGGTCGACACACACGTGGGTGTGAAAGGGAGCGGTGGCGTAGCGGTTAGCGCGCTGCGCTACAAAACAGGTGACCCAAGTTCGATTTCCGCTCATGGCCAATACCAGTGACGATTATCTGAGCTGGTCCTGGGCTTCCCCTAGGTCGACTCAGCCTCAAATGAGTCCCTGGTGCAGTGTGTAAACATCGCCACTGGGGAGACAAAGGCGGTCGGGCGTTGTGCTGGCCACCCACTGTTAAGGCTATACGGGGGGGGGGGGATCTTTGTCCTTGTGTGTGGGGAGCGGTAATGTCGCGGCTAGCGTGCTCTGCTATGAAAGTAGCTACCTGAGTTCGATTCCTGCTCACGGCCAACACCAGTGACAATTATCTGAACCGGTCCTGGGCCTCCCCTAGGTCGACTCAGCCTAAAATGAGTACCCGGTGTGATGTGTAAACATCGCCACGCGAGAGACAAAGGCGGCCGGGCCTAGCGTTTCGTCACAAACTCCCTCATGTACCGTGTCAGCCTTCATAGGTGCTCGCGAACAGCACTTGCCCCAACAAGTCTGTTCAGGCTATCGGGGAGATCTTTGTATTTGTCTTGTTCCCCAGGCCGACCATCGCCGATGAGTGGTACTCCATCTCCTACCTCTACTACAGCGCCGTGGGCTGCATTGGAGTGGTCGTCGCCGGTTTCATCGTCAGCATCATCTCAAGTACGAGTCCCGTGTGCACGCACGCGCGCGTGTGTGTGTGTACTTTCGTGTGTACGCACGCGTGTGTGTGTGTACTTTCGTGTGCACGCACGCGCGCGTGTGTGTGTGTACTTTCGTGTGCACGCACGCGCGCGTGTGTGTGTGTACTTTCGTGTGTACGCACGCGTGTGTGTGTGTACTTTCGTGTGTACGCATGCATGCGTGTGTGTGTACTTTCGTGTGTACGCAAGCGCGCGTGTACTTTCGTGTGCACGCGTGTGTGTGTACGTATGTGGAGTATTGGGAGCGGTAGTGCAGCAATTAGCACGCTACACTACAAACTCGACGGACCCGAGTTTGATTCCCCACTCAAGGCCACTAACACCAGAGACGATTGTCTGAACCGGTCCTGGGCCTCAACCTAGATCGACTCAGCCTCAACTGAGCTTCTGGTGCGGTGTGTAAAAACATCACCACTGGGGAGACAAAGGCGGCCGGTCGTGGTGTCGGTCATTCCCCACCCACTCACGCGTCGTGCCAGCATTCACAGTGCTAGTAGCGAACAGCACTTGACCTCTAAAGACGTCTGTTTAAGTTTATACGGGGGATCTTTGTCTTTGTGTGTGTGTGTACGCGCATTGCAGGTCGTGGGCGGGTGCGCCCCGTCAACTCGCGTCTCATCCACCCGCTCGTCCAAACCCTGCTGCGCCTGCTGCGTGTCCACAGCCTCACATACACGGTGAGCATCGCCCCTCTCCTGCATCTCCGCGCGGTCTACACGCGTGTGTGTGTGTGTTGAGTACACGTGTGTGTGTGTGTGTTGAGTACACGTGTGTGTGTGTGTTGAGTACACGTGTGTGTGTGCGTTGAGTACACGTGTTTGTGTGTGTTGAGTACACGTGTGTGTGTGTGTTGAGTACACGTGTGTGTGTGTGTGCGTTGAGTACACGTGTGTGTGTGTGCGTTGAGTACACGTGTGTGTGTTGAGTACACGTGTGTGTGTATGTGTGTGCGTTGAGTACACGTGTGTGTGTGTGCGTTGAGTACACGTGTGTGTGTGTGTGTGCGTTGAGCTTCCTTCGCACCGTGTGTGGAGCCAACCGGGCCAATCCGAAGTGGGGGGGGGGGGCAACAAACGAAACACAGAAAAGCGGTTCTCAAGAAATGTGTGTTCAATCTGGAAGATTTCAAAGTGCATAGCTCCCAGTGTCTTCCTCATATCGGAGGGAAGAGCGTTCCAGACGGCCGCACATGCGCCTCTGAAAGTGCGCGACGCGGTGACCGTCTCCCTGCAGCGTCGCGTCGGTGGTTGTAGTTGTTGTTGTGAAGAGTGAACTGTAAAAATGCGATTTTGACAGACCTCACGGAGGCTAAGCTGAGTTGAGCATGGCCACGTGTGTGGATGGGCGACCCCCACGCGTGACGAGCGTGTGTAGCAGCAGGTGTCGTGGGCAGCAGAGGGCAGTACAGCCCACTGCTGCCCTCGACTTCTCCCGCGAGCGATACGGCGTATGAGAGGATTTCATCCAGCAGTGGATTGACAAAACGGCTGGGCATTAATGTATCTTCTTATTAGCGACACTTTCCCCCGCGGTCTATAAGGGGAGGGGAAGGAAGATCCTGGGAACTGGTGCCGGCCAATCTGTTTCAAAGACAACATATATTAATTACCAGAGCACGTTAGTTTGCATGTTCACCACAAGTACGTGTGGTTAACGCGGACTTGATTCCTTGCATCGATCTACATTTGGTGTTTGAACATCTTAACACTCCCTGTGTTATTGGCAGAAAGGGTAAAACCTATTTTTATTTTTTCATAGATCCTGGGACGTTTGGGTGATGTCGCGTTGCACGCGTGTGGCCGTGTGTGGATCTACAGGACGAGGAGGAGGGCACGGATAAGGAAGATGCGAATGGATTTGCGGAAAAAGACGGCATCCCCCCAGCGGACATCGCCCTCCACAGCACCAAGCTGTGACGGACGTCCATCACAGTTCGCATATGGGGGCGCTCCAAATGTTGTCTTTATGTTTTTACTTTTGACAACGATTCTTCCAAAAGGTGACGTCCTAACGAGCTCCATCGCCGGCATTGTTTTGCTGTTGTGTCCGGGTGTCCGTAGCAGTATCATTCTTATTTTTTTATAATTAGACAGCGATATTCGCTAAATTCGTTAAAAATACAAAGACAAAGATCCCCCGTGTAGACTCAACAGCCTGTTGGGGCAAGTGCTGTTAGTGAGCAGCAACAAATTGAGGCCTGCAGGGCACACACGGGGGCTGGGTGGCCACTTGTCGAGATGTCGTCACGTGATTTTCATATCGAAGGAAAGAGAACGCGCACGTAATTAATGGCGCCTCTTGAACTGTTGAGAAACGCTGAGCGGCGCTAGGGCAGGACGTGTCGCTCGAAATGGGCTCACGACAGACGGTCACAGATAACGACGGAGTGGGTACTGACGGAGTGGCAGCCAGAAGGTGGAGCGACAACATCGGATAGCGCGATGGATCAATGCGTCATCGCAGCAGCGTGCGAGGCTAGCAGCGTAGTACCCGTGGCTACACCGCCACGGGAAGGAGAGCAGAGTCGAGGATGAAATGAATGGGAAAAGATAAAGAGATGGGGAAGGGAAGAGAGGAGAAGAGAAAGAAAGAATGGGGAATAAGAGGAAAGGATGGGAAATGAACTGAGAAACGGGAGGAAAGCGGTGAGGAGAGATGAGAAGAGGGTGGAAGATGGTGCACGGAGCAGCGTATGTTTTCGCAGGGGGTGGCTGGGAGAGGGGGGAGGGATTCAGAGTGGGAATAGCGGCACAGAAGTCACGTGATTGACGGGAAGCCTGAGCTGGTTGAGGTACAGCTTGATGAAGCCATGAATGGTGATGATGTTGACAATACAATATCCACATCTCTGATAACCTCACACACGCCTGGTATGAGTCTCCCCCGTGGCATTGGCGGCTCGTCCTATCGCGGCTTCAGAGCCCCAAGATGCTCGCCACCACATCGGGTGCGATCGTTTTCATTGGTTGGGCTGACAGCGCTCGAGCCTTGTCGAATATACGCAAGCAGAAGGGTACACAGGAGAAGATGCTGCCATCGTTTCAACCACACACTTCAACCTGCTGTCTCTCATCATAATTCGTTCATATAAGACGATACCTCTATGGACACCCGGTGTAAGATTTAGATGTGATTTGTCGTCTTATTATGTTTTTCGCTTGTTGGGTTGGAGTCCTGTAATTCCATGAATTGTTGCAATTCAAATTTGAATTCTGGCAACAGCCTGATTATGCTGCTTGTAACTTACCAGCGACACGTGGTACGAAATCGATACGTGCGTGGATCGCTCTCAACAACAATTTGCCGTTAGCGCTGCTGAAGCGGTAATATGCCACGCTTGTTCATCACGTGACGACTTTATGCATTGGCTGTGTCGGGTGGAGGAGGGTGTACGACTCAACATTTTACTCTATGGGACCTCATCCTCAAAAATCAACTGTGAATCGTGTTGCAATTCAACGTCATGATTGTATTCAAGAATCGATTCAAATTTTGACATCGTGGTGAATGTAACGGCCACTAGTGGCTGCAGAAAGGGGCGGGTGGGGGTTCACTTGAATCTGCAAACAGGAACAATGACACACCAATTATAACCAACCATGAGCAGTTCGGCGCACGCATTTGTGGAGCTTAAAGATCGACGTTAATTTACGACTCGATGCAACATTTACACCTCTGTCTTTAACCGCAGAAAATAACATTGTAAATAAAATGTATATTGGGTGACAGGCACATAACGTGCTGCTCTTCGTCGGCGAGCGATGCAGAACCACGTGGCTTTTGGCTGAGGAAAGCGCCCGTAGAAGTGATGGGCCATAATGGACACCGCACGACTGCATATCGCTTCTCTCGCTGGCGCTGTACAGCTCTCCGATGCGGTTCTTGTAAAAAAAATTGAATTGTACCGCGGCGTCGTTGAGCACGATACATGTTCGACGTCTCGCTCCACCAACCTGCTGCAGGGCTGTGGGGCGAAACTTCAGACACCGTGCCGAACGACAACGCGGGCACGACCTCGAAAAACACTCGGGCCGAGAGCTGAGGTTCTCCGATTATTCGGTTTGATGAACGATGTCGTCCTGTTGGTGACACCTTTACTCGACACTCCCCAACAGGACACGTGTGCTTACCTTGTGACATTACTAATAGTGCAATGGGAATATCTAAACTATTTCTAAACTATAAACAACTACTTTTTTATTTTATCAGGTAAAGCCGACTGAGCTGTAGCTCTTTATCTACGGGGTTGAGCCACAGATGATAGCTCAACGAAGTGGCTTGTTACGTGGAAATGTATATCAGCCAAATACTCTCAAGGCATATTTTAATCAGAATGGATGCGGGATAAGTTGTTTGCAAGGAACCACACACACGCATCACATGTGCTATAGGCTTTGGGGATACGTGAAGCAAATACTGTAAGTAAAAGCGCGATTATTATAACCGAGGTTCTCACGAGTGCTTAGAATGCATACATTGTCAGCTCTATTCAACAGTTGCATGTTGTACTGAACTGGGTCAATGTCTGTCAGGAGTCTCGAACATCGTGCAGCGGCAGTGAGTTCCAGTCTGATGTACCGCTGAGTAGGTGAGTGTGTGGGTAGGTGAGTTCCAGTCTGATGTACCGCTGAGTAGGTGAGTGTGTGGGTGAGTAGGTGAGTGTGTGGGTGAGTAGGTGAGTGTGCGGGTAGGCGAGTTCCAGTCTGATGTACCGCTGAGTAGGTGAGTGTGTGGGTAGGTGAGTTCCAGTCTGATGTACCGCTGAGTAGGTGAGTGTGTGGGTGAGTAGGTGAGTGTGTGGGTGAGTAGGTGAGTGTGCGGGTAGGCGAGTTCCAGTCTGATGTACCGCTGAGTAGGTGAGTGTGTGGGTGAGTAGGTGAGTCAGTGGGTAGTTGCAGGCTGATGGACCGCTGACCGCGAAATGATCAGGTCGGAATGAACTGCCGAGGGCAATCCAGCTAAAAATCCACCTGTTGTGCTGCACTTCTATGCTGCCACATCTATACTCACCGCCTTTAACGGACCTGCACTGATCAGCGTGCATGGTGAAGTATGCCTACATCGCCCCTACGACCCGCTCGGCGTGGGGAGGCCCTCATCCAGCGGGAACTCGCAACAAGACTGCGCACGCACACGCACCCTCCAATTGATGAAGATGTATACGTTGTGGGTGATGATGCGACATCTGGCACAAGCTGCCAGCCTCGCGGTGAACTGCCCACGGTGACTGTCCTCGCGATGAATGGGGGCCATGTAAATTTTATACTTTTTGTATATTGTGCACAACGTGTGTCTTGCTTTTCAATAAATGCTGCGCATCTCACTGGTCTGTGCTTGCGCCGTATCATCAAAACACATCCTTCTCATTATTTGTCATCATTATTATCATTCACCTGTTTGCACATGGACATGACGATCGCACAGCTGTCGCCACGTGGGAGCTGCCTAATTGGGAGCTCGCGAGGGGCCTGATTGGCAACGGTGCATGCTCACCTGGCTGGCGCGTCAAGGCAACCCCACCCACACGCACATGACAACTCCTCCCCGCACCCCCCCCAACAGCGAGTTCGCCGCTTGTTGCTGAGGTTCACGGTTCGAATCCAGCGGCCGCCCCGATTAATACGTCGGGTGTATGAACCGTTAAAGTCACTACGCCCCGTCTGCTTGACAGTGGACGTTAAAGTTCCCGTGACGTCAGACGCTAGAGGAAGCGATCGCGCGCCGGCGTCATGGTTTCAGCCATCATTCGCCCCCCCCCTCGACCCCCACCGTGAAAATCTTGCAGGACCCTCCTGAAAAAAGAGTCGCGAGACTCGGTGACACTTTCCTGGGTGAACGACCAGAACAAATCATCACGATGAGTCATCCATCACGCGCCACTGATGCTCGCCAAAGCAATTGGGAATCAAATTCAGGTGGCCAGCCAGGGTCACAGTGCAGGACACTCCACCACCACGCAGGCCTTTCGCGTGCAGGGTCGTAGGTGGAGGGGAAGGCTGAGAGGCGACGGGATACGAGAAAGGACGGATGATGCTGTCAGCGACGCAAGTGTGGGGTTGAAGCGATGCAAATCTGGTCGTGGTGTTAATAAAGTGACGACGTATTTGCGAAACAACGTAATAGGGGGAAACGTACATCTGGGTATTACTCTGCATATACATCTATTTCCGTGCTGTGGATTTTACGAGCCCAAGTTTTCGTTCGAATAAGCAGCACTTATTAGCGCAACAAACGAATAATTGTAAAGGCAGCACAAGACAGCATGTGGTAGACAGACAGCGTCACTTAGAAGTTAGCATTATAGTTATTATAAATACATCATTCACATGTAACATCGATGAGATTCATGATTACATAGCTTTAAAATTATAAATATTAATTTCATAATTTTGACAAAAGGCTACACAGGTCTCTGTTTGAAAGGCGACCTGCATTATACAAACTGATAAATATTAAAATAAACAGGTACAGTACAGGAAAAAACAAATCAGCGTCATCAAAGCACTAACTTGTTACACAGAAGACAGCTACAGTCACTAAACCATGACCCTGACTCTGACCATGACCTTAACCCTGGTCTCGCGTGCGGGCTCCGTGACCTCGCGTGACGCACACCTGGTGACGCCATCGGCGGCGTTGGTAACGAGGGCACGTGGAGGGGGGGTAGGATGAGGTGGTGGGAGAGACAAGAGAGACTTTGCCGCGTTATTCATTTCATAATTAACTGCGGTTGCCAGGTCGGCTCCCTTTGGGCGCACAGCCTCTCCCCCGCTGTGCCTCCCTCCCACTGTAGCCGACTCTGCGGCGTGGAGCGTTGCGTTGTTGAACCCGCCTACTTGAGTTCGAATGGAGGCCATCTGTGAACAAGGAGCTTTATGGCTCATCGGATTCCTCCAGTGTAAATACTGATTCTGAACATTAGTGGCGCGTGATATCTGATGGAGTCATGCGGCCCTACTACCCACCACTCACCCTCGACAAACCCCCACGATCAACACGGCGTGGGGAGGGAGTCATCCAGCAGTGGATTGGCACAGGCTTGGGAGTTATTGTTATATTACCAGTAGAGAACTCGTGGCTTTGTGAGGGAAAATAAGAGACGGCGTTGTCCCTGCTCTTCTCGCAATCCTCTTGTACTCGGATAACTTAAAGCCATCGGATTGTTGTGTAATACAATGGCAACATAATATGTCTTGTGAGGTTGCTTTATTTTTTTTATTCTGTAGAATTTAAAGGATATTCTGACGAAATCATTGCATTAATAGGAACACACAATACAACGCTGGAGCATTTTTAAATGATCCGTGGTCTGTCTTCTGTATTCGTGACTTCCACCTCTTCGTCGGTGTCGCTATTTATTATTATTATTTTCCAAACTTCTTGTTCCGCCGTTTCAATGCAGCTAAACGTTCATATTTGTTACACGGAAAATCCCGTGTAGCCACTTACCCCGATAGTTTCGGTGGCAACGGCCGCAGCAGTCTCTAACAACAACAACGACAACGTAGTTATTGTGGGGGTGGAAAGGAGCCCAGACAGCAGCCAGCCAGGAAACTCGAGGCATCGATTATTTGTACTTGCGGTGTGATTACATTACTGTCCGTGTCAGTATGGGAGGTCGCTTCTTCTCCCATGTTGGCCACACTGTCTGGAGCTCCCTTGCCCCAGCCATGCGTGCTATCGACTCCCTCCCCACCCCTACTTGAGTCTTCTCTAGACTGACTCCAGGGAAAATGCGTCCACAGTGGACTGTGCTGCCTCTTTCAACATCAGTTCATGACGTTACGCATAAGGATTATCATTTGTAATCAAACTTCATTTTATTCAGCACCCTTCAGAATAACATAGTCACAGAGCGCCTCACATGTTAACATAACATTACATCATTAATATTTGAGAGATACACAACGTAATAAATTAACAAAATTAAGAATATGTTAAAGAGATTATAAAACACGTACTGTATTTAGTGGCGCTGGCGTAAATGCCTTGGCAACTCGCCTTACATCACAGCCCATCTCAACCAATTCAACGCTTAGCGAAAGTGCAGCCAAGGGAGCCTTCACGTAACGCCAAGCCGTTTAATGTTTGTATCCCACAGTCTAAAATAATAATGATGATGATTATAATTTAATTTCCTATAGAGTCATTCATGCTAATTGCATCCCACAACGCTGCACACAAATTATATCTTAGGGCCAAATGATAAGCAGTTGTGTTTGTTAGAGCCGCGACCTCTTAGAATGCTTCCCGCGTGACTTGGATCACATCGCATCTCAAATATTCGAAAGGGCACCCCCAGCGGCAGCTATCCTTGTGTGTCACAAGGTGACCCGCAATCGGGCGCGAGTCTCCAGTCGGTGTGGGGGCGATGGTCGCTGCCGTGTGTGATCTCAATGAAGTAATCTGCGGTGGATTTTTTTTCAAACTTTGGACCGGCACACATGGAAAGGCCTGCTCTCGTCGAAGGACTTCGACAGATCTTGAACGTGCACTGTCGAGCAGACGCGACGCGTAGTATTTGTGTGGTGAAATACACCGGCAGGAATAACCAGGGCGGCCGCCGAGCCAGATACCGCGAACTTTTGCAACATGCACGAACGCGCTACCCCTGGGCCATGGCACAGCGCCCAGGGCGAGGTGAGGAGGGGTTCCGTTTTGAAGGGGGTAGCAGTGCACCATGGTGGTGGTGGTGGTGACGGTGGAAGGTGTGGGTAGCGGCAGTGTCGTGGTTAGCGTGCCGCGCTACGAACCCGCCCACACGAGTTCGATTTCTGCTCACGGTCAACAATACCAGTGACGGTTATCTGAAGCGGGCCTGGGACTCCCCTAGGTCGACTCAGCCTCAAATGAGTAACTAGTGCTGTGTAAACATCGCCACTGGGGGAGACCAAGGCGGTCGGGCGTGGTGCTGGCCACCCGCCCCCTCGTGTGCCACAGGTGCTACTCGCTAACAGCACTTGCCCCAAGTCTGTAAAGGCTACACGTGGGGTCTTTGTCTTTGGTGGGAGGTATGTACGGGGAGAGAGGAGGCTTTTGTATACGAGACCCGGGGAGGTAAAGTGAGAGAGGGAGTGAGTGAGATGGGGGGTGTAGGTGGGGGTGAGGGTGCATGGAAACCAAATGAACAGAGCTCGGATAGAAACAAAACAAGAGGGAGTGTAAGACAGAGTGAGCTGGTAAAATAAGATGAATCATCATTAACATCCTTATCCGATATGATCAAGCCACTGCTGGATGAAAACCTCCCCTAAGCCAATCGTCATATCCCAGGGTCCTGGGATGTAACAATCCCCCCTAGTACCTTGCACACGAGCCGGATTCATCGCTCCATCTCCACGGGTATCGAACGTCCTCTCGGACGCGATGCCTTCTCTGGCTGCCACTCCGTTGTTAGTCTCGACCACGGGACACCATCTCACTCTATCGCCACGCGCCCTGCCCACACAAAGCCACTCGACGTCTCCTGACGGTGCTAGCCATGCCGGGAGGGTTTAGGGTGACTGTCATACAGGACACTTGTAAAACCAGTGAGCGAGGGAGAGTGAAGAAAAACAATTGAATGATTGCAGAGGGGGAGGGATCAAGAGCTTAGAGAATACAGCTTAGAAATAAGCGGATTTAGCGTTGTGTGTGTGTATATATACACACACACTAGTGGGGAGCGGTAGTGTAGTGCTTAGCGCACTGCGCTACGAACTCGGCCACTCGCGTTTGATTCCCGCTCACGGACAGTGGCGAATATTTTTTACCAGTTCCTGGGCCTTCCCTTAGGTCGACTCGGCCTGAAATGAGTACCTGCTGCGGTGTGTAAACATCGGCACTGGGAAGACAAAGGCGGCCCAGCGTGGTATTGGCCACCAACCTCATCGTGTGCCGTCCCAGTCTTCACGAACAGGACTTGCCCCAACAGTTTGTTGGAGGCTATCCAGGGGATCTTTGTCTTCGTCAAACCAGGGCATCGGGTTTGGATTTCCAGTCCCGGCTAACACTGATGGCGAGTGTTCTCAGAACACATCCTGAGCTTCTCCTGGGTCGGTGCAGCCTTAAATGAGTATATGGTGCGAATGAAAAACAAAGGCGGTCGTGCGTGGTCCTGGCCAGCACCGCATTCACTCCACACGTCCCTGCCCACAGCACTTAGCGACAGAGAGATCTTTGTACGCAGCGGAGTGCTTAATGTGTGCTTGCATACACACGCACACACTGTGCGTATAGTGTATAAGTGAGTAATAATAAAGGCAAGGGTTTTGCCAGGCAAGCCTCACAAAGTCTTAAAAGTGTGTGTTTTTCCCCAGAAAGGTCATGCATTGGGATGTTTGGGCAATGTCAATGACTAGTGTTTTTTTGGCTTCGTGGCGGCCTTTCGAAACCAAGTGTCCGGGATGGTGGCACTCAGTACTGTCTACTCCCGGCTACACCTTGTAGCAATCACACCTCCTCTGCATGTGCCTACGCGTGTGACGCAATGGTTGTGTGCGTGTGTCTTTGTGCACGCATGTGTGAGTACAGCGTATGCGTTTAGTAGATTTGCAGAGCATCACCATCATGGTTTGTCTAGAGCCACCCTAATAACAATCACACACACCACAAAGCGCCACAGGAGACAAAGGCCCTCCGTACAGACATTTTAACAGAGCGTTAGGGCTGTTAGCGAGCACCTATTAAAGCCGGAACGGCACACGAGGGAATGGGTGGCCAGCACCACGCCCAGCGCTGATGTTTACACACCGCACCAGGTAGTTATTTTAAGGCGTAGTCGATCTTCAGAAAATCGTCACCGACGTTGGCCAAGGCGACCCCACGCGCGCAGCACGGAGTGGACGCGCGCCCTCCTGCAGAGCGACAGCTGCAATCGCCGCCGGTTGCTGCGGTGATGCTCGCGTGACCGTGAGCGTGGCTGTGCGCACGGGGGGGGGGGGGCGCTTGGGGAACGAGACTCTTTGGCAGCTCGAGGAAAGCCGCCCTCGGAACCAACGGAGGAGCGTAGGGGAGCGGCGGGCGGATACAGCACGGCGAGGTGACGAGCACAGGGCGCAGGGCGCGTGCGCTGCATCTGACAGTCGTCGCAGTCGTTTCACGCGTAACACGTTGGGCCATCTCGTGACCTCCTTCCAACGAGTTTCGACCCTCCACGTGGCCTCGAAGTGCAACTAGCCTGGCACAAGCGCTGTCCATGGAGGCGTCACCACTACCACCTCCCTATATTGGCGAATTGCGGCTGCTGTATGTTAGAACATTTTCCGTGCCATTCCAGCCTTAATAGGTGCTCGCCAACAAAGCTCTTGCATCGACGGTCTGAAAGAAAACTTTACTCGAGGAATATTTGTAAACATGTATCATGCGCGTGGGCATGCACGTGTGCGCGCGCCATTGTGAGCGCATGTGTATAGGAGTGAGTATGTACAAACGAGCGAGTGTAGTGCATGTGTAGAGTGCAGGGAGTGAGTGCGTGCGTATGTATCAGTGAGTGCGTCGGCCGATGCACACCATATCCTTCATGAAATGAAAATTAAAGGCAGAAGCCAGAGGAGTGCGCTTGTGGCCATGCAACCGAAACGTCGGCCCGCACAGTGAACCCACGGTGGTCTGCGATCCTTCAACGGGAGAGGAAAAACAGCAAAACGACACGAACTCTCTCTCTCTCCTGAAGCTCTCTTGTCGTGGCGAGCAGCAGACCTCGATGTTGACATTCAGCCCATGAACACATAATCATTTTAATAGGGAGTACATTAGGTGCAAGTGAGTGCCGTGCATAGGTGGGAGTGAGTGCGCGCGTAGGAATAAGTAAGTGCGTCGATGCTCGTTGTGGGGGAATTCCGGGGAGGCATGCAGGGGGAGCGAGGGGGAGCTTGAGGGTGGGGATGGGGAGGAGGAGGAGGAGGAGTCCGTAGGATTTACTCGAGAAGAGTGACGGGCGCGAGCCACACTGCCCGATGTTGTTCCGTTGTAAAATAACTTGGACGTCAAAGGAATGAACACAGTGATTCATTGACGCGTGGAAGCAACGGATGTTATGTTATAATCTATAACCGTAGCACTTGCATTCACATTGCGCCCGCAACATATCGAAGTAACGTCTCGGAGCGAATTTGTTTGCTTTGTTGAATGCCCGGGGGATGGCATGCGGTCCCGGTGAACTGTCGGGCTGGGACTGAGGCTGCAGAGAAGCGGGGCCGGAATGAGCACGGAGAGGATTCTCGACGGAGACTCGGACGACGGCGTCCTGGTGCACGGTAAGTGCGCGGGGTCGTCACGCGCCACTCACGTCGCGCGTGTGTGTGTATGTGTGCATGTGCATGTGTGTCTGTATTTGTGTGTATATGTGTATGGTAGTGTATGTGTGTGTATGTGTATGGTAGTGTATGTGTGTGTATGGTAGTGTATGTGTGTCTGCATGTGTATGTATGCTAGTGTATGTGTGTGGAGCGGTATGTAGCGGTTAGCGCGCTGCGCTACAAACCCGGAGATCCGAGTTCGATTTCTGCTCACGGCCAACATCAGTGACGATTATCTTAACCAGTCCTGCAATGAGTACCTGATGCAGTGTGTGAACATCGCCACTAGGGAGACAAAGGCGGCCGGGCGTGTTCCTAGCTACACACCCCGTCGTGTGGCCTTCACAGGTGCTCGCTGACAGCATTTGCGCCAACAGTGCGCTCAGGCTACACGGGGGATCTTTGTCTGACTGCACAGTTGCAATGCTATCCGAACCTGCTCTGGGCAACGTTCTAGGACAGGTAAAGTTTTTTCAAGCTCCAGTCGTAGCGACGCCACCACGGCGACATCTGCTCCACTTATAACCAAAGTAGCTGCGTTGAATACCAACAGACGAGACACGTGCACGCTCGACGGCTGCGTCCGTGCGTAGAGACGGGTCACTGCGGCTCTGACCTCGAGTCACCAGCATGCCGCTGCCCTGCAACAACAACAACAAACTCATCACATTCGTCAATAACACTATTTTAATAATATTTAGATATGTTGTAGTAAAATAATATTTTTTTGTATTTAATGTACTAATAAGAAAGGTCATTACTGCAACGTCACCTACTACTTTATCTATCAAATATATACATACCTCTTAAGGCCACCGTGTTCTTGACCAATGTTTTGAGTTTGTGTTGTTATTGGTGCTTTTGCACCACTACTACTGACGCAGCCAGCAGCAGCACCACTACACGTTGTCTTCAGTATTCAAGAGAGTAGTTCCTTAAAGCTAACACAGGTTAGTGCAAGTCACACGTCCACTCATGTTTGTTGTCCTGCCCCCGCATCTCCTATTATCACGGTTGGTTACATATGGTGCGGAAAAAGTTCAACATACATACGTCATCCCTCCATCAGATATACAACTTACATTTTCCTCTGACCTCACGTCACTCTCTCTGATTCCCATTCCCTGTCCACTGAACCCTAACCCCCACACAGCCCCCACCACCTCCCCTCTTGCTCCCACACATTTACGGACAGCTCGACAAACAGAGCGAATGTATTTGTGACGGTCCTCCAAAACGCGGCTCCCACATTATCATTCCCCCTCGACGCTGAAGTCGATCGCTGCGTCTACTTGACCTAAATGACCCCGAAGTGTGACGATCTGTCCTTGGTGGAGAGCGAAGAGGTGACAGGGATGAGGGGTGGGGGAGAGAATGGCAGAGGGGACCATGGGGATAAGAGAGCATTTCAGAGAAGGGACGAGAGGAGAGAGCTGTGGGTGAAGGATGGAGCTGTGTGTGCAGAGAGCTGTGGGTGAAGGATGGAGCTGTGTGTGCAGAGAGCTGTGGGTGAAGGAGGGAGCTGTGTGTGCAGAGAGGTGTGGGTGAAGGAGGGAGCTGTGTGTGCAGAGAGCTGTGGGTGAAGGAGGGAGCTGTGTGTGGAGAGAGCTGTGGCTGAAGGATGGAGCTGTGTGTGGAGAGAGCTGTGGGTGAAGGAGGGAGCTGTGTGTGGAGAGAGCTGTGGGTGAAGGAGGGAGCTGTGTGTGGAGAGAGCTGTGGGTGAAGGAGGGAGCTGTGTGTGGAGAGAGCTGTGGGTGAAGGATGGAGCTGTGTGTGCAGAGAGCTGTGGGTGAAGGAGGGAGCTGTGTGTGCAGAGAGGTGTGGGTGAAGGAGGGAGCTGTGTGTGGAGAGAGCTGTGGGTGAAGGAGGGAGCTGTGTGTGGAGAGAGCTGTGGCTGAAGGAGGGAGCTGTGTGTGGAGAGAGGTGTGGGTGAAGGAGGGAGCTGTGTGTGGAGAGAGCTGTGGGTGAAGGAGGGAGCTGTGTGTGGAGAGAGCTGTGGGTGAAGGAGGGAGCTGTGTGTGAGAGAGCTGTGGGTGAAGGAGGGAGCTGTGTGTGCAGAGAGCTGTGGGTGAAGGAGGGAGCTGTGTGTGGAGAGAGCTGTGGCTGAAGGAGGGAGCTGTGTGTGGAGAGAGCTGTGGGTGAAGGAGGGAGCTGTGTGTGGAGAGAGCTGTGGGTGAAGGATGGAGCTGTGTGTGGAGAGAGCTGTGGGTGAAGGAGGGAGCTGTGTGTGGAGAGAGCTGTGGCTGAAGGAGGGAGCTGTGTGTGGAGAGAGCTGTGGCTGAAGGAGGGAGCTGTGTGTGCAGAGAGCTGTGGCTGAAGGAGGGAGCTGTGTGTGGAGAGAGCTGTGGCTGAAGGAGGGAGCTGTGTGTGGAGAGAGCTGTGGCTGAAGGAGGGAGCTGTGTGTGGAGAGAACTGTGGGTGAAGGAGGGAGCTGTGTGTGGAGAGAGCTGTGGGTGAAGGATGGAGCTGTGTGTGGAGAGAGCTGTGGGTGAAGGATGGAGCTGTGTGTGGAGAGAGGTGTGGCTGAAGGAGGGAGCTGTGTGTGCAGAGAGCTGTGGGTGAAGGAGGGAGCTGTGTGTGGAGAGAGCTGTGGCTGAAGGAGGGAGCTGTGTGTGTAACGGAGGTGCAATGAACGGACTGGAGCCCTGACCTGTCTCGGCATGTTGTGAGGAGAGTGTCCGCTACACATAACCCATTCCATGCTCATACAATCTTACAATTGAGTACCTGGTGCGGTGATTTTACCGCCCATTCTCTGTTCCCATACCTGCCCTGTCTCCCCTGCCCCGAATGTACCGAACCCTCTGCTACCGTCCCACATCGCCTGGCCTAGATCCCGGACTGACCAACGTGGGCGTCGTGAATGAGGGAGCAGACATCGTGAGTGAGGAGCAGGGGGAGAGGGAGCCGGAGCAGAAGGAGGTTGCGCCCGTAGAGTTGCCTCGAGGCCTGCCGTCACCTCAATCTGCGCTGCCACGGGTACGACGTCATGACGCCGACGTGTGACGTCACTAAAGACACATCTCGAGTTGCGCTGCGTCCACAATGGCGATGGAGAACAAGAAGAAGAACCATTGCCCCCGAAACTCCGACTCTTATTTTTTATTTTAAGGCTACAGAGTTGGCCCTGCGAGGTGCAGCGTGTTATTATTATGATTATATTTTAATATGGTTATAACATTCCATTGTGAGTGACATGGGGAGCCTGTGTATACTGCACAGCATACAAATTAAACGGTTAACTTCGTGGAATATATTGCCGATCAGAAACCATGCCATTGATCCGTAAAACTGAGTCACAGTAGCAGTGTTATTGGAGATTGAGATCGGGAGTAATGAAAGTGCAATAGATCATGGAGTCTTTGTGATGAGGAAATAATACTCCAATGTTATAATGCCTTTAGATGAAAGGTGATGGCTGATTCTGTGAATTTTGCTGATGTACCTGAGAGAGATGTGGGTTTTTCGTAATGTTTATAAATACATTTGTGTTTGAAGGTGAAGCTACAAGTGAGCCCGTGGCCTCGTTGTGTGTAAGCCGCATTCACATCACACGAGGTGTTGTGACACACGGCAGGGAGCGGTAGTGCAGTGACGATTATCTGAACCGGTCCTGGGCTTCCCCTAGGTCGGCTCAGCCTCAAATGAGTACCTGGTGTGAAGTGTAAACAACACAACTGAGGAGTCAAAGGCGGCCGGGTGTGGTGCTGGCCACCTACCCCCTCGTGTACCATGCCTGCCTTCATAGGTGCTCGCTAACAGCACTTGCCACAACCGTCTGTTGAGGCTATTCAGGTGATCTTTGTCTTTTTGTATTTTAGGGTCCTATTTTGCCTCTCCAAAAGGACACTGTCTACTTCCGCGATGGGATCCGTAGAATCGACTTCATTCTCGCTTACGACGATGAGAATAATTCTCAGGGGGCCATCAAGAATCAGGTAAGACTGCCTGCTCCCATCGTCACCACCTCCCTCCCTCCCATATCCGCCAGCACACGCATCCTGCACCATCACCCAATCAGTAACTTGCACCCACCAAACCCTCTCTCTGACTCTAACACTGAGTTGTTATAGTTTTAGTTCCCCCCCCCCCACCCCAGTTTTATCCCAATTGTGCTGTCAGTGACATGTCATGAGATGGACACTAAAATATTTCAGATGTATCTGCATTCCGTCATATGTTAAAGAACAGCCCGCGGAAGTGTATATCACAGAACTACCTCCGATATCGTGATCCCTGGTCGACACAGTGGAGGGAAGCATAGTTAAGGTTGCATGAGTCAATGCTGGTGAATTGCCAGACGTTAAAGGCTCGGGCCCTCTCTTCAAGATATAAGTCTAAGTTCGATTCAAAATTCTATCACACATATCATTGAGTTATTGCGGAAAAATAACAAAGTTGATCAATAGAAGATGTCTTCTTTACATACATACCTCTCCTTCCTATATCCGTCTCTCCACATGGGTAGTATTGAAGTAGTTTAGTGATGTTACGCTCCACGAACGTTGTCAGCTGTGACTCGGAGTACGGGAAATGTATTCACCTCTTGACTCGCACAGTGACAAGAGAACGTGGTTTTTGATATCACATGAGACGTGGTATAACATCAAGTGCCGGACTTTGTTTGGCAGGAGAAGAGGTCCAAGTATCAGGCGAGTTTAATGAAGATGGGTCTGGAACTGGAGATTGAGCCCAAGGAGGTACGTTGCCTTTGTCTCTGAGCTAAATAGTATAGATACAGTACAGTAAGTCCTCGTTTAGCATGGTACATGGGTTCCTGAAAAGTGCCACTTGAAGCGAAAAATGTGCTCAATAAGGTAAAGTTAAATTTTGGAGACATGCGATGTCCACACACTATACAATGGTGGGACAAATAATTGAGGGTTCATAGCCGCGCTACCGTACCATTCCGCGTACTATGTCCTACCGCTCAGCCGCACAGCTCAAGGAAGTAGTTCATCCTCAACCGCTCTGAAACCGCGTTATAACGGGGCGCGTTCCGCATTACAACAGGCGTGTTCTGTGTTATACGCAAAAAGTGTTACAAAAATAGAAGAACCAAGTTATAGCTAAAACGCGTTGTGTGAACACACTTTTTCATGAGAACTTTACCATTTACTGTAGCCTTGAATTGCGTATTCGGGAAATGGATTGTGATTTTACGCAGTTTTAGTCATATCTTTCAATTGTGATATAAGAAGCAATATAAATAAAATAGGCTACGTTTGCTCTCTTTGACAGGAACGCGGTTTAATTTAGAAAGTGAATACTACTATTTGTTTTTTACCAGGCAAGGCCCACTGACCTATAGAGCTATTTTTTAGAAGCGACTTGGCCATAAATGATAGCTCAACGAAGTGGGCTTATCGCGTGGGCATTTATAGCAGCCAAATACTCTAAAAGCGTGATGTTGATCCTAAATGTGGAGGGGAAAACCGGAGGACCCGGAGAAAAATCCACACGACCACGGGGAGAGAGAGAACCTGAACTCCACATACTCCGAACGTGAATTAGCCCCGTAGTTGAGTTTTATACGGCACGACCGCGGCAAGCCACGCGCACCGATGCCGAGTTTTGACGCTGACCTTAAGTGCCGTTCACCAGGAGTCGGTGAGCGGACGCACCACCTACGTGAAGGTGCATGCGCCGTGGACCTCGCTGACCACCTACGCCGAGATCCTGCACATCCAGGCAAGGCGCCGACGATGATTGTGACGATGATTGTGACGGCGATCGCGATGGTGATTGCGGTAATATTTATGATGATATTTGTGATGATGATTGATGATGAATGTGACGATGGTTTCGATGATTGTGCAGCTGATGATGGTGATAACAACGTCTCGCCTCGCACGTTGTTGACAAGCCTCAGGCCCGCTGAGGCTTTGCTACTGCTTCTATACGTCCTTGTGACTCACGGAATATGTGATCATTATTGACTCGCAATAACTTACTGTATTGTCGATGTGTATTCTCTGTTAATAGTCTCCGCTGCCTTGGGTGGAGACTAGTTGTGATGATGATGATGATCAAGATGATTTTGATTGTGACGATTCATAATGAGAATCATAATCTTTATTTATCCTGGAGAAAGCGAATGAGCTAGGAAGCTCTTCTTTCACAGATGTCCAGTGGGGGTGGTTCAGAACGTTGCAACAACAACCAGGACAAAATACGATTGGAGTGCAAAGCATAGGCAAGCTAATCAAAGCACTAAAAATAAACACGTTAAATAGATAAAGTATGTAAGTACAAATTGAAAATGTATATATTTCTGCTTCTGATAATTGTGATGATGATGTTATGATGATCATGATTGTGATGATGATGATGATGATAATAAACGTACCGCATGCTGGGACATCGAAATACATAATCTGGAAAGAGAAATACAAAGCTTAGAAAGAATACGCATATTAGAAACATCACGTTGTCTGTTCATGAAAGTTAGTGGTCGAGGGCAGAACGCGTCGCTAGAAGGGGCGATGGTTGCTGGCCGAGACTAAAGGTTGAGTGGCAACCAACAGAGAGACCACTCCTAAATGGATGTCCATCGTAGAGATGTAAAGATGAGACTGGCTCATGTGCAGGTGCCCATGATAGGAGCATCTCGTTAAGGAGCATAAACCATCACGCAAACTCCGGTCATCCTCGCAGCAACTTTTGGTTCACCATTTAACAAAGATGGTTACTGCATCGCACGCTTTCAGATGTGCTTCTGCGGCCATCTGGAACGCTCTTCCTTCCGATATTATGGAAGCCACTGGCGCTATGCACTTTTAAATCTAGACTAAAAACTAATTTCTTTAGAAGTGCCTTTTATGTTTAGTTTGTTGTCCTTCCCCTGTACCTCTGATTACCACGGTTGGCTACATATGGTGCGACAGAAGGTCAACATACATACATAGAGGCAAGGGTGAGGCTACGTGAGTATTTGGCATGGAGGCAGAGGAATAAGCTGTTGGCAGATGCATTGCGGCAACGTACGGCCGTGGCAGATACCTCTGACACTGAGATCTTCAGTGGCAGTGGATTGATCGTGGCTGATAATGATTACAATGATGAAATGTAAAACAGACGCATTATCATGCCACGTGCTCAAAGCAAATGATTTAACAGATTTAACAATCGAACAGGTGCCACTCAAGGAGAGCGACCTCACCCGGGTGTCGCGCTCACAGCATGGACTTCTGGACTACCTGAGCAAGCCATTCCGCCTGAAGCCAGGAGCCGTGCCTGAACAACCCGAATACTTCACGTCGCCGTTCAAGCATTCGCAGCAGGACTTCTACTCCATCACAGACCATGAAGTCCTCATCCCGCCAGCCATACGTAGCCAAATCGTACGCCCAACACGTGTCAAGTTTGCCCGGGGTTAGGATTTAGCTGTCAGGTTAAGATGTGGTCCTGTTGGGAAAAAATTCAAATTTCCGGGAGGCTCAACCATGGCACGTGGTGAGCTAGAAGCCATTATCTCCGTGAGCCCGGCCTATGCCCACTCAATAAATCAAACCGAGAATGACCGATCTCGTTCTGATATCAGCCCTTTTTACTCTTCTGTCAACCCCTGCAGACACAATACACAGTGGAATCTGTAATCCATGGCTCACCCAGCACTGTGTATGATGCGTGCTCATGCAGGTCTACTACATGCTGCTCCAGTGTGGCGTCTCGCAGGGCAGTAAGAAGACGTTCAACTATAACCAGATGATGGACAATGGCTGCTACACCGTTGCCTACCCACTGCACGATGTGAGTCGGGAGTCGGCGGCGGTGGTTAAACAAGGTCATGCGGCTAGGGTTGGCTGGTTCCATTGGGGAACACTTTTCGCACAACACGGAACGCGCATCGTTATAATGCGGAGGGCGCCCCGTTATAATGCTGTCTCTGAGCGGTCAATGATGAAGTACTTTTGAGCTGCATGGCTGAGCGGTACAGTGATACAGTACGTGGAATAATGCAGCGACGTGGTGGTGTACCCTCAGTTATTTGTCCCGCCTTCTCACTGTGAGTGAGTAAGTAGTACCTCGTGTCTTGACACACTTTATCATCACCTATGGGGACATGTTTTCACTGAACGTATTTTTCACCGAATGCAGGAACTTTCCAGGAAGGCATCTGCTACCACGTACGACGAGGACTTGCTGTGCTCGCTCACCGCTGCAGCTGTGCCTCAGGGTCACAGTCATTGATGCCCGTGAAATATCTGTGCAACTTATAAATCGCATTATCGTTATTGTTATTTAGAGAATCCGTCGAATAGATTTCCATCCTGCTCTACCCACAATACCTGCCAATTGGCTACCTGAGGAGGGCCCATTCATATCGCCGGGTGGACAGATGTGCGTTGGTGATCACAGACACTTGCTCCATCGTTTCAACTGCCACACCAGTAGACCGAACCGGCCACCTCTGCATTTCAAGTCCATTGCGGCACTAACCATGCCTCCACGGCCAGGGTTTACTGTGGGGCAGTGGGGGGTGAGTTGGTCATTAGTGAATGTAGTGTGCACCGTGTGCCCGTGTGTATGTATGCATGTACAACTTCTTTCGCACCGTACGTAGCCAACAGTGCTGCTAATCGTAGGTGTGGTTAGTGATTGTGATTCCCGTGTCAGAGTCAGTACGAGTACCCGCCAGAGGACTCGAGCGGTCGGGGCGACCGCAACACGTTGTGGCGCGAGTGGGCGAGACCCAGGCGCTTCTTCAAGGAGCAGCCCCTCGACCTTGTGCGGTGAGGTCACGCGCTATCCACTGCTGGGCGAAGGCCTCCCAACGCCGTCTCCCGTGACGGCCACAGTGGAGCTTAGTCTCGACCAACGACCATCATCATAATCCATTTTGGGGACGTGGGCCCACCTCTCTTCACAGTCAAGATTAAATACAAAATTAGATGCATTTAAATAGCATTGTTTGATTCGATTAGTGTGTGACATGTGTATATGAGAATAGCGTGTAATGGGATTCGGTTTTATTATTCGTCTAAATACAATTGCATCTCAAGATAATGTTCATAAACATATGTACAGTATATTGATTTTTGCGGCACAGGAGCGGTAGCGCAGTGGTCAGCGCACTGCGCTACGAACTTGGCCACCCCAGTTCAATTCCCGTTCAAGGCCAAACCCATTGACGATTATCTGAACCAATCCTGGGCCTGCCCTAGGCAGACTCAGCCTCAAATGAGTACCCGGTGCGGTGTGTGAACATCGCCATTGGAGGGGCAAAGGCTGCCGGGCATGATTCTGGCCACTCCACCCCCTCGTGTGCCATGCCGGCCTTCATTAGGTGCTACTCGCGAACAGCACTTGCTCCGAAAGTCTGTGAAGGCTATAAGGGGGATCTTTGTCTTTTGTCGCCGGCACAGCTCGTACTTTGGCGAGCAGGTGGCTCTGTACTTCGCGTGGCTCGGCTTCTACACCAAGATGCTGAGCGTCGCTGCGCTCGTTGGCCTCGCGTGCTTCCTCTTCGGAGCGGTGAACAAAGAGCAAAGCTTCTCCAAGTATTCGCCAAACACGCGCGCATTAACAAACGCACGCAAGCACGCACGCCCATGTACACACACGGGTGCAGATACAGAACACAAGGGTACAGCTCTCCTGCGTGGCAATGCGCACTGTGAAATGAGTGACAGCGAGCACCTACGAAGCGTACATATGCAACGTACATATTATGTAATGTATGTTATTTGTATTTTAATGGGATGCTGCCGTGGTGTAACTGTTAGGACACTGGAGTTGCAATCCAAAGGTCGCTGGTTACATTTCCCAGCATCGCACTTTAAACAATTGGCAACATTTCTAGCTCCCCGGCTTTGTTTGCCAAGCAGTATACAATACATGGAGACGCCACGGCTATGCGTTGGCATGTCGCTTGTGGAGTGGTAAAGTTATGAACTCTTCCAAGACGTTGGGCCAGCGTGGAAGAGTAGGCCTATATCCCTCGAGAAGGGCACTCTAGTTTCTCTGCTCGGGTGGAGGTCTTTCCAGGAGCAGTGACGCTGAGCAAGCAATTTCAAGGCTGCACCTTTAACTTTTCCACACTAGACGTGCATAATGCACATACATACAATGCATGTGTAGTTGATACAAACGGGAGGAAACTTTCTTTGAGGCAACACATTTATTATAACATTAACGCGTATAGAACACAAAGGGGTAATGGCCCCTTCCACCCGATACGCTTGGGAGGTATCTCCTCTGGGCGAGAGTGCCTCTCTCTGGCTACGTTCTAACCCTACACCGGTGAAGCTTGAGTCGTCACTGGTTAAGCTGGAGCCGACCCTAGCCACGGGGTTCGGCTCTGCTCCTTGGGCTCTTCTCTTCGAGTCTTCAGGAGGCTCTTCAACTTCAGGCGGACTACTGCCGGGACTGTTCAGAGGTCCGACTTTTATACCGAGCCGTGGCTGACTCCGTCCCCGGCCACACCTTCCTTCTCGATCCTTCCAGCAGGGCCTGGGGGTGACGTCATCCCCCAGCCCCCCTCTTGGGGTCTGCACCAATGGGCATGCCGTTCCTTAGGGGTTTCCGTTGGGCCACGTGGGCCATCGTCCCTTCACACTGGGGCTCAGCCCTCTTGCGCCCCCTATTGACACGTGGCCGGTACTACCGGCTGAGAGGATTGGAGATGGCGCATCGCGCCCAATAATATCCCTACACATGTATACAATGTGTGTGTGTATACAATGTGTGTATGTATACAATGTGTGTATGTATACAATGTGTGTATGTATACAATGTGTGTATGTGTGTATGTATACAATGTGTATGTATACAAAGTGTTTATGTGTACAATGTGTGTTTGTGTACAATGTGTGTATGTATACAATGTGTATGTATACAATGTGTGTATGTATACAATGTGTTTGTGTACAATGTGTGTTTGTGTACAATGTGGGTATGTATACAATGTGTGTTTGTGTACAATGTGTGTATGTATACAATATGTGTATGTGTACAACAGAGGTGTGGACTCGAGTCATGTGACTTGGACTCGAGTCAGACTCGAGTCATGAATTTGATGACTTCAGACTCGACTTGGACTTGCATAACAATGACTTTGTCCCACCTCTGAGGTGTGGACTCGAGTCATGTGACTTGGACTCGAGTCAGACTCGAGTCATGAATTTGATGACTTCAGACTCGACTTGGACTTGCATAACAATGACTTTGTCCCACCTCTGGTGTACAATGTGTGTTTGTGTACAATGTGTGTATGTGTACAATGTGTGTATGTGTACAATGTGTGTATGTATATAATGTGTGTATGTATACAATGTGTGTATGTGTACAATGTGTGTATGTATACAATGTGTGTATGTATACAATATGTTTGTATACAATGTGTGTATGTATACAATGTGTGTTTGTGTACAATGTGTGTATGTATACAATGTGTGTTTGTGTACAATGTGTGTATACAATGTGTGTATGTGTACAATGTGTGTTTGTGTACAATGTGTGTATGTGTTTATGTATACAATGTGTGTATGTAAGTTGAACTTCCTTTGCACCGTAGGTAGCCAACCGTGCTAATCGAAGGTGCGGAAGGAGGGGAAAGACAATCTCCTAATGACGTAAAGATATCCTCATCCAGCAGTGGATTGACAAAAGCGATGTTCACATTCCTGCAAGACATGCATACAAAGATGACACACTTCTGATGCTAACGAAAATGAAAGTTACAATCACGTTTCTTGGGTTAGATCGCGCAAGCGTGAATGTGTCGTAAACCCCCCTCTACACTCCGGTGTGCTGAACTCGTACCTCATTTGCACTTTATTTTTGTTTACGTGTCAAACCAATTCACTGTGTCGGGTGGAGGTAGGTTCACGACACATTTATATTTACGCGATTTTTAGCCAAACAACCTTATTTTGAATAGTATTGGTGGCAAAAGTCTACGTGTTAAACTGAATACGAAACTGTTTGCTGCACGTCAGCACCGTATTACATTGGCAAATGCCAGAAGGTGGCACCGAGCCTGTGGCCTGACCTTGTTTCAAGGGAGGCGCACCAACATCCAGGGGGAGGGGGCAGCCCCAGTCGGTGTTCGGCGCTGACGCTCGCCCACGTTCAACTCTCACGCGCGCGCCCGTCGGTCGTGTGCCTCGGTCGTGTGCGTCGTGTGCGAGCGCAGCGACGAGTTGTGTGACGACGCGCTGAGCGGGGCCCTCGTCATGTGCCCCCAGTGCGACAAGACGTGCACCTTCTGGATGCTGAACAGTACCTGCGAGTCTGCCAAGGTGTGGCGCGCGCCGCAGGCGTTCCCTGTGCTCTGTCGATTGGGGACGCACGCTGGTCATTGGCGCTGTACTCCACCAGGAGAAAAGAAAATACAAATCTGTTGAGATTGTAGCATCATTAGCAATAATTAAATTGTAGCACATCACGCTCTTTATGTAGGTGTAAAAACTATAACGAACCTCCTGCCAGCCGCACAGACGCTTGGGGAAAGTTCTGTCAGCGAGCACCTACTATGGGCAGACAGGCACGCGAGGGGGTGGTGTGGCTAGAGCCACTCATGACCGCCTTTGTCTCCCAAGTGCTGGTTCTTTAAACGACACTCCAAATACTCAGTCGACCAAGGGGGATGCCCAGGAGAGGGTCAGATAATTACCATCGATGTCCAGGAATCAAACTCAGGTAGCTGGCTTCATAGCGCAGTGCGCTCACCGCGATGCCACCACTTTCACTGGGCGTTAAGGGGACGTCCATAAATGACGTCATGCACCGAGGGTGGGGGGGTCAGACATTTGTGACGATGTGTGATGAGGGGGGGGGGTATATGCACTACATTGACAATAGTTTAAAGCGATTTGAAGCATGTGTCTTTTTTTTGGGGGGGGGGGGCAGAGCTTTGTGACGTCATATTTGAGGGGGGTCTGACTTTTTGTGACGCCGTGTGACTTAGGGGGGTGGGGGTCAAAAATCGTCCAAAATCGCGTGACGTCATTTATGGACGTCCCCTTGTGTTGTTGCAGAATTCCTACATGTTTGACAACCCGGCCACCATATTCTTTGCAGTGTTCATGGGACTTTGGGGTGAGTGATGCTGAACACTGGCACACGTTTCACGGACACAGTGCCACGTTTCAACGTGTTTGTGCTGACGATGATGAACGGCATACCATCGTGTCTTGCAACGTCCTTATCCAACGGCCACGTGTATGTATTGGCCCATTTGTCAATCCACTGCTCGATGAGGGCTCTCCCACACCTTTAAGGCGTTGGGGGCTATTTTAATATACGTCCCTGCGTGGCGAGTGCGGGTTGGTGAGGGTTGGGTGCAGGGTGCAGCACACCGACGTTTCCCCTGCGCGTCTCTGCTCTGATCACCCGTAAAGCGCAGCCTGCAGACGACTATGACAGCCGAGCGTGTTGAACACGTCGGCTTTCGCGACCAATAGTGTTCATACAGGTTTTGGGGTTAGATCGCGTACATATAAATGTGTCGTTAACCGACCACCACCCGACACAATTAGTAAGGTGTGTGACGTAAACAAAACGTGCCAATGAGTGACTACTTCAACACAACTGTGTGTTGGAGAGTAAACCCACAACATTTACAGTCAGAGTACGACGTTTCTATGGTGATTACAACCAGCTCCATCAGGCGAATTGCCAGAATTCTGAAGAAGTCTTCCTGCTTCTGAAAGGCATGGCAGCAACCACCAATGCGAGCGCTTTCCCGACTCAATTCTGCCGAGTTTCCGAGTTCCGATGAGGCACGTCGTGAGTGATCCAATGACCACAGCTGAAGGCTCCGAGTAGTCGTGATCCCTGGTGCCCCGTGCCAATCAAACTGCGCTTTGAAAAAGACACATGCCAGAATGCGTTAGGAAACATCTAAAACATCGAGCATAGTCGGTAGAGTTACGTGACCGTTGAAAGTGAGCCCTCCTGGCAGCCATGGTGTTCCTGGAGATGTGGAAGCGCTCCCAGGCGTCGCTGGCGTTCCGATGGGACCTGACGGCAGCCGCGCAGAGCGAGCCGCCGCGGCCCGAGTACGAGGCTCGCTGCTCCGGCAAGAAGCTCAACGTCGTCACCATGGTAACTCTTCCTTCCATCACCACGGTGACCACCTCATCGCACACACCTCTGTCTTGTGCAATTGCAAGTGTTACAATTATTTTCAATTTAAAGCTTTCGTGACTGCAATGATTCATATTCTTGGTTCTTTCGGTAAAGTCACGTAGAAGGGAAATAATTAAATAATAATAATAATAAAATGTCGTTAGATATAAATGTGTCTCCACAAATCTGGCTGTCGCCTGATGAAGCTAGTTGTGATTACTGGCGAAACATCGTATTCAGATTGTAAATGTTGTTGATTTGCTCTCCAACACACCGGTGTGCTGTACTAGTGACGATCTGGCATGCTCTGTTTACGTGACAAACTTCACTAATTGGCTGTGTCGGGTTGTGGCGGGATTAACGACACATTTATATTTGTGTGCTCTAACACAAAAAAAACTATATTATGGATGTACAATTCTACTTTTTTTCTCTTCTTCATACTTTTCTGACTTTTCCGCCAATTTTATTCTGGTTTTGCTATCGGCGTCTTCTCTGAACATTCGCAGAGCAGTGCATCAATGACCCCCCTTCGAGATTGGTCCTTTCGCAGTAGATATTTCAGAGTTACTGAAGATCCCTTTCAGTGACCTCTGAACATACACTAGGGGGCAGCACGTTCCCACCCACCCGCCTATTTCCTCCAGACGGTCAATACGATACCGTATAATACAAGTCTTTTGGGTTTGATCGCGTAAATATAAATGTGTCGTTGGGTGGTAGCATGTTTAACGACACATTTATATTTAACCAAAGAAAAACCTGTGTTATGGATATTGGTCGCGAAAGCCTACGTGCTAAACGGACGGCACCGTATGTATCACGTGACAGCACACCCTGATATATAGTTTATTTATTAAAGCTGAAATGTAGTCAAAGGACGACTCGTGTAGCCAAGCTTAACGGGTGCGCTCAGTAATCAAAGACAAAGACCCCCCCCCCCCCCCGCATGCAGCCTTAGCAGACGTGCTGGGCAAGTTCTGCTCGCGAGCAGCACCAATGAAGGCCGGGCACGGTACACCAACCCCGACCGCCTTTGTCTCCCCAGTGGCGATGTTTACACACCGCACCAGGTACTCATTTGAGGCTGAGTCGACTCAGTAACCACACTCAACGTGACGGTCTCCCCTATCCAAACTGGGTTCTCCTCTCATCTGTGTGTGCACTGCGGGTACAGGAGGAGGAGCCCCACGTGCCCAAGACGACCCTGGGGCTTCGCTACTGTCTGTCCGGAGTCACGGTGGTCTTCTGGGTGAGTCCACCCATCCAGCAGCAACACTTACATTGAACCAATCCTCCTGATGCAGTCACATAATGACCAAGTCAACTGCAATGCTCTCGAATCTCATCAGATGTCGGAAGCTTATCAGCGTTAAGCCTGGGTGCTGCGTGTGATGGGTAACCATCGTGCACAAAGCTGGTGTCGTAGGCTCCTGCGGGGCTGTGTGGTGGACAGCAGAGGGCAATGGAGCAGAATCTGTACTTGTACTGATCAGCATGCTGGAGAATGGGCACGTGACCCCCACGACCCACACAGGTGTGGGGAGGCCGTCATCCAGCAGTGGATGCACGGCTCTTACTGTACATGTGTACTTGACCCAACCCCAGCAGACACACTGTTCTCTGCCATCAGGGTTGGCACTCATACTCCCGGCGAACCTCTGCATGACGATGACACGTCAGGGTCTAGAACTCTGAATGATTATATAATTACATTCCTCTGTCCATCTAATCAACTGAAATATCCACGGCTGGCCCCAAGGCAATGAATGGCGCGACGTTTTGATGATTTGTGGTTGTGCCGTTTATTGAGTTGTCATGAGCCGTAACTTATCCTCAAAGCTGAAATGTCGTCAAAGGACGACCTGGGGCGCCACGGTGCCGAGATGTTAACTACCTCGCCTGATGTACAGGAGGTCGTGGGTTCGCTCACGACCCTGACACCTGTCAATTTAGAGTTTGCATGTTCTCCCTCTGGTCGCATAGATTTTTCTCCGGGTCCTCCGGATTTCCCTCCACATTTAGAATCAACATGCGTTTAGAGTATTCGACTGCTATACATTTCCACACGATCAGTCCCTTCGTTGATCTGTCATTTGTGGCCTGGTCGCTTCTGATAAAAGATCTATATAGCTGAGTGGCCCTTATCTAAAAAAAAAGAAGTACTAGTTTTATCCGAGCCTTGACCTGAAAGGCTTCCGGCCTTGGATTGGGCTTGTGGATTTTGGCCTCAGCCTCGTGGATCCCGGCCCTAAATCTGACTGTGTCATGCCGAGCCAGAAGTGAATAATAAAACTTTGGCATCACAAGACATCTAAAGCTGGCTTGGGGCCAAGCAGAGATGAGGGGGAGGGGAGAGTTAATGATTGATGCCATACGTTGTGCCAGTCAATCTAACTGGGGGGGTGCCAGCGTCATACATTAATTGCGTCTGCAGCATGGCTCGGGTTCTGCAGTGAAAAAAACCAAACTGGCGCTTCCTGAGCTGTCCTGGCACAGCTTCAGCGTGGCTTGGTTGTACAGCGGAAAAACCCAGGTACAAAGCTAGGGTCAACTTCACCCACTCCCGGATTCCTCGTGTTCCTGGCAGATGCTCCTGATCATCGCGAGCATCCTGGGCGTCATTGTGTACCGCCTCTCCATCTTCATCATCTTCGCCTCGAGTATTCCCAAGCAGGTGTCTGAAATCAAGGTGATCGGCACGTTGCTCACGCCGCAAATGGCCACCTCCATCACGGCCTCCGTCCTCAACGTCATAGTCATCATACTCCTCAACAAGTGCTATGACAGGCTGGCTCTTGTCCTCACCGACCTGGGTAAGTTGTATCTCCATCGTGGTTTTCATCAGAAGTTTATTGTCTGACTGAAGCCCTTTGAACTATAAAGATTTTTTCAAAGGCGACTCGGATGGCAGGCAACATCAAAGCATTCCACTATTACATATTTATACGAGCAATTATATTTTTTGTAGGTTGTCTGTTATCATCGCCTGTTTAAATAGTGACTGTTTTATGTCAGTATCTTGGGTTTAATCGTGCAAAGGCTTTCATGGCAGTTACATCGCTGTGAGATGCCATGAACTAACCATTTCCATTTGTATGCGCCAGTAGCGGACAACTTTTTTTGGAACAGCGCCCCCCCCCACCCCCCCACCCCCACTAGTCTCCACACGCCCCACCCCCCGCCCAACTGAACATTTTTTTACTTTAAAAGGTAAGGCCCACTGAGTTATACAGCTCTTTTTCAGAAGCGACCTGGCCACAAATGATAGCTCAACGAAGCGGCCTATCATGTGGACATTTATAGCAGCCAAATACTCTAAATGCATGATGTTGATTCTAAATGTGGAGAGAAGATTCCACGCGACCACGGGGAGAACATGCAAACTCCAAATATACAGCAGCAGGCATCAGGGTTGGGATTGAACCCACAAGCGGCTTGATATACCAGGCGAGGGAGTTAACATTTTGCCAGCGCGGCGCCCCTACTACTGTACGGCAATTAAAACTCTCAATTGGTGTGCGTGGGTTGCTCAAACATATCGACCGAACCACAGTGTAAATTCTCTCTGCTGTTCGTCCCTCATTTAGCTTGCCACTCAATTGTTAGTCTCTACTGCTGGCCAACATCCCTTCTAACGACGCGTCTTGCTGAAGCCCACTTTACCTATCGTTCAACATCAAGCATCCCTTAATGTGTTACCATCCTAGCTTAAAAGAAAATACTTAACCATCTCTGGAAAGTACTCGTGAATGATTGGAAGGAGGCACCTATCTACCAGTTATTGCCCATGGGCAGTTTTCACCAAGAACCAATCATAATAGGTTAACACTTAAAATGGCAGCAGCAGCTGCTGCAGGTATTTAAAAAAAGTCTATAGAGTACATCATATTCCGTACAACAGCGGCATACAAAACTTCAAGTGTTGGTATGTCCCTCTGACCCATTCCCGCCCCTACTGGACATCTGTAAAAATAACTTTATAGGTCATCGGATTCCTCCAGTCTAACTAAAAATTATTTTTCTGAAACATCTTGGAGATTCACTCCACATCTCCTGAGCTGTTTACTGGCTATCTAAACATGTTACACTCTACAATGTTGCAAATCCTGCATATTACATCATCACTCATTTTCTCAGCCTATGTATCAGTACAAAAATAAACACCAATGTGCATTTTGTACCCCTGTTGGGTTCACGTGTCCACGTGTGACCTTTGTTTCCATGCCCGCAGAGATGCCCAAGACGCAGGCAGACTTTGAAAATCAGCTGACGCTCAAGAAATTCCTCTTCCAGTTCATCAACTACTACTCCGCTTGCTTCTACATCGCATTCTTCAAGGGCAAATTCATCAGCTACCCCGGGGACTATGTGTACCTCGGCATATGGAGAAACGAGGAGGTGTGTGGGTCAGTGGTGTTGGGCCACGTAGTTCCATGCTGTTTGGGTCACATTCAACCACATTTTTTATGTTGTAAATAAATTAGAGCCACAAAAACGTCTTTGTGGGAAATTGGAGTGTGGCAATGTATGCCTGCGAGACATAAACTATATTGTGGCACCACGGTGGTGAGATATTTACGACCTAGCCTGGTATACAGGAGGTCGTAGGTTCGATGCCAAACCTGACGCCTGTTGTATATTTGGAGTTTGCATGTCTCTCTCCCTGTGGTTGCGTGGATTTTTCTCCGAGTCCTCCAGTTTTTCCCTTCGCACCAAATGTTTGAATAAAATAAGACGATAATTAGAAATGTATTCAATATCTTTAGTGCCCATACTCTTTGGTTCTTTCGGTGATGTAACATAGGTGAAAAATAATAAATAATAAATAGAAATAAATCAATCACGACGTTTCAATTGCAACACAAGCAATCATCATCAGTGTTGAAATTGAAAGTCGCGATCTATTTATTTATTTATTTCCACCTACGTGACTTTACAGAAAGAACCAAAGAGTATGGATCCTTGCAGTCACGAAAACTTCAAATCTAGAATCTTTAGTGCCCTTGTAATGCCTTGCCATGTTTCACTACTGTAGACGTTATGATGACTAATTATTAATGGACCAATATTTAGTGATAACTTTTTAGTTTGTTCTTTTTAGTCTTGGTGCCACTTCTTAATTTGTTCATTATTTTTTGAGTTCACTTGTATACATAATTTGTATACATAATTTGTATACATAATTAATGTACATCGTTATGGGATGCTATTAGCATGAATGACGCTATATAAAACGAAAGCATTATTAAGGTTGCTCTTAATCTACTCTACATTCCCTACAATCCATCTAGTGTTCCCCAGCCGGATGTCTCGTTGAACTAACTACTCAGCTCACCATCGTCATGGGCGTCAAGCAGATCTTGGGCAATTTCCAGGAAATCATCCTCCCGTGAGTAGTGCTTTCGCTTGAGCCGGGATATCTGATCGTTTAAGCGAGTGTACTTCACTCATTGTCAGAGGGGTGGGGGGGGACACTTTCGCAGAGGACGCCAAAGGGCTTTTTGGCGTCCTCTGGTCTACCACAAACATCGTGGTTAATGCAGACATGATTCCTTGTAAAAGGTTTCAGTTTGGTGTTTTAACATCTTAACACCTGTTTTGTTGCCAAAAAAAAGGGGAAAAACCTACTATCATATTTTGGTACTGGCAAAGGAGATTCCATGATGTAGATTCTGATTCTGCTTCTGGTTTAGATACCACTTGCCACTAATCCGTGCCCAGGAAATAAAGAAGTCACAAAGGTTCAGAGCACCATGTGAGAACCTCTGTGGACACTGCTTACAACAGGGTGATCAACTGATGTAGCGCCTTTAGAATCATGAGGGCAGCGTCCATTCCAGATGCCACACATTGTTTAAGTGTGCTCGGGAACACGCTTGCAAATTGGCTGGCATGAGTGATGCTTCACCCTGCGTATGCCTACTGCTGCCAAGTACTGAGAGGAACAGAACACTGCAGTACTACGCAGTTTTCAGCAGTAAGAATGATAGCCACTGCAAATTAATCATCAATTAGTTACTAATTTAAATGCTCAAAGGGGTGTGTGTTATATTTTGTCCCTTCCAGACACACTCTGCTAAATTTAACTCTAGTCAACTGTCCTGACAATGTTGGTATAATGGGGTTGTCGTGCCAATCAGACACTTGCTGGGCATTCAGGCAGTTCCATCGTTTTGAACTCGCAAAGCCCGTGACCGACATGGGGAGTCCTCCACCCCACAGTGGGTTGACAGAAAGTTGTCCGTTACATCGCTACTGCGTCGGCTTTGAGTGGTTGTTCTGGAGATCTCCCTGATGTGGATTTCGGGCTGTACCACGTGTTATTCAGCGTAACGTCGGACGTTTCATTGTACGTGCTGAGAGCTTGAAGATGCGGTAATGAGCTATGGAACAGCTGACCGAATTTGTGCACTGTATGCGTGCATTACGCGTGCCTGGGTGTGTGCGTCCTCCCTTCGCCAATCTTCAGGTGGTTCATGACTTGGTGGGCCCAGCGTCGAGCTAAGCAGCGCCCGCAGGATGTCTACACGCGCTGGGAGCAGGACAAGGACCTGCAGCCACAGAGCAAGCTCGGGCTCTTCAACGAGTACCTTGAGATGGGTACAATGAGCTCACGGGAGCACACCTGCCGAGCCAGTGTGGTTTTTTCTCCCTAATTTCACCTGAAAGCAAAACGATTGGGTGTCATTTGTATTAAACGTCGAGTTGGTGGAGGAAGGGATTTTGCCGCGCTCTCCACTATCCCGTATGTCGAACTTCTTTCACATGGTACGTAGCTCACCGTGCTAATCGTAGGTGCGGGGGGAGGACAACAAACTAAACACACAGAAAATAAGAACAGATACTACACTTGATCTTAGCCAAAAGGCAGATATGGCAGTACAACTGTTGTGAAATCGCCCATGCAATCACTATCCAGGCTCAAACCTACCTTGATTCCAAGGTCCAATTAGATTGAGTGCATTCTGGGTGATTTCGTTAAAGGCACAAATCTATGCATTATACACCGAAATCGCGGGTTTTCCTAATTGTGGAATGTGACCATTCGCATCAAATTTATTGAGGTAGTTCACTCGACCGTTGACGGTTGACCGCGACATTCCTGTATAGTACGCTTCTTAACTCTACTGCTCGCGATGATGCAGCCGCAGATAAATACACACGGCATCTTGTCTCCATCTTGTCTCCCAAGTGGCCCATCGTTGGGTCCCAGTTCACGTATATTTTTTAAATGTCAATATATTTGAAGGACTCCTTTACTAAAATTACATTGAACCAATTAGATAATTGGTTTTGCTTTTAATAATATCCCCCCCCCCCTCCCCCACAATTGTATCCCAGTCATCCAGTTCGGATTTGTGACGCTCTTCGTGGCGTCGTTCCCTCTCTCTCCACTGCTCGCGCTGCTCAACAATATCATGGAGGTTCGCGTCGACGCCTGGAAGCTGGTCACGAAGACGCGGAGGCCCGTCGTGTCTCGAGCAAGTGGCATCGGAGCCTGGGAGGACATCTTGGGCGTCGTGGCCACCCTGTCCGTTCTCACCAACGTGAGTCGCACCGATCGTCCGCTCGCCACTTCGCTCGTTCTCTCTCTCTGCCCTTTCGGCAAGCTCGTGAGTGTGACGTGGAGCATGAGCAGCGGGACATCCGCAAGACTGTCACTTGGGGCAGTTGATGGACAGCCGCGAGGCTGTCAGTTAAGGCCGTTAAAGCTGTTATGGCGGTTAAGGCAGTTAATGGAGTTGAAAAGCAGAAAGAAAGGGGTGAAATGGCAATTAGGGGGAGTTGAGCCTGGATAGGAGAGGGAACGGCTGGCTTGTGAGAGCTCTACATGAAGTTATAGAATAATAGGAATGATAAGAGTAAAAGTGTTATATGTTACCGATTGTTCCAATTGTGGAGCAGTAGATTTTTATTAAATTATGCTACCCATTTGGGTTCAAACATACACCATTCTCATAGTCTTCTCTTACTATTTATATATCTAGTAAAATTTAAGCGACTCGGTGAATGGGTTAACGTTGGGGCCCCTAGACCGGTTAAGATATCACCCACCAGTGATGTTAACCTTGGCTGGGTATTGAACTCGGAACCACTGCGTCTCGGAGCCCATTGCCCTAACTGATGTGCCAACGCTCCATCCGTGGCCGGGAATCAAACTTAGACATCCCGCAGTACGCTCGTCACTGTGTCACTGAATCAACTGCAATGCCGGGAGATCAAACCGGCGACCTCTGGATTGTAAGTCCTTGTGTTAATCATAAACGCCGTGGCAGCATGCCCCAAAATTGTACTTGCGACAGTGTATTAAATTACTTCGGGTGAGTTTATGGGGTAATGGACATTGGGAATGGGTGGTCAAGTCGTAGCATAGCTAGGTGACATCGCTGACGCTGCATGTACACGTGCAAATTCCACAGGTGTGCATCGTGGCTTTCACGTCGGACATCATCCCACGCCTCGTGTACTACTATGGCTACTCGGCAGGGCACGGCACGGGTTTTCCCACCATGCGCGGGTACAATGAAAACAGCCTCTCCGTCTTCAACATCAGCGACTTCCAGGAGCAGAATATTCCCGACGAGCTGCCGCCCTGGTTCGACCTGGCGATCCACACCACCTGCAGGTGGCTGCCTCTAGGCGCCCTCCCTGACTTTGGGGTGTGCTCTCCTATCCGTCGTGACGTCACTTCCGGGTGTGCTGCTCTATGGATGTCGCAGTTGATTAATGCCCTGAAGCGTGGTCAAACATAACCCCCACACAGCCGTGGGAAGGCCTTCATCCAGCAGCCGATTTGAGAATGAAATGTGTGCGTAAATGTGCACAATTGTACCTTTTCAAAAATGCTCAGTACAGCCGGTGCGTGCTTGCTTGTGGTTGCGTTTGTACGTGCGCAGATACAGGGATTATCGCTACCCCCCTGGCCATCCTCAGGCATACTCCCTCAACATGCAGTACTGGCACGTACTAGCGGCCAAGCTAGCCTTCGTCATTGTCACGGAGGTATGTATTTGCATACAAGACACAGACAAAGAGCCCCTGTATAGCCTGAATCGACTGTTGGGGCAAGTGCTGTTAGCAAGCACCTAAGAAGGCCAACACGGCACACGAGGAGGTCGGTGGCCAGCACCACGCCCGGCCGCCTTTATCTCCCCACGTGCACATTTGCATATCCCTTACAAGTTAAAGGTGCAGCCGAGCAATTATTTGCTCACACTGCTGCTGGTAGAAGGACCTCCATTTGGGGGAACTCAAGAGAGACCTTCTAAATTGTATTTGGCTTGCTCTTCCACACTGGCCAGATGACTTGGTAAGAGGTACGATTACTCACACTTAATCACACCGAATGCCCACCGACCTTCTGATCCACTGGTTGGGGTGTACCTATTCATACTATAAAGACCGATGGTCGAGTGACACCAATGTAAACTCTACAAGGACGAGTGACATTAGCACGTAAACTTTAGAGACGCATTATCTCGTAACACTAATGTGTAGACTGCAGAAACTCACAGAATACTGGCACACAATGCGTTTTCACTACAACGCGGCTCTCCCATGAGGGAACACTTTTCGCACAACGCCGAACGTGCGCACCATCATAACCCATAAAGCGCACCGTTATAATACGGAACGCACGTCGTTATAATGCGGAACGCGTGCCGTTATGAAGCGGTATCTGAGCGGTAGACTGAAGAACTCCTTTTTGAGCTGCATGTCTGAGTGCTACAGTGACACAGTACGTGGAATAATACAGTGACGCGACGGCGTACCCTCAGCTGTTTGTCCCACCATATCGCTGTGCATGCGTCACTACATTGTTTACTTGGAAATCGTCGCTTAACGCGTTTTTCTCTTCACGCGGTACTTTTCACGTTTAGCGCATTTCCAGCGTAAAACGAGGACTTACCCTGTCCTGTACATGCAACTTCTTAAGATTACGAAAGATCCTTTTTCCGCGTGACGACGATGATGCGTGCCTGCGTGTGCGCAGCACGTCGTATTCCTCACCAACTCCTTCATCGCCTACGTCATCCCGGACATGCCGTCGCACGTGCGCGCGTGCGTGCGCCGCGAGCGCTTCCTCGTGCACAAGATCCTGGAGCAGGCGGAGTTGGGGCGGCTCCGCGACTCGCTGCTCGCCGACGCGCCCGGACCCTCGACGCCGCCGTCCACCCCCAGACCCACGCGGAGGGTCAGCAGATGGAGCCGGCCCCGCTGCTCCGCACTCATCGGAGGGAGGACGAGATCCGGACAGGTAGACGAGTAGGGCAGAGAACAGGAAGGCAAATTGAAAGTCCACCTCCCCCCAAAGAGATGTGAGGAGGGACGGACGACGAGGAGAGGTTGACTTTATTTGCATCTTCTCACTGGAATTCCAATCTCAACAAACTGGTGTAGAGCAGGTGGTCGACCTGCTCGCCGATTTCCATGTGGACAAAGACTCACAAAGGACCAGGACAACAATACCTCGTAAAGCCTTAACAGACTCTAGATTTGAAGCTTTCGTGACTGCAATGATTCATATTCTTAGGTTTTTTCGGTAAAGTCACGTAGGTGAAAAATAATAAAATTAATAAAAGTAAAATAAAATAAAAATTAAATAAAAATCACGACGTTTCGGAGGCAACACAAGCTTCCGTCTTCAGGTGGAACCGTCACAGCACGCTTGCTGTATCAAGTAACAGACTGTAGGAGCAAGTGCAGTTAACGAGCACCCATGAAAGACAGCATGGCATAGTGGCGATATTCACACATCGCATCAGGTACTGACTTGAGACTGAGTCGACCTAGGGGATGTCCGGGATCGGTTCAGATAATCGTAGTTGGGGGTGGCTGCGAGCGGGAATCGAGCCCGGACGACCAGGGTTCGTAGCGCAGCGCGCTAACCACTAAGTTACCGCTCGCCAACACGCATGCACATGTACACACGAAAATGCAGAGATACGTGGAAAAATACACAGACACACGAGTACTCTGCACATATGCACCGATACATACACTCACATACACTCACAACACAGACACAAACATTAATACAGAGGCACATGCACACAGATTCATGCACATACAAAGACAAACACACTTGCACACATATATACTCAGACCCGACGCAGAAACGTGCGTACATGATACAGAATCCACACAGAGAGATATGAACCCATAAACCACGAAAACCACGCATGCACACAACAGACACAAATATGTACAAACACAACAACTTTGCTTAACACGTAGGCTTTCGCGACCAATTTTATTCATAATAAAAGTTTTTGGGTTAGATCACGTAAGTATAAATGTGTCGAAACCCTCCACCACCCGACACGGCCAACCAGTAAGGGATTTGTCACGTAAACAAAACGCCAAATAGTGACTACTTCAGCCCACCGGTGTGATAAAGAGTGAATCCACAACATTTACAACCTGAGTACGACGTTTCGCTGGTAATAACATCCGGCATCATCGGGCGATTTTCCAGAATATTCTGTCGTGGATTCACTCTTCAACACACCGGTGGGCTGAAGAAGTACACTACACTATACACTACTATACACTACTATACACTACACTATACACAACACTATACACTACATTATACACTACTATACACTACACTATACACTATGCTACACACTACTATACACTACACTACACACTACTATACACTACACTATACACAACACTATACACTACACTATACACTACTATACACTACTATACACTACACTATACACTACACTATACACTACACACTATTATACACTACACACTGCTATACACTACACTACACACTACTATACACTACACTATACACTACACACCACTATACACTACACTATACACTACACACTACCATACACTATACTAGTAACTATTTGGCGTTTTGTTTATGTGACAAATCCCTTACTGATTGGCCGTGTCGGGTAGTGGAGGGTTTCGACACATTTACATCTACGCGATCTAACCCAAAAATCTTTATTATGAAGAACAACTATGCTGTTAGGGGTTGGTTGTGGCCAGAGCTATAACTACACCCCCACATTAAGCTGACCCTTGTTCCCTGACGGTGGTCGTCCGGACCAGATAACACCGGGTATAAAAACAAGGTTTAGTTTTCAGAAGTCTATTGTCATATGCGTGTGAGTGTTCATTGAGGTGTGTGAATGTTATGCTTGTGTACGTATGTGCGTTGTTAAAAGGCTTGGCACTTGTTGAGCCAAAAGCCTCTGCGCCTAAACCTGCATAATATTTATATATGTTTATTATCACTATTCTTGGGAACAAATATATATGCATCATTGTCACTGTTTATATCAGCGAACTAGTGTTTGAGAGTTCCATTGTGTTATTGTGAAAGATCTGAGCCCCTTTATACTGTGAGCACATCACACAACTGCTCTCCTGTCTCTGCACTGGCCACCAGTCCAGTATCGAGTAGACTATAAGCTCCTGCTGCTGCTGCCGCTGCTGCTGCTCCTGCTGCTGCTGCTCCTGCTGCCCTTACAACGTGCTCAATGCGTTAGCCCCACAATACTGGCAGGAACCGATCCATCTTCATACTACAATCAGGTCCCTTCTTCTCAGGACTCCGAGAACAAGGCTCTGTTCCTGCAGGGGTCGTCAGGATATACGATGGGACAACGCTTTGGCAATGAGACAATCGGAGTCGTTGGCTTTGAGTCCCGAGTTCTGACCGCTGACCCTGGTTCTGTTTATTTCCTGCTTTCCCTGACATGGCGCTTTGGGGCTACGGATGAAATGCAACTTACAAGTGTAAATTAGTCTTATTCTTATTTATATTAAGCATTGAAAGTTGCATGCAGGTAGAAATGGAGAGGTAGAAATGATCTTCTTGGTTCTTTCGGTAAAGTCAAGTAGAAGGGAAGTAATAAAATAATAAAAATAAAACATAAAATAAAATAATTCTCACGACGTTTCGGCTACAACGCAAGCAGCCGTCTTCAGGTGAAGAATGAGACACTGACCAAGCTAGGTAGAAATGAGTGAACGTGGATTCGAGAAGAGACGCAGGTTAAACACACCACATTGACTTGACATAAAGCGTAAGTGGGCTCAGGCAGGGCTCGTTACCAGTAAGGCAATATAGTTACCAGTAAGGCAATATAGTTACCAGTAAGGCAATATAGTAACAACGGACTGGGAGACAAAGGGGAAGACAGATGTGAGGGTGCAGGTCATGAGTGCAATGACCCAGCAGTTGAGCTGGGAACGATTACCCCGAGAGGACGACGGACCAAAGACAAAGATGCCCCGTATCGCCTTACGCAGACTTTTAGGGACAAGTGCTGTTAGAGAGCAACATCGAGGGGGTCGGTGGCCAGCACCACGCAAGGCCGCCTTTTTCTCCCCAGTGGCGATGTTTACTACACAGCACCACACCAGGGGCTCATTTGAGGCTGGGGCAACGCATCGTAGGTCGTACAACCCACATTTACGGCCCCACAGCACTCTATCTATCTCTCTCGCTGTTGTTTAATGAGTCACCACACCTACCCCCTCCAGCACCAACAGACGATCCACATCCACCCCCCTCGTTCACATAGCGACGGCTGTTCTCGCGGTGCATGACCTTACCCCTGGCCATACATCACAGGTGAGGAACACCGACACGGTGACGCTGAGTAATATATATATTTTTTACAAGTAAGATTTTTAAAAGTGGATGGTGGCTCCGAGACGTTAGACTGATGAGCTGGCATTGCAGAGATCCTGGGTTTGAATCAAGGCATGATGCGTGTAATTACGGGTTCTCAAGTAAATTATAGTGAGTTGATGATCTCAGCTCTGTCACCGATGGCTGCACCAAAAACACCCCGTTGTAAATTTGGTTAGGTGGGCCAAATTAAGATCTGAGAAATATCGAGTTGATCGTCGTGTGACGAACACTACTCTCATGTGCGGAGCGCGTGGGCCAGTGCTGCCCCATACGACGACTGTGTGAACTCGAGGTCACCTGGAGGGATCTGGGAGGTAGCTTGGCGCGGTGGGTCGCACTGCCCCGTGAGCGATCCGAATGGACACCAATATCCACTCTCAGGATAACATTGAGAAAAGTAAACTTATAATACCACGAGTCAAATGAGCTATTGATTGAAATCGTACGGATGCAACATAATTAAAAGTGTCGTTATACTGCTCACATCGACATGTGCAGCTCGTTTCTGTTTACACTGCTGGATGAGGGCCTGCCTGCGCTGATTTGACCATTATTCGCCATGCTGGTCAGTGTGAGTTGAAGGCGGGCAGCATATACATGTTAGCTTAGAAATACCGTGCAACAATCTGTGTATCTGGAAGTATGCTGCCTACAGCAGTAGCACGCGCAGCCTCTAGCACCAGCTTCATGCACGGTAGTTCCCCATCAAAGCACTATGCAGGCTCAAACCTGCTTAGCTTCCGAGATCGGATGAGATCATCCATATTTATGTTTATATGGTTATAGGGACAAAGCGAACAGAGTCTATTAATTACAATAAGACAACACACGGTGTGGTTCATTTTTATTATTTAATCATCCAGGAAAGCCTCACTGAGCCTAAATACCCCTTTGCAGGAGGGTCCTGCCTGGCTTACCTAATTAAATGTTTTGAATACTTTATATTTTGTAGAAAACCACTTGGCTCAATCAACTCTTCAAATTCCAGTAGTCAGTGGATGGATGTTGGGGGATGACAACTCCAAGTCCGTCTACCACGGATTTAGCACCAATGAAGATCAATTGTACTGTGTGGACAGTGGCAATTGTGGTAATAATTGCACGTGTTCATCAGCTGGTCTACCATGTACTGAACAACGTGCACGTCTAAATTTTGTGGAATGTAACAGGATCACCATACCAAACCAGAGGACGACGACGGTGATGATGACAATGTCGATTCTAACTATAAAGGTGGTCTCCTGTTTACGACGGTCAGACTGACGACGATCCACATTTACGCCGTTTACATGCCACCGTGGGTCGATTTACGACGCAGAAACTCGACTTACGACATCATTCCACTCGACTTACGAACATATTCGACTCGACTTACGACATCATTCGACTCGACTTACGAACACATTTGAACGCTCAGACTGGTTCCCGATGTTACTTGCCGTAGAGCTTTTGTTATTCTCAAGCCTTTCTTGTGGATTTTACCGATCAAACCCCGTTAGATATGGCTGATAAAAGGACAGATACATCGGCAAGGGATGTTTCTACTGTTCCTGTTGTACATGGGAAAGTAGGGGTCCGATTTACGACTACAGGGTTCCCAGGAATGCATTGCATCGTGAAAGCCCTGTTGCAATGGCATAACAGTGACTGCGTTGGAACTTGTGATGTCAACATCAGTTGCCATCTAAACGTGTTGTCTCTGTCTTTGTTAGTCGATGTAACATGATGTAACAATATATTAAATGTACCAAGTTAATTGTATATATGTGTATATTTTCATTAAACCAAACAGGGTGTCTAAATGCCTGCGGAGTATGTTCTCATTTAATATAGTACTGAAGCTAATGTGGTACAGTGATTGTTAACATCCTTGCTTGCAATTGTTAGCGTTGGATACCAAACCCCATTAGATATGGCTTATACAATTCATTCTGTTTGTAGATGGAACACGAATATTCAAGCTCAGACATGCTGCACTTTCCTCGAGTAATGACGGTTACATCTTTAGAGCTACTGCTGTTCGAAGTTAAACCCTCTGAAATTGTAAAACATCGACATGTTTTACACAGTTTACCACAAACGCAGGCACTGATGTCTCTCACATTGTACAATTTGAATTCCTGACCCCAGAATTTGTACTAATGCATACATTGATTTTCGTTTTCTAAAATATTCATCCTTATATTGTCACTTTATTGACATGCGTATTCACGTTAAAATACATTTTCCATGCAAAGAGTATAGCAATAATGGTCAAGTTCAAACCTACCGATTTTTATGGTTATGCATCATACGTTTGAAACTATTTAAGAAACACAATCTTGTTTTAATTGCAACGTTATTGCAAATTTGACGAAACATATTTCGAATAGTTATTTTTTTTCCACGTTGTTACAAATTTCACTCCAAAACGAAAGTTCCAATATATTTGAAATGACAATACTTGGATTTCTGACTCCTCGAATTAGTTCCATCAGATACTTTATTCAGCTACTTGCAGTGAAATTGAATATTGCTGTTTCCGTCATTGCTTAGAGCCCAGGTTTATAGAGCATTTGAAATATTTTGTTACCATGGTAACTATGCCGTTTAAACGTAAAAGTTCCATTAGTAAGGGGGGGAGGTCGAAACGAACGACGGAATCGCAGCCAAAGGAGGGAAACGGCTGTGTGTGCAGAAGCTATAGATTGCCGAGAGGGCCTTCGCCCGGCACTGGATAGATTATGGCTGCTGACGCTTAAATCGGCCTGTGCGGCACACGTTCCACTAACTCAAAATCACTGAGCCCAGCCAACGACTGAGTCGTTGGCGCAGTCACCGGGAATGTTATCGCAGTGAACGTGAGAGCCGAGCGTTCTCTGAAGCGGGGCCATTGGTGCCAAGGGTGAACGTTCAAGGGTAGCCAATGCATCAACTCGGCTCCTTAAACTGCGGGGGAGGGGGGGCATAAATAGAGCAATGACCCTACCTTGAATGACACCAACGTCATTGAGATGCCATGTGCTAACAAGTAGCGTGGGGGTATCATTTTCCTTACTGAGGTACATCCTTCTTATGCAGTATCTTTACTTTCACTCCTATTACCTTGCATTGCTTGAGAGTTTAATTAAGTGGATTATGCACATGCTAGTTTATGCACATGCTAGTTTCAGTGAGCTCACTATGAACAGATCCACCCATAATGCAGTGTGTACGAACATTTTATGTTACTTTTAATTTAAAAAATGTATATTTAGTCGGAGTACTGTTCGATAAGTATTGATGGGTTTGTCTTTTAATCAATAGTTACAAATAGGTAACTATTCATGTGCCTGTTAAAAAAAACTGTTCAGGATTTTTTTGGATGAATTTAAATCCCAACTGTTGTTTTTGTTTCCACTAAAGTCTACGGTGGCATTTACGAATGTGTTTGGTGGGTCACACATTAGCACCAAACCTAAGCTCTAAACCAACAATTAACGAACAGAGATGATAAACAGGGCTGACCCGATAACTCACCAATGCCATACCTGTGTCTGATCTCCTCTCATTGGCACGTCGATGTCCGGTGGCAGTTTCCGAAGGATATAAATATATAGACACGTGGCAATGATGTTTGCAGTGACGGATATAATACCGTGAGTTTGCAGCTCTTCGGTGCGAAGCTTCACGCGGCCCGGGCCGTGGTGAAATGAAGTCGCGGTTCGCGTTCGCCGCCATCGTGCCGTGTTGTGTGTTCACCCCACACCTCTACTGTAGGAAGTTCACCATCGGGGCAATTGGTTGAGGTTAATTGTTTTTACTGATTGAACAAGGGTCGGCTTAAAACTATTTTTAAAAAGCTTTTAGACACTGTTTTACTCGCATCATCGGCCGAACTTGCTACTCGTTGCTAGCGATGCACAGGGTTTTTGTTCACATTAACTCGACACCTCCGATTAACACGGTAGGCGACGCACGGTGCGAAAGAAGTTAAACATCCATCCATACAACACTTTGGTCACAAACACTGCCTTAAAAATAAAAAGAAGAATGTATCCAGTCATGGGCGACGGGAGGTGGGTGGGGGAGGGGAAGGAGTCCCAGAACGAGTTCAGATATTTTTCGCCATTGATACGAGACTTGCGTTAACCACTTGCGCCACCGCTCCAGTAACACACACACATATTAAGTATATACCTCTTAATTCCCACACATGTCGCTGGTATGGGCTGCTTCTGCCGTATAATGTCTTTACGACGCCTCTCGTGGTTTTTACTTATTTATTTTTATTCTTTATGGCCGGGGGCTGTTAAAGGCTCGACTTGGCCGGGTCCCTTGACAAGTCGGAGGGCAGCAGCGGACGTGCCGGTGAGAGGCCGAGCGCGCCGAGCGAGGCTTGCGATCGGTGGCGGCACCCATCGCGGCTTTAAAGATCCCACGGTAATCATCTCGAGCCGTTCTCGACTAAAGCCACTATCATACAGACTCCCCCTGTGCATCATCAAAATTGTCATTATTTACAATCATCACAATCATTATTAGGTCATTGCTCATCGGTACTGTTATATTTCGTGATTGATAACATATTTTAACGCGTTTGTGTGAGTATACAGCAGCTAGATTATAGCTTTCAGAATTGTTCTATGTTTTATTTATGTAGAGTTATGTTTGTAGTTTAAATGTACCGTTGCCTCATTAACATCGTTCACTTGTGTGTCAATTAGTTAATTCAGTTGGTAAACAAAGTGTGTTAATAGGGACTACACAAATAACGTTTTGATGGGATGTTGTGTTTGTTGTTTGCAAGCACACTGGGCTCTGAGCCTGGCACCTGAGTTGGATTCCCAGCCACGTCGAAAACATTCGCTGCGAGTGATTATCTAAACTCGGCCGAACTCACTCCCTTCAACCAAACAACCCGCACTGACCAGGTGAAGTATGCTCTTTTTATTTTGTTGAGCGCAGACGAATTAAGTGGGTCGGATTAACGAATTGAATTGTTAACTTCATTGTACGGCCATTTGTGCCAACATTCTTGAGTAAAACATTTATAATGCGGATTGGGTGGTACATTGAGTGCAGTGTGTGTGCGCGTGTGCTTTGGAACAGAGTGCTGTGTGTGGCCCTTTTCGTCATCGCCGTGCTTTGTAATCAGCTGCTGCGTCCCATGTCGCCCTGTGCCGGCTGGCGACAGGCGGCCGCTGGCTCGAGTGCTCACGGGAAGAGCCGCGCGCTGTCACCGCGGGAGCCCGAGACGTCGGCAATAGCAGCAGCAGCACCTCGACATGGACGAGCAGCTGCTCGTGCGGCTCAACATCTCCACGTCATGTGTTCACGAGCCGCCCACCACGGGCGAGCTTGTCCGAGGTGAGCCTCCCCAAACACGCGTCACGTACGGACGTTGAACCTCTTTCGCTCCGTCGGTAGCCCACCGTCCGTATCGGAGGTCACGCACAGACTTGCAGCCCCCGCGTCCACGCCACCGCTGAAGGAGGAGGAGGAGGGGGGCATGCACGCGCGCCGTGCGTGTCGCTGGAGTTTGTTTTCACCGTAATCGATCACGCTCGTTCAGCGCGGGTTAGTGAAGGCATGGAGCGTAGCACACCGGTGGATTCTACTGCACTGCCCCCCTGCTGACGACGTAGACCCCCCCCAGCCATTCCGTAGAAGCGGCAGCAGCAGCAGCCGCCTACACAACACGTGGGGTCGCCCATCCAAGCGCTGCAGGATTAGCCCTCGAGACGTGACGCGTGGTTTAGCCAGTAGGCCTTCAAGCGCAACGATCCCCGTTTGTCACCATGCGGACAAGTAGGGGACCGTGGTTTCTCGGGCTGTAGTACTGCCATACGTGTTGATTGGCACGAAGTCCGACGTTTCGTTCCACGTGCTCGGAAGCCAAAACAAGTTCTGCGAAAGAAATCTCTTGCACCGCCGTTGTTGGCTACACGGCGGTCACAATCGACGCTTTGTGAGATTTGAGAATGGATTCTTGGTCTCGTGACAAAATGTTGATTGTCCGTCGGGAATAATGTCACGGGGGGAAAAAAGTGAATGTGTTAAAACATTCCATAATCATGAGCCAATTCACCAAAAACGATGCGCATCGACTGTTTCATCCAAGCTTGATTAATCTGGTCCCATACACTGAAATAGAATATAAATTAAACGTTACTGTACTCGGGTAAACACGTACACATTCATATATACGGATACGTTGGCTTTGCAACGCGCACACAATACAAAATTCTCACCGCTGCATCTTTGCAAAGAGAAGTCCAACTTACAGTGTACCTAATGATAAAGCCTCTCCGGACTTTGAGCAGAAAGGCCGTCTACCTCGTATTGGTCTTACAGCCACCTGCACCATCGCCTCAACGTCTCCATAAATTACGTCCCATACTCGTGGTGCATCCCCCGCAAAGACGCAGATTCTCCCTGCAGGCGCTACACATTGTGTAGGAAAGTGCTGTTAGCGAGGACCTGAAGGCCAGCACAGTCCACAAGGGCAGCCAGCACCACGCCCGATCTCCGTTGTCTCCTCACTGGCATTGTTTACACACTTTACTGGGGTATTCATTTGAGGCTGAGTCGACCTAGGGGAGGCCCAGGACCGGCTCAGATAACTGTCAGCGCATCGTGCTAACTGCTACAATACTGCTACCCACAGTGCGTTAACCAAACACACACTGATATTGTCATGGATGCACTTTTATCGCAACTATGCACTAGTAGAATTTAACTAATCTGTACCGCATTAGGGACCGTCCATAAATGACGTCACGCACCTAGGGGGGGGGGAATCAGATATTTGTGACTATGTGTGACGAGGGGGGGGGGGGTTGAGGAATGTGGTCACAAAAGAAAAGTGTGTGGGAATAAATAGCCATTTTCTATTCTTTTGAGGCATAAGCAATTAGAACATAACACTTACTACTTAGGAACAAAAATTGTGTTACATTCATAATGATAATTAGAAGGCTGATTATAATCAACCATCTATTTATCATTATGAATTAAACACAACATCCAACTGTTGATTTGGCTGTGTTACCTAGCATGGCTTGACTAGTTATATGTGGATATTTTACGGATCACATAGAGGACATGTTGTGACGTTAATGAGGTTGACGTTGACCCAAGCGAGGAGATTAACGTGTTATATTAGCCGGGGAGCCCTGCTGACTTTACCAGCTGAGCTATGGGAGGCTGAACATGCATGGCATTGTAATGATTAACTTGGTCCCCGTGCCGTTCACCCAGAGCTCCAGTGAGTTTTCAAGAGCACGAGTGAACTTTAAACGGAATGCTGAAAATATGACTCATCCTTCGGAAATCAGCATCTCCATTAGTAGTCAGTTATCCGATGTTGTTGTTTTCTTCCCTTGCAAACGCGTATTTCACGTCGTGGATTAAACGTGCTCCTCGTCACAAGGTCACCCGAAACGCAACCGCATCTCGTCAGATCTCGGAAGTTACGCAAGGCTGAGCTTGGCTAGCGCTCTGATGAGTGACCACCATTAAACCAGAGGTGGTATGACGTTAAAGCAGAGGTGGTATGACATGAAATTAGAGGTGATATGACATGAAACACATTTGGAGGTCACTACTGGACAGGTTGGTGGGGTTCTTTGCAAGGGCCCCCAGTGAAGAGAATCTGCCAAAGATATGACGCATGTAGAAAGTCATCGTCCTTTAAAAACGGGGCAGAGATCTAACCCTTGCTGCAAGCTACTGGCCAATATCGCTGGCTCTCAGTTTTGCTTCAAAGGCTTGGAACGTCTGATCCTCCGGTGTACATCACCACAAGTAGAACGCATCCTGAGTGTCCACCAGACTGGGTTCCCACGAGGCCGCAGCATGCATGATCAAGTGCTGGCACTAAGTTCATCGAGGTCGGTTATGACAAGAACCTGAAGACAGGGTTATAGTTCTTTCTCGATCTGGCAACAGCCTACGACGCAGTCGGGCATACCGACCTCCTATTGGAGATGTCTGCCGATAGGTGGTTCATGTCACCGAACTCCTTCTTCGTGACAGGAGGCTCAGACGAGGCCCTGCTCAAGAGGTTTCCAAACCGGCCAAGGCCTCCTGTGTGCAGCAACCCTGCACAGTTGAGGCTTCCGCGCCGTGCGTTGTTGAAGACTGCGTACGCTACCGAAGCCTTAGAGGCGGTCTGAGGACGACACCGGATTCTGCAAATGATGATAAATAAAATGTTTATGGACCCCCATAATAGTTATTCTTGTTACTCTTCTCTGGTTCCCTCACTTGTGTGCGCGTGCATGCAGACATGGACGCGCTCAACTGGGCGATGATCGTCATCTTCACCATCATGACCACCATCATCACAGTCGTCTACGCTGAGGAGGTGCGCTACATCTCCAACAAGGTGCCCTGCTCGCGCAGACGCAAGACGCTGATCTGGGTCAACGGAGCCCCGCCGGTACAGTGATGTCACATTTGAGAGAACATTAAAACAACAACACACAAGACACGTAGAGTCGCCATCTCTGAGGTTACGACAACAACAAAAACGAGACACCTAAAGGAAAGGAAATATCTCACAATGCCGAATGAGATGAGAGATACACGTGAATACGGTGTTCTTAGTGGTGTAATACTGCACGACTGACAAATAACCAGGATTCTTAGTGTCCCTGGACGACTGATAACGATCCTCCCCGGGCAGCTACCAAAGAAGACAATCCTGGGAATAAATAAAAACAGAACAGATGGCAACCCAGCCTACACAGCAACCCTCCTACATAACAACTCCACCCACACAGCAACCCCACCCACACAACAACCCCACCCACACAACCCACCCACACAACAACCCAACCCACACAACAACCCCACCCACACAACAACCCCACCCACACAGCAACGCTACCTACACAGCAACGCTATCTACACCACAACGCTACCTACACAACAACGCTACCCACACAGCAAACAACTCAGCATTCTTTGTATTGAACCTGGAAGGGATTAGCCTTAAGGATATATGTAAGATAATAGTAACTGTTATCATTCATAAATAGAGAACTCAAATTACTCAATTTAAGATTTTTTTTTCTGGAGGACCCTGTCCTAAAATGTTCAGGTTTTAACCTCATCCGTGGATGCGTGGCACAGGTGGTGGCGCTCACCTCGTGCATCGGGCTCTGGGTCCCACGCTCGGCCATGTTCACCGACTTCGCCTCCTCAATGTGAGGCTGCGTCCCCCGCACCCCCCCCCCCGCTCCCCATCCCCCCCCCCCCCCCCCCCCCGCTTAATGCATCTGGCCTGAGGTAGGATGAGAGGGGTAGAGACCCAAATCACACAGATTCACACCCGGCACCATTCCACACGCGGCACCATTCCACGTTCAGCAATACTGATTAGTAGAGCAAGATACACAAAAAGCTAGGCCAATGAAATGTCTTGAAAGGTACCGAATTAAAATATGGAAACACCAAACATCTGAAATCTGGCGAAGTTTTAAATGAATGAAGAGCCATCCGTCATTGGTTAAGCAGCCTCCCCACACCGTATCAGAGTGGCTCAGGCAGGCATCGGGCTTTTTATTTCGTCACTTGCTCTCTTTTTGGCACTTGTATTGGTTTTGTTGTAACTTGCTGAACCGTCCCTACTGGACATTTTTCAAAAAGAACTTCACAGCTCATCGGATTCCTCCAATCTAAATAAACATTCTGATTCTAATTAAAGTATTCTGATTTTACAGGGGCGGGGAAGGGGCGGTGATAATTGGATAGAGAGCCCCATTTCATTCCTTGCACCAGGACCTGATGCCAACCACAGTGGGTACTTCACCGGTATCATATTAAGAGTGATGGACACGCAATGAAGCGTAAAACGAGTGGATGGAACGACCCTAAGCTCGGTTAGCGCAACTAACTCTGCCTTGTCTTCCCTATGCCCCCATTCCCCATGGGTCGTACCGCTCCCGTGGATCAGATATTTCGCCGTGTGCATTCACCAGTTCATGATTATGATCATCGCTGAGTACGGAGGTGAGGAGGCAATGATTACTCGCTTCAAGGGCATCCCAATAAAGACAAGCACCGGGCCCTGCTGCTGCTGCTGCCTGTGCCTGCCCAACACCACCATGTCCCGGTTAGACTCTAAGACTTGTTTTATTTTTGTTTGTCTTTTTTCCACACTGTTTTCCCGATTGTGCAATCGGAGTCACGGTATGAGTCACAGTAACCACTCGGACGTCTCCAAGAGCAGTGCAAACTTTCCACATTAGAGAATGGCCCGAAGATGTGGATATTATAGAGATACTTCTGAAAACTATTTTAAGAAATCTCTGGCCGGCACAGGATTGGGACAGCACTTTTCCATGCACTGTGGCACTGACAGCAAGGTCCATCACGTGGCAGTCAAAACAATATGTAAACATTCTCAAGAGTTGAAAAATTAGCCAAATGTAAGTGCATAAATCATTTAAAAGTGAGGGCTTTTTTGTGCAGTCATTGGTGATGGGACTGAACCCATTAACTCTCTCAAACCCAGGATCTCAGCGGTGCCAGCTCAGCGTTCCGACGTCTGAACCACGCAGTGCCCATTCCATTTTCAGATTTAGGCTTTACCGGTTCTCGGGCTAGGATCCTGGACTGGAGGTAGGAACACCCCAGAGATTAGGTACCATGGACAGGGCCGTCCATAGGGGGTTGTGGGGCCTGGGGCAAATCCCACCGTGTGAGCCCCCGACGCCTTCAAACTAACTTGGTAGTATCACATCTGACACCGTGACGTCGAAGCGCGAGGCCCCCCAAAGCACGGGGTCTGGGGCGGTCGCCCCAATTCGCCGTACCCTAGGGACGGCTCTGACCATGGACATCGAGCCAGTACCTCCTCTTACTAGGGGCTACCCTTATATTCAAGAGTCCAATCTCGTTTTTCACCCTCTTGTTTGTTTTGTTCCTCTCTCTTCTGTCTGGTTTGTGCATTTGTGTTTGCTTTGTGAAACATGACAATATCATAATTGGTTCTTTACCCTTCTATCTGGCAACAAAACTGACAGATAGAAGGGTAAAGAACCAATTATCATATTTTTACTGGCAAATGAGGTCCCCATAGTGTAGATGACAATATCAGTTCACAAATTATTTGCAGATATCACACGCCACTGATGTTAACCGTAGTCAGATGTTGAAGTGCTTGTCAACACTTTTTATTCCATGGCATTCGCTTTCGAGCAGATTTCACTTTATGTTCATTATTTAATTAAATACGCTATGCCCCACCAATTCACACAGGCGGACATTGAGGATTCTCAAGATGGGGACGTTCCAAGTGGCATTTTTGAGGCCGGTTCTTCTCTTTCTGGGTGCTGTGCTGTGGACGAACGGGAACTTCATGCCGGGCGTGGTGAGTGGCGCTCGCAAGTGATTTGATGAGCCTTTCTTGCAATGGCCCTCCATCTTCATTCAGAACTAGAAGTTTTTTTAATTGCATCAATTAATTCGTTAATTACAATAACGCAAGGCCTCTACCACCAAATGGATAAAGGTAAATGTGCAGCCTTGCAACTGCTATGCTCACGCCACTGCTGGCAGAAGGTGCCATGTGCCAGAGTTTGCTCCAGAGAGCTCCTCTGGAGAGAATTTTGGCCTCCTCTTCCGTGTTAAGTCAGATGTCTTTATTATTGTTATTAGGGTTCTGGGCCTAGCTTCTTAGAGTCCGGTCAGGGCGACTCGACCACACTGTTGCTGACCGCATGTTGCAGCGTGAGTTAATGTGGTGCAATGTTGGCGCAGGGCATGGGGGGGGAGGTTAGCTGCTACACCACCGACCCTGGCAGGCACAGAACCTGTTGACCCCCCCCTCCCCCCCCCCCCCCCCCCGTGTGACTTGTCGCACCAGTTTAACTTCTGCAGTGTGATCAACTGCAGAAGCTCCTCCGCGGGGATGCCACAATCGAACGGCGGACAGCTGGCGCAGCTGTGAGGACGATGACCGCTGCGCGATTTCGCTGTTCTCATGAATGCCCCTTTGACTGGCGGTGTGGTCATGGATGATTAACAAAACCTTTGGACCGGGGTCGTTCACGAGTTTGATTCACAGCAGGACAATGACCCTGTTTTGTGCCATTAAATATATTCTTGTTTCAGGAGGGGCCACTCCTGCATGCCAGTCACTCTTTTGACAGCCATATTCTGATGTCTCAGAGCTGGAATCTAACAAAATTAAGTGCTCAACCAAACGTATTGGGCTCGAAACTTGCCTCTCAATCGATCTATCGACTATAATTGTGGACTGAGCTCCACTGCCACACTGCCACCTTCTGGCCAGCTCTCAGCTGCCAGGAAAGCCATGCTGGTGTCTGAACACTTTATCCGGAGGATCCTAATTATATTGGAATATTGAGACCAAACCCAGCTACATTTCATGTTTTTTTCGCTCTCGGATTAAATGAGAGGACCCACAGCAGACCAACGGGAGAACGAACCAACTCCACACAGCCAATTGCCCGTGGTCTGTTTCCCATTCACAGATGACGGTGGACAACGGATATCTCTGGATCACCATCGTCTCTGGCACCGCCACTGTGTTATCGCTCTACCCCATCGGCATCCTCTTCAACCACGCCCGCTTCAACCTGGCTAACCAAAAGATCATCCCCAAGTTCGTCCTCAACCAGGTGATAGAAGGAGCGACAGTGGCGCCCTCGCCCAACCCTCAGCGCTATCAATGTCGCCGTCCGTGACCATTGCCAGTGCCAGCAACAGCGATCGTGAAGGCTGCCATATATTACAATGAAGCCCTCATCGAACGCGGTAGCTGTGTTTCTGGATAGTGCCCCGTTTTGAACGAAATGAGCTTTCAGCAAAACAGAACCAAGATCCCGTCAGGCCAGCAGAGCAGTCTCTAGGGTACGGTGAATCAGGGGTGACTGCTCCGAGCCCCACGCTTTGGGGGGCCCCGTACTTCGACAGGTGTTTAGTTGCAAAGCGTCGGGGAGCCCACACAATGGGATTTGCTCCAGGCCCCACACCCTCAATATGGAGGCCCTGCCAGTGAGTACCGATGTCTATAATTTAGGCTGCTGGAGGCCATGATGCTGGTCATCGTTGGCAGTGTGTGTGATTCTCCACCCAACCGTCTGGACTGCTTTGCCGACCCCGACTTAACTCCCTGTCTGCTGCCCACCCCCTCCATTCTCTCTCCCCCCCCCCCCCTCTGATCGTCCCTGACCAACACAGAGCGTCCTGATCCTGTGCCAGCTCCAAGGCTCGATCTTCACCACGTGTGCCAACATGGGCTCCCTGACCTGTGTGCCGCCATTTTCCGCCAGGGCCCGCGCTTCGTGTGAGTGTCGCTCGCACCGCATCACTCTCACCTCGCCCCGCACGCAGACCAACACACAGCCGCCCCTTGCGCAAAGAGCGAGCACCGATTCAGGGGCTGGAATGGCACACGGGGGTGGCGTGACACCAGCACTACGCCAGGCGACCTTTGTCATCTCCAATGCTGTTGGTGACAAACCTCACCAAATACTCCTTTCAGGCTGAGTCAACCTAGAGCGGGGGAGGGCAACTCCGCTTCAGACATTCACCACTGATGTCAGCCGTCGGTCACGGAAAATGAAACTGGGATAGCCGGTTCATAGTGCAGTGCCAGGGGCACGGGAACCTTTACCTTTACTTCATAGAGATCTGATCGGGCTTCAAATGCATTACCATTGGCGGGCCATACATTAACACGCACTTTAACATATATTAACATACCCATTAACACACAGCTCATACACTGATGTCACTGCAAGAGCCCCTTGCAGTAATAACAGGGACTGAGTGCACTCAAATTAGGTCGAAATTTTCCCACTTCATTACCCGATTAGTGCAGCTAATAGGCTTGCGGGCCGTTTTGTGGTGGTGGGCCTCCTGTGTTGTGGACCGTATCCGGCCTGTGGGTCTTAGGTCCCACTACCTATTCAACCACCACCTTCACAACCACCTCCACAACTACCACCACCACCACCCAGAGCTTTCTCCCTGTGCGACCATGCGTCCCATAACACGTGGCCTTACAGACATGCACCAGCAGCTGCTGGTGGTGGAGATGTTCGTGGTGGGGCTGCTGGCTCGTTGCTACTACCGCAAGCGCTACTGGAACCGAGCTGGTGGACGGTCCTGAGATTGAACTCCTCAAGGCAACGACGGAGACCAACGGGGCCACGGGAGAGGCCACCGCCATCCAGAGGACATAACGACGAGGCGAGAGACGACGGTGGTGGCAGAGATGATGTCACAGTCAAGATGTGGACAATGAAGTCCTTTTTCCATATCGAGCTCATGTTTAGTTGGTGACATGTAACTAACTGAACAACCGTCACTGGTAACTGATGCTCACGTTTTTCATCGCTTCACTTCGTAATGTTAATGTACAGCCGTTTTGTCTACCCACTGCTGGATGATGACCGCCCCCACGACTTTCGAGTCGTGGGGGTGTTATTTGACCATAATTCGCCATGCCGGTCAGTGCGGGTTGATGATGTACTTGTACGGCAGTTGAGCCCGCTGCTTTGTCCTCCTGCTGACTTCTTTCACTTTCCCTTCTCGCCCAAATACTTTTGTAGTATTCTCCCGAGCGCGATCCGCGTCGAGCTGTAACACGGAAGAACTTTACCCGAGAGCTCGCCACGAGCAGCGCGCCACCCTACAATCAAAGCATGATTTGTTTTGTAACATCTCATAGCCGGAATTATTTATTCAATATTTACGTATTTTTATTAGGACCCAGCACGTGGCTTCGGAGCGCCATACAGAGAAAAAAAAAACTTTATTGAATCTAACATATCATAGGATGTAAGTAGGGTTTTAGTTTCTTTATAAATGGAGAATCTCAGCAGCCACATGCAGTTCTTTAGGCAGAGCATTCCAAATATGGGGGCAAAGAACCAAACATTCTGGCGCTCCGAAGAGTTTTTGCCAAGTAAAAAGCAAATTGAATGTGGTGGATCTTTCATCCACTCGTTGACCGCGGGGATTCTCCATTCATAAAGAAACTAAAGAGCTACTCACGTCCTATGATATGTTAGATTAACTAGAGATGTTTGTTTTCTCTGTACAGCGCTCCGAACGAAGCCACGTGCTGGGTCCTAATAAAAACAGAAATAATAAATTAATTACGCCGGCTATGAGACATTACAAGAAGAAAATTATCCTTTGATTGACGTGGACGATTATTATCATTGAAGCAATGACTTCTGACGTAGCCCTGTGACGTCTTCTTTAGAAAGTTTACAGCGATTTGTAAATCTTCGCGTTTTGCGTGCCACGGCGTTTTTTCCTTTAAGCTTGCTCAATGTTTCGTTGGATTCTTGTGGGTATCCAAGCGCCACCGTTTCGCAAGATGTCGAACATCAAACGAAGAGGTTTACAAGCGTTTATAGCAAGGGCGTGGACAGTTTTACTCAACCGAGGTACGAATAACACACGAGTGCAATTTGGTTGGGTCACTCATTAACGCACGCCTGAACAGTTTGGAATAATTACGTGAAAGTAACCTGCGTGTCGACCGAGTGTAAAGAGGCTATTGAAGTGACTGAGAGAAGTGGCTAAGAGCACTAACATTTGAAACACAGTGTTGTTGCCATAGGATTATAATATTCACAAACAGTGCCCGATTAGTGCGGCTAAGATTCTTGCAGTGGCAGGGGTAAATACCACTGGTCGCTTCAAAGTGGCAGGACTTCGTGTATTCATGGGCCGTGTGAAACGAAGTGGCGGGTCATCTCTGGCCCACGGACCGTAGATTCCCACCACACCTGGTCGACCGGGGCTGGCCGTGACTGGATAGAGGTGGGGATGGGTAGAGGAGCCGGGAGTGCAGAGGCGGAGCCAGGATTTTCAGGTAGAGGGAGGCAACCGCTCCAGCAATGAAGTAAGGACTTGTCCCCGGGCGCTTCTGCAGCCATCAATCGAAGGTCGAATTCTAACCATCTGTGATCGTCATCGCGCTCGCTGAAGGTGAATGCCTTCAGGGAAGTCGTGTACTCTATACGCAACTGCGCACAATTCTGAGTCACTTATATAACTGCGTTGTTGTTACTTATTGCCAATTATGGACTCAGACTATTGTCTTATCATCTCATAGAGTCCCTGGCACGTAATAACATGCAACACGGTGGGAGTGGGGGTCGCAAAATGCCGATTTATTACTAATAAACCCCAATGATCCGATCGAAATTAAGGGTTTCGATCGGATCATTGGGGGGGCACGTGCCACCCCCCCCCACCCCCCACTGGCTCCGCCACTGCGGGAGTGTACGCGGAGTTTTAAGGCCCGGGAGACGGGGATCATTGTGATGGACGTGAAGCTTAGCGTTAGTCAAGGAGCAATTCTTCACCCCCGAATGATTCCATGAATTGTCACGATTTGGGGTCATCAATTGATTGATCAGAGTGAATATATTTACTGTGCACACCATTCTTATAACGCAATGTTACATCTATAAATGCGATGTGTGTTTACAAACGGGCATCATCTGTCAGTACAGGGTGATAGCTTCCGATATCTGACGAGGTTTCTAGACAACCGACTTGTCTTTGTCGAGACAATATACATATCGTATATATATAAAAGCTTCCATGAGAGTAAAATACATTTTACTTCGAAGATATATTTTTGAGGCAAGATCGAACTTTCCTGGTACGCCAGCTTGTGCAGCAGCCAATGGCGTAACGATGCATCGGTTCGTCTATTTATATCGATTATCTGAGCTCTCGATACACCAACGAGGTCCCTGCGATCTATCGGATCGCCGCCTTCGTACTTCGAGGTCAAGGCCCATCTCCTGTCGGGGTGATCGGCTATTGCGAGTGCACTTCCCAAGATTTGTACCGCTTTGCCTTTGCTAATTAAGGCAGTCAGAATCGTTAGATATATTTATGTCGGTCTTGAATACTCATCTCTTTAAATTGGCCTCTATCCTATAGTTTCTGGCCCTTTACCCTGCAGATTCTGCTTATTTCCTTATTTCTATAAATGGTGGCGCATTGGGATCTACGGATGAAATGCGCCTTGCAAATGTAAATTATTAATTGTGTGCATACGAATTGGTGTTGGTCTTTAGACTATTGGAGTGAACAAAGCTTGAGAAGTAATACAAATGAGCCAGTAAAAAAACAGGAAAAGAATGATCGATTTCTGGGTCTATTCATCACCTCGAATCAGGAATCTTTATGCCTCGATCATAGGAAGTGTAACTTGCGATATTCAAAACGTTTAGTGTAGTACATTTAATTGTCTTATCTGTTGCCTGCGTTTGCATCGCTTGTGTTGACTGTTTTTTTTAATTGCCTCGATTTATAATTAACATAGCTCAGCCAATTTCACAACTGTGTTAATGAAAATACAATTACCACGCGGCCATTAAAGCTATCGAATTTCTGGGAGGATCAATGAGGACACGTGGTGAGCTGTCTGCTCCTCCCTCCATTAGCCCTACCCACTTTTGCATAGCCACGCCCACACGATCGCTAACACCGCCCACAGAGCGAGCGGATTGGCCCTGCCGACTCCACTTCCAACCCTGCCGACCCCACTTCCAACCCTGCCGACCCCACTTCCAACCCTGCCGACTCCACTTCCAACCCTGCCGACTCCACTTCCAACCCTGCCGACTCCACTTCCAACCCTGCCGACTCCACTTCCAACCCTGGCCACGACCCGGATAGCCCCGCCCACTACCGGGGTAGCCCCGCCCCTTTCTATCATAAGTCCCGAGCATGAAGTCGAAAAATGTGAAGAATAGAAATCGATTCTCACTCATGTTTCGTGGGGAAGAGGGGACAACATTTATGAAACCGGGAAAGTTCCGGCTAAGCGAGCAAGTGTTGTCTAGAACTTTACGGTTGTGAAGGCTGAGAGACAGTATCCTCAAATGAATCCTCTAACCATGGATCGATTTATGGGTTCATATTTTTTCAAGGAGCATAGACCACACAAATTCCAGTAATCCTCGCAGCAGATTTTGGCTCGCAAAGATTGTCACCGCATCACGTGCTTTCAGATGCGCTTCTGCGGCCGTCTGGAACGCTCTTCCTTCCGATATTAGGAAGCCGCTGGAGCTATGTACTTTAAATCATCGAGAATGAGTACAGTTTTTTTTTAGAACTGCTGTTTGTGTTTCGTTTGCTGTCCCTTCCCCTGCATCCTCCGATGAGCATGGTTGGCTATGTACGGTGCGAAAGAAGTTCAACATACATACCTATCAATTCTTCAGGTTTACGATTCCAACTAAGAATTCCAATTCATATATGTTGTGTAAAGGGGGAGCAGTGGCGCAGTTGTTAGCTCATTACACTACCCCAGAATTGTCAACACCACCACATTCCACGGCTTAGCGAGTTGGGGGCAGGGGCGAGCGTAGCTCATTACATATCCAGCAGACTCGTGTGGTTTTGTGAACAGCGTTGCATTAATTTTTTTTTATGAGATGTTTTTGTATGTGCTCGAGATTGAAATTTCTACTCGATACTGTACCAATTAGGAATCCAGGGAGCATCCATTTCACTTAATGCCTTTGACATTAGTAAATAACAAGTCGGAGTAGAAATGCATCTGGTTTCACAGCTGTGTGCAGGTATCCCTCGATTTACAAACGTTCGGTTTACGAAATTTCACGTTAACCCAATTGACAAATTATGGACACCTTCCCATTCTCGAATTTCCGCGTGAACGAAATTTCACTCCGGTCGGGGCCGTGACATCATCGAGCAAGAGGCCACGGGGAGGCTGCGGCATTCGTCCACGGCAGCGTCACGGTATCCCGGCAGTCAACAGCAGTTAACGCCTCCTCACCATCTATCCAGTCATTGCGAAATGCAGATCGTTTAGGGAGTTCCCTAAAAAGGTGAATTAGTTGTTTTAATTATCATTTAATCGTTTTAATATTAATGTTCTTTATTATAATTTTTGTATTGTGAAAAGTGATCTTGGTATATATTTTAGGTTAGGAGTTGGAATGACCGTCAGAAACACATCCCTCGTTAAGTATTCAATTAATGGGGACAGGCCATTCCGATTCACGAAATTTCGTTCGATGCGTTTTTCTGTAGAACGCATTCCCTTTCGTAAATCGAGAGATACCCATATGTATATGATCCTCTAGTGAGTACAGAACTACATTTCCCTGGTGGAGAATAAACAATACAAGTTTGTTGTCCCCCCCCCACGGCCCCCCCCGCATTTGATTGACTTGAGATGTCAGTAATGGTAATAACAGAACCGTGCATCTTGACACAAGCAGCAAACTCGGCAGACACACCGCAAGCTCGCAACACAACGGCACACCACCCGTTCGATCCTTTTATTTGGTTTTAAGTACTGCTACTATTCACTTAAGGGAAAACACAACAGTCCTTAAACCTGTAAATTGTGAAAATCAAAAGTATAGCCAGACCAAACCTAGGTAAACAAAAAAATCAACAATCAGCCGTATAGCAAAGATATATAGACATTTGCATCAAAGTAGAACAAATGATGTCCAGTGGTCAAGATGCTCGTCGTAGGACAAGTGAAATCTTGATTACGTAGCTCCTTGTCTCCACACTGTGTCAGTTATGGGTGTTGTTTAGCCATACTTCACCACGCTGGTCAGTGTGGGTTGGTGAAGGGGTGGCGGCCCATCACACTGATGTTAGCCATAGCCGGGAATCTAACTTGGGAGGTCAGGTCCATAGGTGCAGTACACAAACCAATTTGCTAGCATCGACCCCTTCCTTTACCATCTTAATTCCTCTATAATCTAGGATCAAATCGGTTTCTAGTTAGTTTTACTGTACAGCCTTTATCGCATCAATCTCCACGCAATAGTCCCCATTTCTTTTATCTCTTTATGCTTTTATGTCAAAGGTTACAGAGCACACTTGACGTGAACGCCATTCAAACGATCCTGGTGGCTGCTATCGAGCTCCCGGTCTGTCCCGTAGCCTCGTGGTCTCGGTGTCACCTAAAAAACACTGCCCTCGACAACTGTTTGAGGTCGTCAGGGAGGGGAGAACCACATTCACTGTCATCCCTTTCTAGCGGGGCGTATTATTCTTGGGAGAATGGGGGAGATTTCGAATGAAACAGAAACCGATTAGACTTTTAAACTATTTGTATTTTACCAAGGCCCGCTGAGCTATAGAGCTCAACGAAGTGGCTTATCATGTGGAAATTTAAAGCAGCCAATTACTATATGTTTGTAAATGTGAAGGAAAAAATCGGGTGATCTGGAGAAACATCCACCCGACCACGGGGAGCACATTCAAAACCCCAAATATCCAGGTGTCAGGGTCGTGATCGAACCCACGACCTGCACATTAAATGAGGGAGATGACATCTATGCATTTGCTCTACATTTTCTGCACCATGCATCAGCTATAACCCTCCAGATTATTGTAGTTTTAAAAAGGTGAATTATATAGGTAACAAAATAAACTCAACACATGTCAATAACTGTGGCTTTAAATGTAATAAAAATATAATAGGGCATTTTTGGACAATGGCCACAGAAGAATGCCCTGAAACGTCACGTATTATGGTTTTCCTTTTAAAGCCACAGAGGTCTTATTGACTAATGCGTTAAAGTTTTGCTGTTGCAAGCTGTGCTCATGTCCCACTGTCAACATAGCAGAATCAGCAGCATCACCAACTAATTTGTTGAACGTATCGGTAAAGTCGTGGATTCGACTGATAAAAAAAACCCCAGCACAAACTAAAACAAATTCATGTCGACAATGGAATCCAACGGCTCCATTCCATCAGGTCGCGAATTCGTCGTTGGTGACGACGTGGTGATACTGGGGCCCTGCGGCGCGGTGGCGGTAGACTTTCACTGCGGCCACGCACACGGCAGCGACGGCCAGGGCGGCAGCCAGGGCGTACACCATGCCCGCCAGCGAGCTCAGCACCCCAGAAGCTGCGGTGGAAAGAGGAGGGGCGGTAACACCAGCAAAAAAGCACACAAGCCAGCCAGCATAGAGATGTGAGACTCTTCATCATCATTGTCATCATATTTATCCGTTATTTTACGTGTATCAGTAATACCCAAAGGACTGCAATTGCACATTTGTTCACATTTTACGTGAGATAGTACCATGGTTATGAGATGGGAATTGTAGCGAGACATTTTATAATTTCAAACCGTATTGTACTAAAACTGCCTTGTACCATAAATTCTATCTTAATATCTCTTAATTAAAAGGGTAATTTCTGCATTAGAAATTAGACGAGCAATGGCAATTGCATCATTGTGTTTATCACCATCCCCGACAGCAAGCAGTTCCACGCCTTTCCACTTTAACACGTAGGCTTTCGCGACCAATATCATCCATGATAGAGGGATTTTTTTGGGTTAGATCGTTTTAGATCGCAAAAAAAAAACGTTTACACTTGCTGCGCAGACACGGTTTACAAGTTCATAATTCTTCCCATGGCACATTAGCAAGGCCGTCCATAGGGGATTGTGGGGCCTGGGCAAAATCTCAATGTGTGGGCCCCCCAATGCCTTCAAACTGACCCAGGTAGTATTATTGACACCGTGACATGGAAACGCGGGGCCCCCCAAAGCACGGGCCCAGGACAGTCGCCCAAATTCCCCGTACCCTAGGGATGGCTCTGCATACGAGTGCAGTGTCATATTGGCAGAGGGTGGTATTGTATTGACGATTCGTTTGGTAAGTCAGGAGGATGCTCACCCTGGCGCGCCTTGTGGAGCAGTAGGGGGCCCTGGGAGAGGCCCACGTTGTGCTCGGCGTACTTTTTCTGGCCGGAGAGGTCGCGCACGGACCGTTTGGAGCGCACGCACCCTCGCTGGCACCGCGAGTACCGGTCGGAAGAGTCACAAACGCGTACGGAGCACTCCAGGTACACCTACGAAGGATGTAGGTGACCAGCCGCGAGATGTTTCAAAGCATGTTACCATTAGAATGTTAGTACAAATAATGATAATTTTGTTTACCTGGAAATTAACGAGTGGATATGATTGAAGAACTGACCGAAGATGGCTGCAAAGTTGGGCTCATGATGGTTCAAAGAAAAACACAAAGTCAGGTTGAGCAGGTTCGCTGAATGAGGATAACATTTCCGTTGCAGGGACCCACAACTGGAGCACGGCAGGATACGTGGAGCCTGGCCAATTGTTTGGGGAAAATAAACAAGTGGACGAGAGCAGGATGGGGTGATTTTGGAGTGGTAATTATAAGTGTGGTACCATCATGTCTAAAATGTAGTTCAATTGGTCAGAGTTTAAAACTAATGAGTCCAGGTTGATGTGCTACACTGCCCCTTGCGGACAAGCACTGTTGAACTTGGGCAAAAAGCAGAGGAATGTTGACTTAAAGCTTTCGTGAATGCAGGAATTCGATCGCAACACAAGCGGTCGTCACACGACCACTTGTGTTGCGATCGAAACGTCGTAGTTTTTTGATATTTGTTTGTTCTTTCCTTTGAACCTATCTACGTGACTTTACCGAAAGACCCAAAGAATAAGCAGAGGAATCCCACGTCAACGGTGCTGTTCATTGTTCATAGAGGGGTCACAGTCGATATTTCTCTGCCCCTGTCCAAAAGTTGAGGGGGGACAGGGGGTGGCAAACCCCCCCTCCATCCCCGCCCTCCTCCCCCCGACATCTTTCTGTTTCCATGGGGGATGCACACCTGAGAGCCGGCGAAGAACTCAACGCTCTGGAAGCTGAAGTGCTGTCTCTTGTTGTCACCGCTGTAGTAGTTGTTGTAGGATGGGTCCTCTTGACATCTGCAGTTGGTAGATTCACAATGTAAGTTATAGACAAAGATCCCACGTATAACCTTAATAGGCTGTTGGGGCAAGTGCTGTTCGCGAGCACATATGAAGGCTGGCACGGCACACACGGGTGTGGGTGGCCAGTACCACGCCTGGCCGCCTTTGTTTCCCTCTAGTGGCGAAGTTTACACACCGCACTCGGTATTCATTTGAAGCTGAGTCGACATAGGGGAGGAATAGGATCGGTTAAGATAATCGTCACCGGTGTTGGCCGTGAGCTGAAATCTATCTCGGATCGTCGGGTTCATAGCGCAGTTTACTAACCGCTACAATACCGCTCCACCTTGAGTAAGTCACATACACACGCGTGCACAAAATTGCAGGTTCATCACTTCACACTCCGAGGTCAAGGAATCATTTGATGGAATCCACTCTAACCTGGAGTGGCATTGCTCTCCTTCAAAGCACACAAGTGGAGAAGTCAAAAGGCAAAGCCAGTGCACCAGAACAACAACAACAACACTCAGGGAGGCTCCTCAAAGAGGGCAGCCACCACGCTTGCACTCTGCTGTTCTACGGGCCGAATGCGCGGGACTTGTGTGGGAATGATTAGCTCTTGCAAAAAAGCCGGGTATTTGTGAAAAATAGCTCCATTAAGTCATCGCATTCCTCCAATCTAAGTAAAGATTCGAATTCTTGATTCTGAAGCCGAGTGCCGAATGGCAGCTGCTGATAATCACCGGATAGCTAACACCAACAATTGTGGTCAGACTGTCCACGCTAGTTGGAATCGCCCCACTGGATATCAGGAGGATGGTCACAAGCAATTGCTACATGGCCACACCTCCAGCTGTACGCCGCCTGAAATCGCGGAAACGGTTCCTAACCGTAGCTGATCCACAAAAAAAACCCCACCTACGGCTACACGAATAAGAATATAGCGTGTACACACGGCTCGACACAAGAGGCAAGGGCGAGTCACGACGCACATTGACACTGCCCAAAGCCTCACAGAAAAAGATCGGTCGAACTAGAGATGTATGAATTGCCCCTTCGCACGCGAGTGAGAAAGTCACAAGGTCATAATGCAGATGTAGGGCTACTCTAATAACACTGACACGTTTGACCGCAGTGAAACACGCGCCATGGAGTGTCTAGTCTAAGTACAGATTCTGATAAAGACTCTAAAGATTCGATCTATTGCTCTGGCGGTTCCTGGACGAGCCGTGCACAGCGCAGAGGGCCTTGCTCGGGTTACAGACTGGGCCATATCATCATGTGCCATGGTCTATCCACTGCTGAAGATATCACCATCACTATTATGTTCCTGTTACTGGATAAACCTAGAACTGTGGAGGCAAGGCACGAGAAAAATAAATCAAAAGTATAAAATGTATGGGTGCTTCAGGTTGAGTCGATATGCAACCAATATTTTAACTCGTGATTGTGGACCGAATGAATTATCACAAGAGTGCCATCCATGCTGATCAACAGAGGTGACAAATGCGTGTTGGTGTCTTAAAAGAAAACAAATGAAGCACAGCTTGGGGTTGCCGCATGTACCCGTGTCTAATGATGAAGTAGGAGTTGCTGTCGTCCGCGCCAATGTAGGGGGACGCCTTGCACGTCTCGAGGAAGAGCTGCAGGCTGCCGATGTAGGAGACGAGCAGCACCTTGTGAAGAGGAACAATCGATGCGGGGTGAGATCGCATGAGAATTTGACGGAAGATTTACACCCTGCATTTGGCGCATCACGTGCAGTCATGGTAATGCTCATAGACTCTAAAAAATATAATTCATATGTTTTTATTATTGTTATATTTGTATTACAACAAAACTCGAGCCTGACATACCACGCTGAAAAATTGCAGTAACAGGGTATCGAAATTCGTGATCATCCATTCCGGCACGAAAAATGTAGAAAATGGAAATAAGGGTCCCCCAAATGACATTTTAATTAAAAGTTTAATTGATATGAGAGACGAATAATATTAATGATAAAACTTGTCAAATTATCATATTCAAGTTTTATCCAAAATACTGTAATGTGAAAAAGCCCCCCAGTGATAAAGAGTAAAGCCTTTGCGGCCAAGTCATGATGTCATACAACGTCACATTTCACCAACCATATGATGTAATCTTGTTTTGCACCTCGGTATATAACGTATACTAATTATAGTAATAATGCTCATTCCTTTGTCAATCCAGAAGTAAATTGGTACATACATACGTGGAGTTTTGATAACGAACGATTTGGCAATTTTGGTCTAATTTTATTCAACGTTCATGTCTTTGACACCATTGTATGGAGTGCTCAGATGGTACGGCTCATGCTTGACCACGTGTGATGTAGCAATACATCCAGAAAAAGAGGTCCCGAGTGAGACATACATCTGATCGTCAGGCCGACTTCCTACATATTGCATAAATGACGGTCTTAGGTGGACGGCTATCCTAGTCTGTTTACATTTCTCACTCTAGTCTAAAAACCCCTCCATGGCCTTGCCCCACCTTATCTCGCTTCTCTCGTCTCTTACTCTGTCCCATCTCGTCCTCTACGCTCCCAGTCTCGGCTGTCTCTCTCTGCTACGCCCCTAAATGGGTCGCTTGTGCCAGCAAGAAGGCTCATCGTGATGATGTTTGAGGAGGAATCGCCGTGTGACAGCGATGAACTAATCCTACCCACCTCTGTGTAGATCCGGCTCCCGAGATCCACCTCCAGTGGGTATGAGTAGACGGGCTGCGAGAAGCTCTCGTCCATGTACAGCTGGATGCTCAATTCGAAATTGCCTGAGCTGTACCTGTCGTGCACCCTGTAGTGATCGATACAAATCACAACTTCGCAGTGAGCTTGTTTAAAAGTTTTACAAGAGCACAAGTCATTACCACCAGATAGACATTGGCTGACATTCGAGGAATACCACCACACTTGCAGTGAGTGCAGTCACCTACTACCTAGGCCGTGTGATAGTTGGATTCCAGGAGAGATTGGAAATTGTTGACGCCAAAGCTGCTGCCATTTACCTGGGTGCAAAGCTCGCTACGACGCTGCCAGTGGAGCCGATTTGACAGTGCAAGGGGATGCGCAGTTTCTTGGCCTTGGTACCGGGCACGTAGCCATACGCTGTGTTCGTGTAGACGATGGTGTCGCCCTGCACCTGGGTAGAGGAGAGGGAGCGAGAGAGATATTGAGTGTTGATAGAGCCCTAGGCTTTCAGGATGTTAGGTTTGAACAATCTCAGATATGCGTGTTGTGTGTGCGGTGGGGCGTCTCCAGTCTCGGGTCCCGGACAAATACCTCGGCCCTGGTGCCACAGGCATGCAGATCGCTGTGCAGGACCAGGTACTGCCCTGAGATGTAGCCACTGCACGAGGGGTCCTCCAGGTGAATGGAGTATGGGGAGAGGTGGAGTGAGTTGAGCAGTGCTCAGAGAGATCAGCAGCTCCAGGTACTGCGACGTGCAGTTGAATACCTCGTTTTCTGCGCGCAAGAGTGAATACGCCGCTTTGTTAACGAGGAGCAGAAGATGGCGGCCTTGACACGCAGGCCCCACTCCGTGAAGCGAGACATCACCACGAATCTCATCGTCAATGCCGGCAACCGCACATCGATCCACGGTCTCCATGCCTGACCCTTCAGAGCGTCCGACAATTCAAGCCACCATAAACTGTGCTTACAGGACCAAGAAATACCTTCTCAGATAGGTGCCCCCAACAAGGAAAATTGAGGGGGATCTCGTGAACGTTGTGAAGATGTTTATCATCGACGTCCTCACATCTCCGAGAAATCCACAGGCTACAGTGACCAATAGGACCAGCCGCTATTCATACCCATGGGTACAACCTCACGACTACCATGGAATATGGCCTGGCCCCATAGACGTCTGATTATTATGGTACTTTATTTGTGTAGGACTCGTACTAATGCGACAGCTTCTCGTCTTTCTCGTCTCTTTTATTCACGCATATAGTTCACACCTCCTCCTCGTCATCACTCCATGCCTCTCTGTTCGCTCCAATACACAACCCGCCATCATCATCACTCCACGTCTCTGTTCGCTCGCTCCGCTCCGCAACTTCGCTCGCTCTCTCTCTCTTCCCCAAGGTCCGTCACTCCGCTGCTACCCTACTCTGTACTCGCTCCATCCACTGTGACCCTATCTGTATTCTCTCTATCCACTGCTACTGTACGCTGTATTCTCTCTATCCACTGCTACCGTACGCTATATTCTCTCTATCCACTGCTACCCTATCTGTATTCTCTCTGTCTACCCTTATCGTATCTATTCCTGCTCCCTGCTGCTCCGTCTCTGTCCCGGGCACCAACTACTCCAACTCCGACTCCAACACCAACCAAGACTCCCGTCTCTCCGTTATGCTGTGCCTTTATACCCGAACCAATCAGCCCCAATTAATTATCTCATCCCCCACTTTGCTACTCGCCCCCAGTCCCCCAGCTTCACGTGACCATGTTATCGCCGTCAGCCCGGCGCCAGTCATCAGCCAATCACCGGCCTGCGTCCTCAGTTACCCTTAACACCTGTGGTGTCTCTTAATGACCTCCCCCTTAATGGCACACAACAACAACTGTATCCTCAGTTGCCCCCACTGTACGCTGCTCGCTCCCATAGCAACAGAACGCGTGGCGCGTGACATTTCAAGTCCTATATTTGTAACAATAATGAGATCACTCCTTTGTCAGTCCAACCCTTAACAGAGACCTCGGTGGAGGTTGTTCAACCTTAACCAAAACGCTCAAGAACTGTAAGTATGAACGCTTTATATTGCGTGTTTTTTACAATTAGCTTACACACTTCAAATGTAAGGATATGACACGAACAGAATGATTATTGTGATCATATTTTATTCCAATTAATTACAAGTTCAATTTGTAATGCATCACAGTATTTGCTGAATCCCATAGAGAGGGAACGACTCCGAGTCACGAGGAAGAACCACAGATGGTGGTGGTGGTGGCTATGCCCGTGGTCTGTGATCCAGCACTGTGGAGGCAACGTAGGTTGGTGGATCAAAAAAATATCAAAAGCTTGCGAGAATCCCTTCCTGTGGGTATCGAGGTGCAATACCCTGGACTAATATAATCTTTCCCTTCTGTATGGGATAGTGTTGCCGCTTCCCATGCGTAGGTTTCCTCCCATAAATACTCCCTATAAATACTCCCTATAAATACTCCCTATAAATACTCACTATAAATACTCACTATAAATACTCACTATAAATACTCACCAAGTGCCTAAAAAGGTCTTAATATGTATAGAGCAGCAGATCAATTGTTGGCACCGGCTCACCACCTGGCAGCCTTCCAGCTTGGTCTGTGGTTCCTCTGTGATTGTTAGATGCAATTTGCAACGTCGCTAGAAATGTTTTTTTATCATTATTAGCGACCATCTATGCCAGGTGGGTGATCGGCATCATGCCCGACCACGTTAACCTAGGGGAGGCGCAGGACCAGTTGAGTTATTCATCACTGGCGTTGGTGGTCGTGAGTCGGAATCGAACTTCGGTCGCCGGGATTTCCGTAGCTCACTGTGATAACTACTACACTACCACTCCCCACAGGGCACACAAACACACACATTGTGACGACGTACCTTGCAAGCAGATGACAGAGGCATCCTCATTATGCCCACAGTCGTTACTCCCCCAGGGAAGATGCTGACAGAAGGAGAGCTGAGGCTCGTAGCCTGAGCACTGGACATTGTCGAGCCATATCTGACCATAGCCCTGTCCGAAGTAAGCTAAGGACAAGGCAGCAACAGCGGAGCCACAGCCCAGCTGGCGACACACGACCTGGGCGTGCTGCAGATTCCAGATGTCATCGCACACCGTGCCCCACGTGCCGCGGTAGAACACCTCCACCCGGCCCTGACACGAGGAGCCACCCCCAGCCAGCCGTATGGGCGCATCTGGTTAAAGTAAAAAGACACACAATTAGATATGATAACTGGCGATGATGATTTTCTGCAATACCGTGAAGACGAACAATTTTTTAATCCATATAAACTACTTGATGTGACGAATTGTCGCAGTTCGGAGTGGCGATTCTATGTGATGATTTGATCACGTTTGCATTGTGACGAATGCAGTGACCTCGTGGCTGCAGAGGTCACTGCAACAAATTTCGTACTGTGTACGATACACAAATAGAATATATTCTTGAAGCCACGATTATATGCATGCTGTGAGAATTAAGAATCGATTACTCGTTACGTGATGACAGAAAAAAAGAGATACAGTACAGTCTGTTCTATAACGCGGTAGTTGCGTTGCTGAAGAACATCGCGTTATGTAAAAATCACGTTATAATCTATAATATAGTGGAAAGCACGGTCCGCGATAATGCGTGAAATGTGTATGCAGGCTGAATAAAGACTGAGATGCGTGGGTAGCATCTAGAAGCATCCAGCAGCATCACGCCTTGTATGATGCTCCACCGAGGCAGCTGTACAGCTGCTTATTCCTAAAAGGTGTCAGTTTTGTTGCCAGATAGAAGGGTAAAAAACCAATTATCATATTTTTTACTGGCAAATGAGGTACCAATGGTGCTTATTCCTACTCGCGTGACGTAGTTCCGTTCGCTCAATCACGTTAAATCCAATTCACGTTATGAAAACTACACATTATAGGAGAATAGACTGTGCTGTGACAGGATGGCAACGCAACAGGCAATGGCAACTTCATCGCTAGGCAAGGTGCAGAGAGAGCTGGGTTCGAAGGATGATGGCCTTTACAGGCAACCGTGATGGGGCATGCGAGTGTGAAACTAATTACCAAAACGTCCGGTAGAAATCCATGGCCTGGATGTTAGCATTGAGTCTGGAAGGAAAATACAACAATATAATTATTAAGAGTGCAAGTGTTATTCTATAATAGTAATACTATTGTTATAGCAGCCACCGTAATCAATAAGAGCTCAGATCTCGAGGGAATGCGCTTCCTGATCTGGGTCCTTGAGCAGGTGTCATGACGTCATCAGAACAGCCGTGCAGGTGAATTGGGATCCATGATCTGGCACAGTTGAGGGCACAGGTGGTGCATCTGCCAGTCACCTCAGTCAGTCAACCCATGGCACCTGGGTCGGTCCCGAGACCTCTACAAGCAGCAAGCCTTAGACACTTTCACATGACAGCCTCAAGGTGAACCTAGCTTGGCACAAGTGCCATGGTGATGTTACAGGTGGTTGCTGTAGATGATTGGAGGTTATTACATCTTGATTGGTTGTAATTTACGGCGTTAAAAAGTGGAACAAGGTGAAGCTATTTAATTTGTGCTAAATATAGGATGTCCTTAATTATATCAAGGTGCACTGTGTTGGTTATAATTTACATTAGATATGATCAAGCTGATTCGTTTATAAATAACAGAAAATTACGTGCCGAGGAATAATTTGTCACAGTTATTTCATGTGCAAAAGTGTGATTGTTGTTTCCATATAATCGAGTCAGGTTAATTAAATACACATGTTGATTAAATAATGGATTACTCTAACATAATGGGCTACAGTGAAAAAAATAATAGAAATAAAAGAATAAGATTTTTTTTTACCTCCGTGACTTTACCGAAAAAACCTAAGAGTATGAATCCTTGCAGTCATGAAAGCTTCAAATCTAGAATTAAGGGCTAATACAACCTCAAGATGCAATCGACTCTGCCATCTCTGGTGAGTACTCTGTATTAACTTTACTATATTTAAACTTGTTATATACCGACAGCAGTGTAATACCGATTTCGCCGAAAAGCAACATTTATTGGCACATTCCTCCAGGTGACAACTTGATTTGTCTGGCAGTGTTGGGTGGTGGAGGATGGTGCATAGCTCTAATGGACATTATCCCCTCACAACCATATGACCCACAAATGGATGATTAATTATATCGGTAATTTAAATTTTACTCGTGGAATTAACAGCAAAGTACAATACATCACATTCGGGTCAGCACTCCAAACCATCCAATAAATTAAGATTATTGTTATCAAGTTTTCATGTAAATTAATGGTATATGTTACTCAGGACAGACAGTTAAAATTTGCAAACCACTAAATAGTTATTATGGACAATAAAGAGTCCATGTGTATAACTTGCAAAATGTAAAAACTACATTTTGTCCTTTGGGTATCAAATATTACGGTACCGAGATGTATCAATTCATTTTTCAAAGGGCATGGTTAGCATACGCCTATAAGTTGTTTCAGGTCTCGTATACTGCATAATAAAAATATATATTACAACAATACTGAAACATAATTCAAAAGTCACCAAAACACGTGCGATTGTATTGTCTAGTTTGCTTTGTTCCTACAATAACAATAAAGAACACAGTCAATTCTCAGAAAATGTCCTGCTAAAATCTGGACAGGTGGCAAGCCTCCAGTGGTCGTTCCGACAATGATTCTTATTTGAATATTCACAGGGGGGTCCGTCCACTCAGAGATGCAGATGCAATAGACTGTACTGTGACAGGATGGCAACGCAACAGGCAATGGCAACTTCATCGCTAGGCAAGGTGCAGAGAGAGCTGGGTTCGAAGGCTGATGGCCTTTACAGGCAACCGTGATGGGGCATGCGAGTGTGAAACTAATTACCAAAACGTCCGGTAGAAATCCATGGCCTGGTTGTTGGCATTGAGTCTGGAAGGAAATACAACAATATGATTATTAAGAGAGCAAGTGTTATTCTATAATAGTAATAATATTTTTATAGCAGCCGCCGTAATCAATAAGAGCTCAGATCTCGAGGGAATGCGCTTCCTGATCTGGGTCCTTGAGCAGGTGTCATGACGTCATCGGAACAGCCGTGCAGGTGAATTTGGATCCATGATTTGGCAAAGTTGAGGGCACAGATGGTGCATCTGCCAGTCACCTCAGTCAGTCAACCCATGGCACCTGGGTCGGTCCCGTGACCTCCTGCAAGCTGCGAGCCTTAGACACTTTCACATGACAGCCTGAAGATGCACCTAGCTTGGCACAAGTGCCGTGGTGATGTCACCGGTGGTTGCTGTTGATGATTGGAGGTGATTGCATGTTGATTGGTTGTAATTTACGGCGTTAAAAAGTGGAACAAGGTGAAGCTATTTAATTGGTGCTAAATATAGGATGTTCTTAATTATATCAAGGTGCACTGTGTTGGTTATAATTGACATTAGATGCTATCAAGCTGATTCGTTTATAAAATCACGGAAAATTACGTGACGAGGAATAATTTGTCTCAGTTGTTTCACGTGCAAAACTGTGATTGTTGTTTATTATATTCGAGTCAGGTTAATTGAATACTCACGTGGATTAAATAATAGATTACTCCAACATAATGGTCTACACAGATTGAATGCAACCTCAAGATGCAATCAACTCCGCCATCTCTGGTGAGTACTCTGTATTCACTTTATTATATTTAAACTTGTTATATACCGACAGCAGTGTAATACCGGTTTCGCCGAAAAGCAACATTTATTGGCACATTCTTCCAGGTGACAACTTGATTTGTCTGGCAGTGTTGGGTGGTAGAGGATGGTGCATAGATCTTAATTGACATATCCCCTCACGACCATAGGACCCGCAAATTAATTAATCATATCGGTCATTTAAATCCTACCGGTGGAATTAACATCACAGTACAATACAACACATTCGGATTAGCACACCTATCCATTCAATACGTGAAGACGAGTGTTCATTAGTTGTCGTGTAAATTAATGTTATATTTTATACGATCTAACCCAAAAAACTCTATTATGGATGATATTGGTTGCGAAAGCCTACGGGTTAAAAGGATAGACAGTTGCAATTTAGTAAAACAATGAATAGTTAATATGGACAATACATTGTCCATGTGCATAACTCGTTATATCTAAAAACCTACATTTTGTCCTTTGGGTATGGTTAGCGTAAGCTTCCAAGTTGCATACTGTATACTAAAAATATATATTACAATATCACTAAAACAGAATTCAAGTCACGAAAGACAAGTGCGATTGTATTGTCAAGTTTGCTTTGTTCCTATAATAACAATAAAGAACAAGTCAATTCTCCGAAAATCTGTTGCTAAAATCCGGACAGGTGGTAACCCGACAGTGTAGTTCCAGCAAAGATTCTTACTTGGATATTCACAGGTGGGTCCGGCCCACCCAGGGCTGCAGATGCACTCGTAGAACGGATCGAATGGCAGGTTCACGCAAACTCCCCCATTTTGGCATCCGAACAAATCGCACCAGTAATCTGAAAGCAAAACACATTGCAATATTGCGTGCAAGCATTCTCTAATGAATAAAACATTTTAAGAAGATGACATTTTTTATCTGTCGCTCACAAATGGCCAAAAAGCAGCACCATGGCGATTGTTGATTATTGATGATGGCATTCTGCCACCCACATGGCAAACAGCAAAGAAGGGCAGCAAGACCTGGACAGATGGACTAAGTGCCTGGGGAGGAGGACATGGTATGATGATGGGATAAGTTGAACAAACAGAGTTACTATGGAATATCTTCTAGGTTCAGACATGAAGGTCCAAGACAAGCAAGCAGTGGTAACATTTGGAGAGAGACTCCTTTGGGTTTTAGGACATGTCAATAGAGGATAGAGTGTTTTTATAGAGAGAGAGTACTAGGGCAGAGATTGAGAGGCAGGCCAAGATTGAAATGGTGAACCAGAATATGAACATCTGTGGAGTGAGTGTGGAGGTGACCCAGAGCAGGAATCAGTGGTGAAACGGGACCAGGAAGGTACACCCCAAATGCGTTGGGGTTCTGGGGGTTATGCCAAAAATAAGTCATGTAATTGTCACCACGGCCTTTTTGCCGCCAAATGACAAGAGCATCATCCAATAAGCATACTGGTTTGAGCAAGGAGATACGTGACAGTTGAGCAGAAAAACTTTTTATTCCATTCCTTCGTACAGAAGATGCATGTGTAAATCTGTCTGTGGGGTGTCTATGAAGTGGTTGGATGAGGGTTGAACTGCGGGTGTCAGTGAGTTCTGAGCGCGTGTGCTCCCTGCTGTGTTCTCGGACGAGCAAATTGTGTCTGTGGGGCACAGTCGTAGGCACGCATGTGCTTTGCTTTGGCACGACACCACAATCCGCACATTCGGGACATCACGTGGAGAAGGCCGTGATGGCGGGGAGGAAGCCGTGATACACTCATACATCTTACACTGACTCACTCACACATCATACACTGGGAGTGTCATGCTGCCAGCTATGGCTGCAAGTTTGGTCGTACATGTTATGTAGATCGTTTATTTTTAAATTGGATGTACAAACTTAGTAATCATTGGAAAGATGTTATCAACCACGCAAAAAAGACTTAATTACACTTTTTTGGACCATCTTATCTGACAGGCACTATTTTACTTCACTTTACCGAGTGTTAACATCCCCAGTGTTTAACAGTACTCTCTTCATTGTTCAGCCAGCATTGGTATAAACATGGGCATTTTCGTTCTTTTTCTATCATGTGTATCAGGCCCCCCCTCCCCCTCTCTGTCCAATGCGTTGGCGTGTGTAGCAGCAACCGCGTCAAAGCCGTCGTCCACCCTTTTGGCCCCGCCCCCCTCCCCCTCCCGATGCGTTGTACGTGGCACTCCGTGCCGTTTGAGCCCCGCCCCCCTCCCTCCCGATACGTTCCATTCATTGGCTACCACATTCTGATGAGCTCCCCCCCCCTCTCCTCCCCCCTCAACTTGCTTTTAAGGGATTACATCTTGAATCATTGCCTCACTTGATGCAGCTAATCCGGCTGTGACGGTCCCACCTGATGACGGAGACTTGTGTTGCCTCCGAAACGTCGTGATTTTTTTTTATTTTCATTAATTTTTATGTTTTACCTACGTGACTTTACCGAAAAAACCTAAGAATATGGAATTACAGTTCCTATGATTACTGTTGTTACATTGTTTTTATAGCTTTATTTTGGTGATTTCGAAAACATATGGTTAAGCCATGTTTCTTAATGAAGTGCGGAGTTGGCCTGATAACTTTTATCTAAATTGTCTTATGGTTGTTAGTGTTAGACTTGCATCACACTGGGATTTTTTTTGTAATACGGTGTTTTTTTTCTGGAAGATTTGCTGGTTTATCCAGGATGTTTCTGTTGCGCGTCGTAGCTTTAAGATGTTCACCGTTCATATTTTGTTTGTTCCGGTTGCACCCGACTTAAGAGCAGCATGGCTCACAGGGCTATACCTAATACATGAAACCTGAAACTTGAATCACCGCGGTGCAAAGCTTCTGAGTGAGAGGTGACGCTTACTGGCGATGAGTAGATTCGTAGCTGCTCCGGAGAACAGCGGCGGAAGACATAAAAAACAGACAAGAACATACCACAATTAACATACAACAATACTTGAAAAAATAATAAGGGTCACTCCAGATGATCACCTATTACCAGGGTTCAGTCTCAGGGCAAATTAACGTGTGCATGGTGGATGCTCAGGTGTCATGCAATTCTGCGTTAGATTCATAAAATAGGAATGTTGAACATCTTTTGCACAGTACGTAGCCAACCGTGAATGATGGTTATAATAGTAATAATAATGCTCAATTGTTCACTCAGGAAAGCCTCAATGAGTCTGAAGAGAAAAAAACTTTGCCACGATCCATTGTGCCAGCAACATTTTGTAATTTTACTCTTAATATAAAAAATTAAATTTCATAGTAATACTTTACATTTTTTAAGAATTTGCCTGGAACTCAATAGCTACTTTTCGTGCCACTTTGTATGCCAATTTAAAAAAATGGTTATCAAAAAATTGCTTAGTGCGTCACGTGGGACGTATTTAATCATCATCGGGCACGTGCAACGAATCAAAAGACTTGTTCAGTTGGTGACATTGCACAATCCCAAATGTTCAAATCACCGACTACACGTGTGTGGCCAAGAAAGAGGCGAGTGAGGAGCTCACACAGCAACGGTTCACTCGCTATGTGCACCACGCTCGTGGTGGCAACAGCAGCAGCAACAACAACAACCCCTCGTGTGAGTGAAAGCGATGACTCACTCGATGGGGAAGGTGTTGAACCTGCTCCACGCGACGACGTCAGCAGTTGGGAGAAAGGGAATCACAAGCGTGACGTTATACAGTGGATATTCATCCCTGAGGCAATCGCTTTTAACGGAGACAAAATCTCACTGGCCGAGGTGGCGATGAAGTCCCTTTTCATGACGCGGCTCTGGCGCATTCTGCCCTCGCAATTCGGGAAGTATTTGTCGCCGGAATGATTGAGTGGACAATGGATTGGAAGAGGATCTGATGTGATGTGACCGCTCCGATGCCCAAATATTTCAACAACAACAAGAGCACGTGGAAATAATTCCCTTAAGTGTTAAGTGTTCTCCTTGATAATTCCCTAAGGAGGATACTTCATACTCCAGATCGACACGTATCGACAAGCTGGAACTGCCCTGAGGGTCCGCAGCCATCACCCAGACAGCATCGCTCTGCTACGAGATGTCAGTCTCTCGGAGACTGTGGCCACATTCAAAACTCATCTCAAAACTTTATTTATACAATTACACGCATTCAAATGTCAGCTAATTCGGCAAACGGCTTTTAGCATGTATTTCATTATTTAGCTGTTTTTCTAGTTACGAGTTGCCATCACGCTCAATGTCTGCTGCTTTGTCTTGTATGGCGCTTTGGGCTCCCTCATCGAATCCGTTTTAAAAACAAGTTTATTATGATTAATACTGTCGCTTACAAGCTGCGGGGTCATTCAAAATGTGCTCAAATGACCTGCAGTCTTGAGACGAAAAGAGGGGGCGAAGGTCACTGATAATTACCCGACCTGGAGACACGGCACGGACCCTGATGGCCAGGATTTCCCAAACTCCATTCCTTGCGGCCCACCTCCACGCCGACTTCTTTCTGCGTTCACCAATTTACCCCTCCACATTCAAATTAACTCGTTCCACGCTGTACGCGCCAGATAATTGTTAAACACGTCCCACGTGACGCGCTAAGCAATTAAAGCTGTCTTTATTAATCGAGACAATTCACATGAACATTGAGAATGTCCATGTGCGGGCACATGTTTCACGTGTCCGTGTGTGTGTACACGTGTTTCACATGAACGACACGGCGTTAATTGCTGAGCGCGTGGGACTTATTTAGCGCCGCGCATCGGGCGCGTGCAGCGTGGAACGAATGAATTTTCATCTGAACGGGGAGTAAATTGGAAAACGCGGAAAGATGTCGCGTGTAGGTGGAGTCGCGAGGACTGGAGTTGGGGAAACCCTGCGCGTCGCCACTTGGAGTTCAGTTGGTGACATTGCACAATCCCAAATGTGAAAATCACCAGCTACATGTGTGTGGTGAAGACAGAGGTGAGTGAAGAGGAGCTCACAATAACGGTTCACTCGCTCGGTGCACCACCCTCATGGTGGCTCTGACAATAGCAGCAGACACAACAACAGCAACAACAACAACCCCTCGTGTGAGTGAACGCGATGACTCACTCGGTGGGGGAGGTGTTGAACCTGCTCCACGAGACGACGTCAGCAGTTGGGAGAGAGGGAATCACAAGCGTGACGTTATACAGTGGATATTCATCCCTAAGGCAATCGTTATTAATGCAGACAAAATATCACTGGCCGGCGCATTCTGCCCTCGCAAATTGGGGAAATAGTATAAGCAGGAATTGTTGAGTGGAAGCTGGTTCGGAGAAGATCTGATGTGATGTTGACGCCCAATGCCCAAACCTCACTGGCCGGGGTGGCGATGAAGTCGCTTCGGATGACGCGGCTCTGGCGCATTTTGCCCTCGCAATTCGGGAAATATTTGTCGCCGGAATGATTGAGTGGACAATGGATTGGAAGAGGATCTGGTGTGATGTGACCGCCCCGATGCCCAAACATTTCAACAGCAACAACAGCACGTGGTAATAATTCCCTTAAGTGTGAAGTGTTCTCCTTGATAATTCCCCAAGGAGGATACTTCCTCCTCCAGATCGACACATATCGAGAAGCTGGAGACAGCAGCGGTGTGCAACTGCCCTGAGGGTCCGCAGCCATCATCCACTTGGAAGAATCTGTCGAGGGGTACTTGGGTACGAATTCCAGCTGTGTGCTGAGAATCGAGGGTAACACACGGAGCCGCCCGACTCATGGTGCATTGTTTTTTGGTTTAATGCAACGGGACTAATACGGTGCGCATGCAACTTGAATGCGAAAGAATAGACAAACGGTGCTCACCAGCTGTAGCGAGACGTGTAGGTTTGTCACCGAAGGA